CTGAAACTCGAACGTGTATCTCACACTCAAACTGGAGCTTGTCTATCGAGGGTTGAGGTAAGAGGCAACGCCAATCGCCACCTAATTCCGTCCGTCCGGCCGTATCTCAGAATCAAACTCGAGCTTCTATCTGAAACTCGAACGTGTATCTCACACTCAAACTGGAGCTTGTCTATCGAGGGTTGAGGTAAGAGGCAACGCCAATCGCCACCTAATTCCGTCCGTCCGGCCGTATCTCAGAATCAAACTCGAGCTTCTATCTGAAACTCGAACGTGTATCTCACACTCAAACTGGAGCTTGTCTATCGAGGGTTGAGGTAAGAGGCAACGCCAATCGCCACCTAATTCCGTCCGTCCGGCCGTATCTCAGAATCAAACTCGAGCTTCTATCTGAAACTCGAACGTGTATCTCACACTCAAACTGGAGCTTGTCTATCGAGGGTTGAGGTAAGAGGCAACGCCAATCGCCACCTAATTCCGTCCGTCCGGCCGTATCTCAGAATCAAACTCGAGCTTCTATCTGAAACTCGAACGTGTATCTCACACTCAAACTGGAGCTTGTCTATCGAGGGTTGAGGTAAGAGGCAACGCCAATCGCCACCTAATTCCGTCCGTCCGGCCGTATCTCAGAATCAAACTCGAGCTTCTATCTGAAACTCGAACGTGTATCTCACACTCAAACTGGAGCTTGTCTATCGAGGGTTGAGGTAAGAGGCAACGCCAATCGCCACCTAATTCCGTCCGTCCGGCCGTATCTCAGAATCAAACTCGAGCTTCTATCTGAAACTCGAACGTGTATCTCACACTCAAACTGGAGCTTGTCTATCGAGGGTTGAGGTAAGAGGCAACGCCAATCGCCACCTAATTCCGTCCGTCCGGCCGTATCTCAGAATCAAACTCGAGCTTCTATCTGAAACTCGAACGTGTATCTCACACTCAAACTGGAGCTTGTCTATCGAGGGTTGAGGTAAGAGGCAACGCCAATCGCCACCTAATTCCGTCCGTCCGGCCGTATCTCAGAATCAAACTCGAGCTTCTATCTGAAACTCGAACGTGTATCTCACACTCAAACTGGAGCTTGTCTATCGAGGGTTGAGGTAAGAGGCAACGCCAATCGCCACCTAATTCCGTCCGTCCGGCCGTATCTCAGAATCAAACTCGAGCTTCTATCTGAAACTCGAACGTGTATCTCACACTCAAACTGGAGCTTGTCTATCGAGGGTTGAGGTAAGAGGCAACGCCAATCGCCACCTAATTCCGTCCGTCCGGCCGTATCTCAGAATCAAACTCGAGCTTCTATCTGAAACTCGAACGTGTATCTCACACTCAAACTGGAGCTTGTCTATCGAGGGTTGAGGTAAGAGGCAACGCCAATCGCCACCTAATTCCGTCCGTCCGGCCGTATCTCAGAATCAAACTCGAGCTTCTATCTGAAACTCGAACGTGTATCTCACACTCAAACTGGAGCTTGTCTATCGAGGGTTGAGGTAAGAGGCAACGCCAATCGCCACCTAATTCCGTCCGTCCGGCCGTATCTCAGAATCAAACTCGAGCTTCTATCTGAAACTCGAACGTGTATCTCACACTCAAACTGGAGCTTGTCTATCGAGGGTTGAGGTAAGAGGCAACGCCAATCGCCACCTAATTCCGTCCGTCCGGCCGTATCTCAGAATCAAACTCGAGCTTCTATCTGAAACTCGAACGTGTATCTCACACTCAAACTGGAGCTTGTCTATCGAGGGTTGAGGTAAGAGGCAACGCCAATCGCCACCTAATTCCGTCCGTCCGGCCGTATCTCAGAATCAAACTCGAGCTTCTATCTGAAACTCGAACGTGTATCTCACACTCAAACTGGAGCTTGTCTATCGAGGGTTGAGGTAAGAGGCAACGCCAATCGCCACCTAATTCCGTCCGTCCGGCCGTATCTCAGAATCAAACTCGAGCTTCTATCTGAAACTCGAACGTGTATCTCACACTCAAACTGGAGCTTGTCTATCGAGGGTTGAGGTAAGAGGCAACGCCAATCGCCACCTAATTCCGTCCGTCCGGCCGTATCTCAGAATCAAACTCGAGCTTCTATCTGAAACTCGAACGTGTATCTCACACTCAAACTGGAGCTTGTCTATCGAGGGTTGAGGTAAGAGGCAACGCCAATCGCCACCGATCTAAAGCTAAGCGCTCGCATCTGAAACTCAAACTCGAACTTCGTTTTGAAACTCAAACTCTAAGAACTGACGTTTGCAATCTTTTAATCCATGGCAATTAATATCTATACAAGAAGTATAACTCCTATTGCTGAGCTGCGGAAGTTAGAACTTTGCAACAGGGAGGAAAATCGCCCACGCCGGAAATTTTTTCTCAATTTTCAAACTTTCCAAAGCTGTCGCGATTTGCGAGAACGGCCAACGGCCAACGGCCGACGGCCAACGGCGAATTGCCCAAGTCCCATCGCAGACGGCGAATCGCCCAAATCCCATCGCAGACGGCGAATCGCCCAAGTCCCATCGCAGACGGCGAATCGCCCAAGTCCCATCGCACACGGCGAATCGCCCAAGTCCCATCGCAAACGGCGAATCGCCCAAGTCCCATCGCAATTCGAAATATTTCGCAACTCGAAATTTTTTGCGGCTCAAAATATTTCGCAAGTCCAAATATTTTGCGGCTCAAAATATTTCGCAAGTCCAAATATTTTGCGGCTCAAAATATTTTGCATGTCCAAATATTTTGCAAAGCAAAATATTTTGCGACCCAAAATATTTTTCGGCCCAAAATATTTCGCGACTAAAATTTTTTTCGGCCGAAAATATTTCGCGACCGAAAATATTTTGCGACCCCAAATATTTTGCAATTCCCGAAAAATATTTTCCGGCGAAAATATTTTGCAACAAACCCCCGAAACCCTGCCTCCCCGGTTTTACAGCTTTGAAAGCGAAGAACGCGAGGAGGACGGGGAGCATCGGGAGAGTGGGAAACACGGGGAACGCGGGAAGCACGGGAAAAGCGGGCGGACAGAACCGGAAAGGCGGGGCAGAAAGCTAACAAAGGGCAAGGAAGCGGGCGGAGGGCACGGGGAAAACAGGCGCGGCGCACGGGGAAAGCGTGCGGGAAGCACGGGGACAGCGGGGGGCACGGGGAAAGAGGGGGGCACGGGGAAAGCGGGAAACACGGGGAAAGCGGGAAGCACGGGGAAAGCGGGAAGCACGGGGAAAGCGGGAAGCACGGGGAAGGCGGGAAGCACGGGGCGAGTGGAAAGCACGGGGAAAGCGGGAAGCACGGGAAAAGCGGGAAGCGCGGGGAAGTAGGCGGGAAGCACGGGCGGAGGGCGCACAGACGGCGGGAGGCAAGGGGAACGCCGGCGGCGGCCAAGGAACAGGCGAGCAGCCCAGCTCGCTGCTCAGTCACCACCCTCCCCCGGCGCCCTCCCTCCGTTCGCGAAGATAGGGAAGCCGCGCCGAAGGCCAACACCAGGCTTGCTGGCGAGCAGCTGCCCACCACCCTCCCCCGGCGCCCTCCCTCTGTTCATGAGGAGACCGGCAGAGGGCGCCACCGTCCGCCGTCTCTGTCTCGGAGGGTGCGCGCGGGGGAAGCAGGGGGGGGGGGCGGAACAGATTGCATGCGAGCTACCGCGGGGGGCGCCATTGTTGTCCGGGGGTGCTGGGGGAGGGTGGTGGGCCCCTGCGCCTTGGGGGCAATAAATGCCTCGCCCCGGCGCCCGTCCTCCATCCACGCGCGCGGCAGGGGCCCAAGCGAGCCCCTGTTCTGCAAGGCTGCGCGCGGGAGAGCGCGGGGCGGGTGGGGCACAGAGGCAGGCGGGGCACACAGGCACGCGGCACGAACGGGCCACACCGCAAACGCACGGGCGGGGCAGGGTGCGCGCGGGGGAAGCAGGGGGGGGGCGGAACAGATTGCATGCGAGCTACCGCGGGGGGCGCCATTGTTGTCCGGGGGTGCTGGGGGAGGGTGGTGGGCCCCTGCGCCATGGGGGCAATAAATGCCCCGCCCCGGCGCCCGTCCTCCATCCACGCGCGCGGCAGGGGCCCAAGCGAGCCCCTGTTCTGCAAGGCTGCGCGCGGGAGAGGGGCGGATGGGGCACACAGGCAGGCGGGGCACACAGGCACGCGACACGAACGAGCCACACCGCAAACGCACGGGCGGGGCGGCACGCGCCTGCGCCTCGCATGGCGCGCACTGTTCCCCTGCTTCCTTTCCCCGGCCATTGGCGCCCGCCCGCTGCCGCGCTTTGCGTTGTTGCTTGGGCCTATGGCTTCCGGCAAGGCACACGCGCGCCCAGTGCGGGCGAGGTCCTCGCGCCCGAGCAACAACTGGACCCACGGGCGCCATGGTGCTCCGCCTTCGTTCCTTCAGCAAGAAGCGGCGCAGATGCCTGGCTCCGCCCTGCTTCAAAAAGTTTTTCCCTTGCCCACCCCATGGCGTTTTTCTTTCCCCCCTGTCCACTCGTTCACCCTCCCACTACGCGGCATAAGCTGCGGCCTTGTAAGACTAATGATTCATCATGAAAGCGATGCACTTGCACAGGCAAGTAAAAGTATCCTTGCTGCTCCGCAAAGTGAGATAGGAAAAATCAAGAGAATGCTGGAGCGATCGCGATTCAACAGAAATATATAAAATGCAAATTGCGAGTCAGGCACTTCGAATGGTGGATCACAAACGAAAGAAATAAATCGACGAAATAAAGATAGAGAGAAAACGCGCAACATGGTGTTGGTTGCCGCAAAACCTACCTGAGGCGATGGAAAAATGAGGGCAAGCAAGAACATGTTGTTTTCTGGCTTTTTTGGTTTCTAAGTCTAAATTGTGCGGTCTAGGTGTAATTCTTGACCACCACTGGTTTGCATGTGCATTCTTGTTGCTCCTGATATCGGCCTCCTGCGGCTGCACTCATCTTTGACTTGCTATGTCTTCTGGGAAGACACTGGTGCATCGCGCTAACTTCAGTCCTTGACCATCCTTAACTGTTTTTCGCAGTTGTGCTGAGAACTATGGTTTCCGGCAGCTATTCATCGAAAAAGGCGGACGATTTCGACACGGTGGACCCATATGCGGGTATCCAGCTTGACACTGGCACCGCCGCATTCAGCTTTCCCTTCGACGATCCGAAACTACGCGAAGAGAAAAAACCCGCGCGCGCCCCTGCGAAGAGTAAACACATCGGTAATAGATTAGTGCCCGTATGTTCATCTTGGTCCTAGTAATTTGTTGACTTTTTGCATTCGGAAGATTGCAGCTCCGCCGCCGCCAACATCTTTCACTTCTTCGACCACGAAATACTTTGGATGACATTTATTTCAGATGTAAAAAGATCCGATCTGTCTTAGTGTCGGCGTATGTAAAAAGCGCTACGATTACGTATGGATATGGTCGTGCTACTCATGTGTCAGAGATAAAAATATGCATAAACGAAAACTAGCGGGGAGGTCTTGATCTCGAAATATATAAAAAATAATAAGTAAAAATTTCCAGCGGGGGCCGTCGTCTCAAAAACCGGCAATGAAAGTGAAACAGAAGACTCGGAGGACTTCGAAACACTGGAAGCTTTTCTGAATGCGGGGAAGAAGAAGCAGAGGCCCTCAAGCGGACCGCTGTCGTCAAGTATGTGATAGTGCTCCTCCTAGCCAGCGATCTTCATGTTGCTCATGCGCATTTTCATCGTCTGTGATATTTTTTTTTCTGTTCATCTTGCCCGGGCATGGCGTCAATTGTTTCAAGGCTCTATGGTCCTGTGATATTTATTTTGAGGCGTCCGTCGTTCTCGTTTGTTCACCTGTGATGTCTGTTTATTGTTGGTTCATATTCTTAAACTGCTTGTTGATGTTGTCGATCTTGATACGGGCGTTTGGATTTCTCATCCTCATGTATGTTCACTTTTGCACGAGCACGACCACAACACAGGTACTGCCGGTCCCGGTATGTAGCCCAAGAAAAAACCCAAAAGCGTTACAGACAGGACACACTTTTGCGGGTTCTTTAGGAACATGAACATCACAGCATCGCTCTGCATCGCAAGAAGAGAAAACAAAGATCTGGAATGCGGAGATCCTCAAGGAAAAGACTCACGAAGCTGGGAGGTATCCCGAGCATAGCGGGCGAGATTGCCTTTCTTGCTTGAAGCATGATTTCTTTTCCGACCTACAGAGGTGCGTAAGAACCTGTAGCGCTCTTTTCGTTGCAAAGCGTCCTTCGTAGCTCTACGACCGGAAACTCAGATCCTGCGGTATCATGTGCGAAAGTATCAATCTTACTTAGTACGTAGAACGAAAACCACTTGCACGATGGATAACCAAGTTTTCTTAGCGTAAGAAATGGAATTGGTATACGCGGACTTACCTCCTTGAGAAGGGCAGGGCTTGTAGTGCCCGACTGCAATTACTACTACGAGTGGGAGTGCGATACTTTTGCCATGCATCTGCGACGCGAGTTGACAAAACGCTGCGCTGGTCCCTGGACGGGGAGGTGGATTCGCCTGTTTTGGGCAGAAGTGGGGTAAGAAATATAAATATCAAAGACGATGACCAACAAGAACAAACGGCTTTGCTTCATAGACTCTTTTCCGTCTTTCTTCGCACAGATCACTTGTCGTATCCATATGACAGAAAGAACTGCAAGTACGAACATGATTTTGGTATAATAACTATAAACCGCAATCGCAAATGATACAGCTATCACTCGACCCAAAGCAGGTGGCAGCTGCCGCGGCCTCGTCCTTGCCCGCGACGAAACGAAGCAAGGACAGCAGTGGCAGTAGCGGCAGCGCATCGGGAGAGTCATCGTCTTTCGAGGAGCAGGACGGTGATGTGTTTGGCAAAGTCCAAAATTGGTCTGACTTCAAGCTGAAGGCCACTGGTTCCAGTGTTGGTGCTGACGAAGGCACCTCGCCTACAATTGCACCGCCAGCCGCCGCGACTTCTAAAATCAGTGACGGTGGCAGGAGCGGAGCAGCTGATCATGCGACCGTAGCTACAAGAACGAGCCCGCCCAAGGAGGATATCAAAGGTTCGACCGCTGATCAAATCCACACGACGAGCGGAGGCGAGCAGCAGGAGTCGCGCCAGTTGTACAACAACATCAGTATAATCAGTAAGAGGACGGGGGATACCGATACTCGCTCCGACATCACTTCTATCCCCGTCCTAGTAGAAAGCGCTTCCGCGCCGCGCCCCGTGACGATCGAATATGAATTAGAAGGCGACGAATATTCGGAGATTTCCGAGGACATCCTTCCGCGGGAGCATTCCCTGGCCAGCGCCAGCCAATCGTATGTGGACGACTTCGACGAGTACGAAGAGAGCGAGGCGCCCGTGTCCCCCGCCGGCTCCTCATCTTCTGCAGCATTTGCAGGCGGTGCAGTGTCCTCCAGCAGCAATAAAGCAGAAGCTCGCATGTCCGCGCGCAGTGAGCGTTCGCAAGCGTCGTCGACCGCACGGCAGCATCGCTCCGGTGAGGGTCGTAGTTCGTCTGCGTCGTCCTCGTCTTCATCCTCTGCGGCAGCTGCGGGCTATGGGAGTGTAGTCAGGATTGAAATCGTAATCGACAAAGTTGAGATAACTTGTAATGCATGAAATCGATACCAGTGGGCGGCCTAATTTCCAAGCGGTTCCTGACAAATTTCGGTACCGTCTAAATCCAGTCTGTCATGCAGTTTTTTTAGGGACAGAAGGCGTCTTTTGGCATGCTACTTTAGCAGCTCTACTGCAGACCCCAAACAGGCGGACAGTCGGCCTCGCTTGCCATCCCTGCACGGTAGGCGCTTCATGTCGTGCAATTTATGCATGAGAAATTATTTCAACTTTGTCGATTTCGACCCTGGCGCTTCCATACGGGCGAGGGCGAAGATACTGTCGAGCAGTCCTCGAAGCGGCGGAAGCGGCCGTCTCCACGAGACCGCAGCGGTCTGCTGCGCAAGAGCCAGGGAGCAGACGGAACGACGGGCACTGGCGAGAGAGCCGGGACTTCGACTTTTTCCGCGCAGAGCAGTCCGGTCGCATTTGATAAGCACTACGCGTCCACCTCGCCATCGTCATCTGTGTTTGATCACGCCGACATTTACGTTGGCGGTCGCGGAGACCAGGAGCCTGAGCTTACCAGTATTATGATTGCTTCCGTCGACAAGCAGGCTGCGACATCATCTTCAAAAATGCGGTTCGCAAAAGTCGGGGCTGGTACTACCACTGCAGGCGGGTCGTCTTTGTCTTCGTCGGAACGAGACGAAGGTGCTCGCTCAAGAAGACGACACGCCGACGTACAGATGACGGAATCGCTAAAAACCGAGGGTCACAATACGGCGTCTTCCACCGCGAGCGCAAGCAAACCTGTAAAGCACCGTGCGCGCGAGATCGCAATCCAAACAGATGGACCAGGAGTCATGGGCGACTCAGGACAACCACAGTACTCGATTGGGGCACCTGGTGGTGCACTTCCGGCGTTTGGTGGAGCTGGAGCGGCAGCGCCACCGTATGCAGCTGCGCCCCAAGCCGCGCCGCCCTACGTTGCAATGGGATCGCAGCATCATCATCCGTACTACCCCTGTCCACCGCATGCGCCGTCGATGCTGGCAGGTGCAGCATCGCCGTTCCTTGGGTATTACCCGCCGCCGTACTATCCGCAGTACGGAGCGTCGCTGGGAGCTTCCTATCAGCCTCAGTGGACATCAGGATCCAGGACGGTGCCGCTCTCTGAGCACGAGAGCCAGCGCTACAGCCAAATGCGCCGAGACCTCTTCCGGAATGCGCTGCAACAGGGTAGTACACAGGCGGAAGGTACTTCCACCGAAGAAACGGAAGAGATGTTTTTATTGTCCTGCTGCGTCTCTTGCTCTTCAATCAAGTTTGAGAGGTCTGCCCTTCTTGAAGAGTCACCTGCCTTGAGCAAGTTTTAATACTTGATCAATGATCAAGGCAGTTTATTGATAGAATGCACAAGATTGGCGATCGTGAGAGTCATAGTGTACGAATCGGAAAATCCTGACATCTGCATCTGGATATGTTGGATTGAAATGTACACATTCCGAAACCAATAAAAGCGAGGGCTAGTAAGGGCTCACTTTGATCTACCCAGGCGCAGGCCCGACCGCGCTCTCCCGTACAGCTTCTTGGGCTGAAACGCAGGACGAAGACGGCGTCGCGCACGGCCAGACAACCCCGCCGCTTGCTTCGAAATCCAACACGACCTTGAAAGACGAAGAGTTTATGCCTCCGTCACGAATTCCACCAACAACGGTACCGCGCAACTCGGCCGAGGCGGAAAAGGAAAACGTACTTCCAGCCCGCTCCGAGCACGGTGTAGACCCAGCGCCTGCGAGGGATCCGCTCGGTCCTATGCGTATCCACCGTGATAAATGTAATGCAGCCGCACCAGACGTGATACGATAGGAGTAGGACTAGGAGTTGTTCTACAGCTACAGCAGGCAGAATGACAGTTATAAAGTCGTGGCGAAAATAGAATTACAGGACGTCAACGCCGGCGAAGTACGATGTGATACGGGTGAGTCCACCAACATGCGTATATCAATCGAGGTGGGAAATAAGCCGGGTTGTCAGTCGAAAGTCGCACAGACTTCATATCGTTCTACATGTGCGGTTGTAAAGAACTGGTGAAGGTCCATAATGCGCACGCCGTTGTTGCAAGCCTTGGAACTGGTATCAAACTTAAACAAAAAGATCGTGTTCGTCACGAATACTCCTGCGCATTTTTGCAATACAAAACGAAAATTTTCTGTCATGCGTAAAATTGCATGACAGTCGGGTCGCATTTACTTACCACTTGCGTTTGTCTTTTTGCAATGCACGAAAATCAAAATAATTCAACGATGCCAGAAAAAAATCGGATGCAAACAAACGAGCAAAACAGGGGCTATGACCACGAGCTTTTTTCTTTCCACATTTGGTGGACCAAAACTTCGTTGATCAGTTCAAACTGCTGCGCGCCCAGGCCGCCATTCACCGCGAGCGGATGCTCAGTTTGCAGAACCGACGCCCTGGCTTCAGATACACTAACTCCGCAGACTAGGAATCGCCACAAGTCCTCCCTCATTTGAAGAGTATGAGCCAGATTTGATGAAGTGCGCTGGTGCCTCCAGTCGCTCTTCCAGCACATACACCAAGAGAAGTATGCTTACCTTGACATCCCGATCGCCTGCTCGGAGAGTGCTTAGCTCTCGACACTGCCTCAGCTTCGGCCATGCTTTTCTGATTTTCGAGTCTAGTGACAAACTACTGACTGTGCGCAAGTCTTGCACTTGGTGCGAGCTCTTGGTGGCCACGGGCGAATAGTTATAACGTTCCGTATGTCTTCTTTTACAGCATGGCTACATACGTAGTTACTACGTATGTAGCCATGCTGTTGTCGGCCGTTTGAGTATGATAATGATTGCTGCAGTGCACCATCAGAAGTGGGCTGTCGCCCGTCGCCTTTCTGTGCGCACCATCAGACGCGCATTAAATCGCGATGCTTGTAAGTGTGTATAACTCCGCGTTGATCACTAAGCTCGGTGGCGCTTTTGTTTCCGGCCTGCTTTACTGCACACGCAAGAAGCTCGCCGCTGGGCCTACAAGCTTGGGGCTTAACTCTCCTGTTCGACTTTCTCTCTTCCCATGAGGCGACGGGTCGGGAGATTGTTTTGTTGGGGGTTGAAGATGCTCCTCAGCGCTTAGGGTTCTTGCATCTTCTGGACACCGAGCGTGAGGGTGGTAGCGCGAAGTGAACCCCGATCGGACTTCCCTTCACTGCTAAAACGGGTGGTGTTGCGTCGTCCGAGATGCCTGGCTCTCAATGCAATCCAGTGCAAACAATTAACATTCAGGAAGGTTAGGTGGTTACAACAGCAGTTTCTGGCTCGCCTTGGCAGCTCGTACAGTGCCGAAGAAGCTTGCGCTAAATTGTATTTATGTCGGATTGAAGCACCTACGCTTCCGTGTAAGTATTCATAGTGTCTTGCCGGCGCCGGTTCGCCTGGGTCATCTTCACTTGCCAGTAACTACGACTTGGAAGTTGCGGCGTCCAGCATCATCTCATGCAAGATCTCGTGCCAAATGCAAAAGACGGAGAGTCGAATACGAATTGTGAGGTTTCGCTTTATTTTGCATGAGTACTACAGCTACAAACGAGGGAGGGGGATTTGCGGACTCTCCATACAGACGTGAAGCGTCTGCTCGCGGAGCAGACCAAGCGACTCAACCGCGCAGCGGGGCGATAGGCAGCTGGTCTTAATTGGCGTGCTTGTATACTACAAATGGTAGTGTTATATATATTAAGAGAAAAAAGTAGACGACACCGAGTGGACCACGAAGATCACAAGTTTTAATTGTCCTACGGTCTACGACACGTGGAGCAGGAAGATTTTTTGTTTTCCTTTTTGTTTTTGTCTTTCGCTTCCTCTTCTACAATACATGCAAGAGCCGAAGTGCAGCGCAACATCAAAAACATAAACAATTTATGATATACATTTACATCACCTCTTGCTTGCGGTACAAGTTGAAGTTGTTACAGAGAGCAACAAATTCGACAAGAGAAAGCAAAGCTAGACTTTCCTCTTGCGTTCTCTGGCGATTCCATTTTGATTTGCCGACAATGTCAATGTTGAACAGCTTTGCTTTATTGTTTGGGTTGTGCATCGCGGGAGTCGGCCCGGGGGGCCCTTCTGATTGCCATTTGGTTGATTCGGCGGCCCGCTGTGTGGCTATCTATCCGCCACGAGCGCAGCGCGTAAGTCATCTCAGTGTCAGAGTAGTCAGAGAGCTGCAGCTGCCTCAGAGCGGGGGCGGGCAGATTTCTGTAGACGATCAAGTAAGAGCAAAACGAATAAAGGATGCTCACGCTACCGCACTTCGATTTTGATGTTCGGCACTTGTTCATCACCTGTTATAGTATAGTGCTTTTTAAGCTACCGCTAACCCTATGCGCCAAAAAATGAGTCCGCGTTCACAACTTTTCTCCCTCTTTGCGGCGATTTCGAATCGCAGTGGATAGAAGAACAAGGCGAACGTGCTTCGTGTTCTTTGCCCTTCTCGTCTGCCCGTTCGCGGGCCGGGAGCACGAACATGATGCTGATAATTACTACAAACATGAAGAACCCATCAAACAAGAACGGCTCAACATATTAAGTCACTATGCTTACTCCGAAAGCGGGGGTCGTAGGGTCCGGGTCGCCGGGCCCGTCCAGAACTTGCGCAGTACTTCGCTGCGGATGTTTCGCCTCTGGAATTTCAGAGCCTGTCAGGCACAAGATGGAGTGGTCTTGCGAAGCTAACAAGTGCTCCCAGTGTCGCACTCCGCGAAACGGAGCCGGGCTGTTGCACTGAGGTCGCCCCGGGGTCGCCCCCAAATGTTATGCGACGCGCCAACATTTACATTTTGCGCCGGAAGAGGCTTCGGCGTGTCGGCGCCGCGCGCGCCTTCTCCTTGGTAGGTACCCAAACCAGGCCGCGAAGACAGGCCGCAGGGACCGCCCGGCGGTGGCTTCAATTCCAGAGGCGTTTCGTTGTCTCCCTGCACACTTGTGCACTTCGCGCAAATGAGCTGCTGTGGCAGCGCCATCGCGTAACGCACGTTACACGGCGGCTCTCTGTTTCACTTGTGCCTGCCCGGCCGTGTCAATAGTGCTCCCCTTGGCGGCCGCTTTAATTTCAGAGGCATGTCCATGCCTATATGCACGCTTGCGCACGTTGCAAAAAGCTTGCCACCGCCGTGCCATCGTGTAACGCACGTTACACGACGGCCCTCTGCTTCGCCGCAGCCCCCTTCGCGTGTGGGGAGCTGTGTGCGAAAAGCCTTGCCGCTTTGGGTTGTAAGGAGGCGCCCTCGTCCTCTCCTCTGGGTAAGGCGCCCGCCAGCTAGCCATAAGAGGGGCAAGGCGCTGCTGGCTCGCCTGCCGGGCTGCGTCTCTCACTCTTGGTAAGTGAGCAGCGGCCCTCGCCGTCGCCTTCGTGTCAGTCCTGGTTGGAGGTGGTGCGCGACTGTGCTCACCCTCGCTCGCAGCTGCAAACAGGCGACGGCCCTTCTGTTTTGTTCCTGATGCGCCCCGCCGAGAGGATTTCTTTTTCTTGTGGCGTGCGGGCCTTGTTCTCCGGGATCCTCGATTTAGTGGCGCGCAGCTACCCGCTCCGACTGGAATTTAACGAAGTTTGCCGGGTGAGTGTGTTTCCTTTCTTTCTGCCGGACCAATTGAGTTGTAGTTTGTCATGCTCACAACTGTGTGATACCATCAGGATTTCGAACAAGAGCTTACCCCATGCCGACCCGGCGCCACGGGAAGGCACTGGGATGACTTCATGTGGGGGGCTGGCGAAAACGTACAGGGGCCTTCTCTTTTTTTTTTCCGTTTGGCCAGCGGACAGAGGGCGGCTGGGGATGCCGGCCGCTCGTTTCCAAATAAAACCAAGGCGACCATCTTCATTGAGTAGACTAATCTACTGAAGCAATAAATAGAAACTTCAAGACCGCGAAAAAAAAAAAGAAAAGAAAGCAGGAAAAAAAAAGAAAGCGATGACCTGCAGTGCTATCAGAGAAAAAGAAAAGATCCTGAGGAAAAGAAAGAGAAAAATCATAAAAAGATGCGCAGAGCTCAGGCACTAAAGTCGCAGGGGTGGGTGGTGTATAAACATAAAAGCGCCACGACCGATAGCACACACAGAAGCGGCAAGAGAGAAAAAAAGAAATAAACACCATACCTCCCTGCGCAGGTTGATCAAGCAAAGTGTGAAAAGCTTCGGCTATGCACGGCGCTTGGAGGATCTCGTATACCTGTTGGGCCCTTGGGCACAGTGGTCAGGCTTCGGCCGGTTGTTAGGTAGTCCTGTTCGACACTAGGCGACCACCGGAGGAGAAGGGGTTGCCTGGTGGTTGGTCGGGGGTTAGGACGAGTGCCACGGATGAGGAGGTAGTGGCGCTTGTTCTTGAATGCCAGCGGCAAGAGGAGGCGCCAATGGCAAACTCCCACCGGGTGGCCGGTCACTGCTAAAACGGGCGGTGAAACGTCACCCGGTGTGCGGAAGGGTTTCACTCTTCTGCAGATATTCTTACCTTCAGGATTACGTAGCAGTATGCGAGAGGATTTTTCCCGCTCACCTTAAGAAGCGCACACGTCATTCTTTTTCTTGTGGCTTGTGCTGGTTATTTCCATTTGTTCTGCCGCTTCTGATCTGCCGCTCGGTGGGTGTTCTGCTTCTTTCAGAGCTGCGGTCGGATCTTGGCTTGGTCATCCGCAACTTCTTTGGAGATTCGCCGGTGTGAAGCTTCGTCCGGAACTTTTTCCACGATTGTCTCAGAACTTGCAAAAAACTTGTTTTGGAACTTGCAAAGTTTTTTTTTTTGGCTTTTCTTTTTTTCTCGTTCCGCGATGGGATAGCCAATTACAATTTTCCGCCTTTCTTTTTCGGTCTGCGAAACGTTTTTCTGCAAGTTCCGAGACAAGTCTGCGGACAAGTTCCGAGACTAGGTCCGGAAAAAGTTCCGAAACAAGTGCCGCCGCAAATTTCTGAACAAACCCCAGAGCAAGTAGCCCCGGAACAAGGCCCGGGGCAAAGCTCCTGCGTGTGCAAGGGCCCCGCGGGCAGGCTTCTGGGGCGCTAGTTTCGGAACAAACTAGCTAGGCCCGCTACATGGCCCATGAGGGTGGTCCGGGCCGTCGCGCCGGCAAGAGTGTGGCGTCGGTCTGAGGGCGCCGACCTTCGCCACTGCCAGTGGGTCACGTCCTCTGGGAGGGGGCGGTGCTCTGGTGTGATCCTGTTAGAAGGCCTCGCAGCCCTAAAGGGCGGCCGTCGGACCGCCCAGGGGCGGGGCTTCCGGGACTCTGAAGAAACGGCAACGGGGTTTCATGGCGTCGGAGGCAGCCTGGGTGCTGGCTCGGCGCAGCCAACAAGCAAGCTTGTCTCCCCCGCGGCGCCCGGTGTGGATGTGTCGGCCCCTGTCGTCCGGTGGGCCCGCGGAGATTGTTTCTATTTTGTTGTCATTGCGCGCGCGCCCGAAGCGCTTTGTTTTTATCACATTGGAGCAAACGAAGCCGCGCGCCATCGTGTAACGCGCGTTACGCGACGGCGTTGTCGTTTCGTCCTGTCGCCTGCTGCGCAGCTGTGGCATGCTTCCGGCTCCTGTAGAAGCACTGTTTCACCACAGAGCGACACTCGCTCTCGCGTCCCCCCTCTGGCGCAACACCTCAAAGAAAGGCCTCCTTTCATGTCGTGCCGACAGCCGCGAGCACGGGCGCCCGCTCGGCTATAGGGGATGCATGCTGCATCGCGCCCATCTTCGGTTGGTGTGCAAGCGTGTTTCCGTAGCGTTTGGTCGTCGCTGGGGTGGTTCGTCTCGGTGGGCTGCTGCCTCGCACCAACATGCAGCCAGCAACCACCTGAGCAGAATAAACCGGTGGAAGGCTCCTCCTACTGGGGCTGGGCCCTCGTTGCCTGGCACCCCGGCGCCCTCTCGTATTGCCCCATCCGGGAATCGGCCCGACAATTTCTGGGCAAGTTCTGTGCGAGTTCAGCGCCGCATACATCTAGACCCATGCTTTCGGAGTAACACTATGCGAATAGTTGTACTGGAACCAACACGACCTTAGCTGCTTTCGCCGTCGCTGCGAAAACCTTTGATCTCCGCCGGAGCCGGCAACCACCGGCATCCACACAACGGGGCGCCGCACCGGTGCGCTCTTTTGCGCTTCACAACAGCAGGCGTCAGGTGTATGAGGAGCATGTTGTGTCGACTGGTGAGGTCGTTTGTCGTGCTGTTTGGTCCTGATGCGAGAACGTATTGGAGCGACGGGAACAAGAGCTTCCTTGTCAGTGGGCTGAGCATCCAGAAAAGCCTCCACCAGAGAGATGCATCTTTCACTTCGGCTTTGGGAACTACATCAAGATCAACGTCCAAAACGGGAATTGAGAAGACCTGGAAAAATGTCGTTGCGCAGGAGAAGCAAGAAGTAAAGGATAATGCGCAGGAGCTCTTAGGGGGGACTGCCGGTGCTTCGAGTGACGACGCTTCGCTGAGTGCTGCCGCGGCAAGAGCCACAGATGCAGCGCTCGTCGAAATAATCGAGGCAAACTCAAACGAACACCACCACCCTGTGATCGTTACAAACGGCGACCCCCGTTACCGTCCTCGCACGATAACGAGACCAGGACGAAGCCAAAACGAAGCCAATCGGGCAGCTTTTACAAGGGCCCACCTCTGGCAACGCAAAACGCCGGCAAGTTTTCCCATAGTGGTCGGCCGAGACGTTTACAGGGCCCCCAGCCTCTGGCGTTTCTGCTGCAAGTAAGCGGGGGCGCCATTTGCGTTGTTCGCTCTGTGGGCTCGGGCGCATCGCCTTAAGCATAGGGAGAAGCCCGCCGGCGACGCAGCGTGCCGCCGGGCTCAATTTTTGAGCCGCATGGCACTACAGCAAACGCAAAAGGCCCTGGCTGTCGGCGTCGCAGCGCTTTGCGCTTCCCACATGCCCAGGGGGCGCCGCTTTCGTCTTGCCTGCCTGTGGCTACTATGCGAAGCCCCAGCGCCCCGCGCAGTGCCTGCTATATTCAAATCGTTACGGCCGCACTTTGGCCCAGTAGATATTTGCACGCGGCCACCCCTTGCCGGCATCGCCGGAAAACCGAAGCCAAAACGAGGCCAAAACGAAGCCAAAGGGCAAAAAAGCCGAGGCCAAAACGAAGCCAGAGCGAGGCCAAAACGAGGCCAAAACGAGGCCAGGCAACCGCGTTGCGTGTCTGGAAGGGGAACGCGAAAAGTTTTGGATTTTTGTCGTCGCCCGGCTCGCGCTGCCGTGCCGCCGTGGAAGCGACACCAAAACGAGGCCCAGACGAGGCCAAAACGAGGCCCCGCGGCCTAATTCTGGGCCTCATCTTTCCGGCAAAAAGTTGCAAGGCTTGGCCGCATTTTTTTCGGACGGCTTTGGCTTCGTTTTGGCCTGGTTTTGGCTTCGTTTTGGCCTGCGCCCTTTCGGACCGTTCTGGGCCATTATCTGCAGCAGGGGCATGGGCCCAACTTCCGCAGCAGGCGCGAGGACTTTCTTATTTTGGACAGCGAGCGGCGTCTAGGTGGGGGCACCCGGTAGACGAGCTCTGGCGTGGTCATTGACTAGCGCGGGCACTATCTTTCTGGTCGCAATCCGATGCGGCTCAAAATTTGGGCCGCGTGGCATGCTGCCCGCGAATCGATAGCCCCGTGGCCCATGCCCCAGTATGGGCATCAATATGAAGAAAATAATTTAGACTCCGCGGGGCGCGCTAGTCATTCTGAGGCAGTTGCAGGGACCACGCGCCGGCGGCATGGAGTAGAGCTACACAGCCCCCGGCCGCGACGTTGTCGGCGCCCGCGCGAATGCCAAAAAGCGACAGGCCTGGCCTCGTTTTGGCTTCGTCCGGGTCTCGTTCTCGGGTCTCGGCGGTAATGGGCGCGCCGTTTGTAAGATCGGCGCGGCCGCGAATGGCGGGAATTCGTCAAATTCGTCAAATGACACAAGGAACCACGCGGTGGACAGTGTCGCTATGGGTTGTATGTGGGCGATTTTCCAGCTGCAGCTGCTAGCCGCGACTACTAGCGAATAAAAGCTAGGTTGTTAGCATGCGGATTTTCCTAGTATAGTACAGTTTATGTTGTGATAGTGATGCAAAACATGAAGAAACTGTTTCTTCATGATAACGATCAAACAAACAGAAAGCCTACCAAGCCCAAAGTTACTCCATAGTACACTTCTGCATGCAGTTGCGTGGTGTGCTTTTGCAATGACAAAACATAAACACAGACAGTGGACGCGGAGCACTTTTGCAAATCCGCATAGCAGAAGGAGGCTTCGATTTTTTGTTTGGGCTAGCAGCAGTTCGTTGCTCAAACCACTCACCTCCTCTCTCTTATAGACGTCGATAGGAGCGACAACGCAACAGACAAAGTGTTCATGGCTGAAGGCGGGATCCACTGCAAATGTGTGAACGCAGGATTTTCGTCTGCAGGTGGCCGAGACAAATTCGTTGCGCCAACGTTTGATGCCTACGATCAGGGGTGGTTAAACGGAGGTGATGACTTTTCCGATACGGAATACGGAGTGGGCTACGCGTACTTCCCTTTTTTTAAAAGTAGCGTCTCCGTCGGGCGGTTGAAAGTTGTCACTTTGGAATGAGAAACAGTCTACAGGTCGTACAGGATGTAGTAGTAGTAGTAGGACTACTTAAAGGCACGTAGAATTAGAAAAAAGTAGAACTGGAAACAGAAGTGAGTGTTTCAAAATCTTGAACCGATTTGACCCGCCTGATTTTCTTGGAGCACCCTGCATGCGCGATTTTGACAAAACTGAACGAAGAGCTTTCGTTGTTCATCTCACAGGTCTGACTATGGGGGCATCTCAGACTACGGAGAGTATTGCTTCGCCTGGGAAGATATCCTGTGCAAAAGTATCGCACTCGTATTGCAGTCATGCTTTACAAATCTCTTTCGTAAGGTGAATCAGCATTACAAATTTCATTTCTCATGCTGAGTGGTGCATTTGCATACGAGTGCGATAATTTTCCAACTCATAGAAGATATCCTTTGCATACCGATGGCGGTCGTACTCCTTTGGAGGAATTCAGTTGCAGAATCTGCATCGTAGCAAATCAGCACTGTAAATGCTTATCGTTATCCTCTTACCTTTACATTTACTATACAACGGTGCGGTGTCTGAGTTGCGGAAATCTGTGTAATATGCAACTTTCCTGCAGCGTGTATACAACGCATCACTACAGGTCAAGCAGAAGCACGGCATCAAAATAAAAGTAGAAGCTCGCTCCGCCTACTATCGTGTGTACCCAGACTTGGCTTTGATTTCTGGTGGACTTTGCATTGCAATATACGCATTTTTCCATCGTGCGGCCGCCTACAATAGTTTTGCAATGCAGCGAGGATGAGACCGTTGGTGGTAAATCCGGGGACTTTCCTGAGTGCAATCCAGTAGTGATGACTAGCAGGATATCAAGATGAAAACTGCCTCAGCCCAACAAGTTGAAGTTTCGAGAAGTGGTTGCTTTGCAAATTGAGAAACTTGACACGCGGCAGAAACACCTTGTTTGTCTGCCGTAGCCGTGTGAGCAAATTGCAACGCAGCAGTGGCGCTGCGATGTGAAACAGTGCTGTAGTTCACATTCTCATACTCATGATCGACAAAAAGGCTTTCAGGGTGGGTCGTAAATATTTCCTATGCCTGGGCTTGGGCTGGGGACTCTCGCCATTTTGATCCAAGACCGAGGTCGTTGATACGTTCAACATGTATGCATTGCATATATGATGTCTTGGTCTGGAAGGTTGCAACATCGGAAGCTGTCTTTGGATTCTAAAAAAATAAAAAAAAATCAAGAACAGCGCCCGTATTGCATGACCAGCAAGAGGCGTTCAGTTTGTGCTACGCGGGGAGCGCATTTCTCACAGGCGGAATAGGCATCAGGATGGAAGCCCTCGAAAAATTTGTGATGCTAGGGTGTGCGTCGTGGGTCATGCAGAATATGCATGACAAGGCTGGCATCAATCTCGCAGACCCAGACACGTTTGCAGTGGATAACATAACAAACGGACATAAAAGTGTTTTTGGTCGTGGTGCAGCTTCTTTGACTTTGACAATACACTGCATCAGTACAGGAGATGCACAAACAAATTTTTAGAGTATGATTTACATTTTTTTGATGTTCGAAGTCGAGCACCTCCGTTTCAGGTCTGGTTCTGTCCTAGTCACAGGGACTGTGTCCAATAAAGTGCCCGTGTTAACATCAGATGCTGGAGGCGCGCATTTTTGTCGTATTGTGCCATCTAAATAAGAAGATGAACAAGAGCAGTCAGGACCAGGAGATGCTCGGTTGATAGATGTTTTTCGCATGGAACTAACATTCACCACCACTATCACGCAGTTGCATCCGGCGATGGCCTCACTTTTTGCTCAGGATAGCATCAGACGCAGTTTGACGAGTTTGGTATAGCACGCTCAGGTGTTACAATCTCATTTTTTGTACTGTGAATGTCGATGGACAGGTTAACGGGTTTTGTCTTGCATGAACAACAAACAGGACGTCGAACGCGCAAAGCCAAAGTTTTTCCTTTGTCTTTGTTATGTATAATAATGCTAATTCCAGCGGGCGGCAGCGGCTCAGGTGTTGTTTAAGGACGATTAATAATGCAGAACTCGCCACGCGCATTCCGATTTGGCAAGGAATATTTGATATTTCAGAGTATGGTGCAGTTTTCATTTTTTGGATGGCACCAAAAAAACAAAATTGAAATTAAAATTTCGGAAAAATGGAAATCGTATCAGCTGAGATTGTAAAAACTCCTGAGCGAGGTATATTTGGCGGGAACACGACGGTAACCGTCACGGTGACACAGGTGATCACCGAGGAGAGGAATACGGTAGAAGTGTCAGGCGGGAAGTCGACAGCATGAAATAAGTAGGATTTGTTTCCAGGGCGTAAAAAATTTATTGCCATCGCAAAAAGTTTGTGTATGTAAAGTAAAAGCAAATCTATCTCTATCTGTATCCTCACCGAATTCAATTCATTTGGAAGAGAAGGAAGCTCGGCCGGTTGCAGGTTTGCTTCGGCTCGGAGTAGGAGAGGAGGATGCGCGAGACCTAGCAGAGCCTTGGCCTTGCTTCTTCCGCAGCACATAGCACGAAAATTCCTAGTGACTGTCCTTCAAACAACATCTCCTACTTCTTATAGTTTAAAATCGGCTTGGAACAAGGTCAAGCTCAGCTTCAGACAAATGCGCCAGCACATCTAGGACCCACGGGCAATATATAGCGACATTTCGACGGTTGCGGCGCTGTTGTGCCTCTCTAGCACGTCGTGGATCGTGATACACCTGGGGGCTTCTAGGCTAGACTTGCTATGACGTCCGGCCCGCCAGGCGTAAAGAGGCTTCTGCTGCTCCAGCTTTATGACTCTCTGGGTGGGACCACATGCCCCGGATGTATGGACGAAGAACGTTTCGCGCCGCCGCCCATTCTGCTATAAACTATATTTACAACCATAACGGGGGGTCTAGTCACCGGCTCTAGAACTTTCTGCCCGCGGCCTTTCAAAAGATGGAAAAGAAAGGTCGGCCAGACGGGCAACTGGGCGAGGCTCTTGGGAGCGCTCGCCAATTGAATTGCGCCAGCCATTTGGCCTCTGCGGCGCCGGAGCCGCGCTGTTTCGTTATGATATCTGTTGACCGATATAACGCGAGCGCACTGGCATCGGTCACACGTGAATCACAGGCGGACTCCTCCCGGCAGCTTTCTGATTTATTGCTATCCTGAGCAGACGAGTCCCGCCGTGTTCCGCGATAGGCTTTGACTTCGGCGCCGAAGCTGGTTGCTGTACCTTTTAGATGCGAAGCATACCTTTGTGGGTAACCTTTTGCATGGCGGCACTGCGTAGAGGCAAAAACGCGAAGTCGGAAAATGCTGCTTGAAGTCTTAGGCGAAACGCGATGGCCCTAGCGATTTTAAAAGTTTTCTTTCGGCCTTTTCCGCTACTCCTGGACAATGAAAACTGACGCTACGACGCCACTGCTCGGGCCGCTCATCTTTTGGGCCACGACCTAACAGTAACAAAGGCAAAAGAAAGCTTTTAAAAAAATTTTGAAACCACGGAGCAGCAAAACACTAGCGGAACCCAACCGACTCCGCCGCCTGGAGCTTCCAAAAAGGCGGCCGGACTAAGAGCTTTGTCTTGAATGCTCTTTTCGGGCCCATTCTTTTCGGACTGGAAAAAGCTTGGACTTTTTGGCGTCCGCCATAGTACCGCCGCGCCAAAGTCAGGGGCGCCCCAGCACCGATGGCATTGATTCTGCTGCCGCCTCTTTGCGTTTTTTATACTCTTCGGCGAGCGCTACTCTTTTCTTGCGAAAGCAATCCGCCTTGGAAAGTGTCGGGGATTGTAGTGTTGGGCCGGCCACCTCCTCTGCGTGCCAAGTTTCTGACCTGGGAGGTAACAAAGGCTCGCCCGCCGTTTCTGCTTAGCCGTTGCAGGTTTTCGCAACCCGAGCCGCGCCGGCGCCTCCCATACCATGAGCGAAAAGCTTGCAACACCCAGGAGCCGCGCCTGGCTCTGCTCCTGGGGAAAACTAGAAGAGAAAAAAAAGCAGCAAGGCGGCAGCACTGCCGTCGGTCACTCCTGAATCGCCACGGTGTGCTGCCGTAGCGACCACCCCCGACACAAATGGGTCCAAAACGTTCGCGGATGGCGCCCGGCCCTGTAGGACAAAAGGCGGGCAAGTCTTGGCGGCTTCATGTTGTTGGTTTTCTCTTGTTTCAAAAGTTTTTGAGAAGTTTCCGCGAAGTTCTGGCGGCTTAGTACAGAGCCCCCGTTATGGTTGTAATATTTGTCGTGTGGCGGTGGCGGTGCTTCCGCTGAGAAACTTGGGGGCACTACACGCTAAAGATTGTCCCACTTATTGAGATTGACGATTTCCCAACGCCTGACGCTGTCATAAGGAACAACACCGACCGGCCGGAATGGTGTTCCAAAAAATGGTGCTACATTAAGGAGGTCACGACGCAGCTTGGGCAGGTCAAACTGTACCCGGAACAGCCGAAGTGCTCGAGTATGCAAGCGGAAGGTGGAGCGAGCCTTTCAGCAACGACAAGGGGGCTTGGCTACTACTTTCTTGCAGTTTCAGCAAAAAGATGGGGGCAAAAGTTTGCATGTTTTTTTGTACCTTTTATAATAAAATTTATTTTGCTTTTGTTCGTCACCGAGCAAGCTGTGCGAGGCAGCGTCTAATCTTGCAAGGGAGTGAACACGTACTAAAAGCAAAATACTTGGAGAGACGAAAGAGCCGCGTGAAAACCTGGGCGGGCCCGCAGCTAACAGCGAGGTGCTCGGCCCCCAGGTTGCCTCCGGGCCTATCGGCCGTGGTGTCGAGGCTTGGGGCCTTGGCCTGGGTTCCTAACACCTGTTCGTGGTTGGCCGCCACGAGCTCAGCTGGAATCAGGCTCTCTTCCGGGCTTCTTTGTCCTTGGCTCTGCATGGGGCGCTGCTGGCGTCGGATCCGATCTTTCACCTGTAGCCCCACGCCTGTGGCTCTGGCGATCTTCAGCGGGCCGCGTGCGGCGCCGCAGCGATCATCCGGCCCGTTGCGACCCATCTTCACTGCAATGCAGCAATTTTCGTCAACAACACACCCCTTCAACGAAAATCGCAGCTTCACCTTAGACTTCCATAGAAAATTTTGATGATGTGACAGCGCGAGTTGATGGCGAATGGACACTCTACTTCTCCAGGAAATATTGCGAGACGGAAAGTCTGAATGGCCACCACAACAAAACCCTCCACAATCCAAATAGAACAGACGTGGACTTTACAGAGATGAAAAGTATCTTCCCTCTACATACGACGTCGTATGCATTGACATTCTGCAATTATACCATGCAAGAGCTGCAAGTCGTGCATTTTCGTACATATAATTCCCATTCGTATTTTTTTGAGTTAATGGGTTCGAACACAACAACATAGGTCCTTGTCCCACTGTGTTGTTGCGTTGATGTGCCTCGACGTACATGCCGCGAACACAGTTATCAAGACGAGCTGGAGCAGTAGATGAGCTTGATGTCATTTATCTCACTGCATCCTGCTCCTTTTTTTACTTTTATCTTTCCTGATGGAGGTTGAACAGAATCGCAGTCACCGCGGTTGTGCTTCTGAAACAGAGAAGGTCGTGCGGTGTAGTCAGGGAAGACCTTTCTTGTCTATGGGTGACCTGCACCGGCAAGACAACCTGACGTCAATATCCTGCAAAAAAGTAGCGCACCGAGACTTCAAACTTACCTTGCTACTGCTTGGTCTTGCGTTTTCCTTCTCACTATTGTGGTTGTGGACCTGTGCGACTCAAATCGATCAAGCGCTTGCGTCTGTACCCTAGATATTATATAGATACACAGTGTTCACTGTTGGTTCTTCAGATCGTCCATTGTCCTCCTTTTGCATGACAAAAAAGCAGACTCCTGGCGCACAGGTGTTATGATGTATGAGCATGAGGCGCGCGTGCAGTCGGGTACGCATGACGAAAAAAATAACGCCTCTCTACTTTCTAACTCCGCTACAGAACGAACCATGATCGGGTTGAACAGTACCAGGGCGAGGGCCTTTTGGGTCCAGGAGGTGTATCTTCTTCATATATTTTGAAGATCTGGGTGCCCTTTTCCACATGATGACCAAATACCTCCACAAATCAAGCAGATGGATATGATCGCGACAAAAGTTACCAGCACCAAGAATGCAACTTTCTGCATCCTCCTGCCCTCCAACCTACACGATCACGTGCTCTCAAGAGGCACGACTTTGCGTTTATTCCATGATTGAGGGTTCTATGGAGAATTCCGTCAGGCAATCAACCGGCCATCAGACCGGCAATAAATAGAGCACAGATATAAGCATTAGAGCAGGGGGTGCTGGGCACCATGTTGATCTCGGGCGTAGGCGACGAAGAGAAACACAAAAGTCAACTAGAGGTAGAGAGTTAATCTGTGTTCAGAATGTCGGCATCAACTTTTGTTTCCATAGTGAGCCGACTTTTTTCGGGACAAGGCGAAATGAGTCGAAGCCCCCAACAAGTTTTGTGCGGAAGCAACCAGTGGGGATCAATCGGAGAAGACGAGGCCTTCGCGAAATTGAGGAAGAAGACGAGCACCTCAGCCACCTCGAACACACCGCGGACTCAGCAGATGCAGCGTTTGGATTCGTCCAACAAGCCGAACAAAAATTGTAAGCCTTCCTCGAGAAGCATAGGAGAACCAATCTCATCATCATGCACACTATCGTTGGAAGCTAGCGGGAACTTCACATCCGTTGGAAGCTAGCGGCGGGCCACTACCAGACGGGATCTGGCGCGGCGTGGGATTAGGGCGTGGCGCAATTCTGTTTTGCTCACCGTAAAAATCCTGAAGCTCATCCACTATAGCTATACTTGTCGAAAGAAGAGGGATGAGCTTGAGTTAGAAAGAGAACAAATCGCTCTCTTCCTTGAAATCGCTAGCGAAGAACACGAGCAGTTGGTGAAGTTCTTGGGATTAGTCGTCCCTCATCGCTTTCCTCCCTATCGAAGGGGAAGCGATGACTTTTTATTTTTTGTTAAAAGCCAAATAGAAAAGCGAAGACGAAGACCACATGGCGAGCGATATATGTCATACAAGTGCAAGGCGACATCGTCTTCCTACAATTGCACTGATGATTGATAACTAGAAAGTTTGAAAGTGAAATGCTATTAATACAAACTTTTCGTAAAGTAAGACTCAGCATAAAAATTGCAAATGTACAAATACGAATACCGAAGAAAAGCGCATTTCTATTTTACATCATCATGAAGCATGTACTTGCCAATAAAGATAGAATTGAAAGTGGAAACGGAGCTGCAGGCGGCATCATGTCTGTCAATTGCACATTTGTCGCCAGGCCGCAAACCTGAAACCTAGAGCAGTAAAAGTAAAAGAAAGTATGAAGAGAATCTTGACTGTGATGCTTCAAGAAAGTGACCAGGTGCAGGTCGTGGAGTTTTTTGCGAAAACAAGTCTCTTGCCAAGCAAGTCCAACAACAATGATAGCAGCATCTTCTTCAGCCTGTAACAGGTTCAGGAGACGAGGACACTCATCGGATTGAAAGATCCGCCGTCCCGGGAGCAGCAGCCTCCCACCTTTACGCGCAGCAACATGCAACGAGGACGTGGGGAGCCCCACTCGCTATAAGTGAAAGAGTGTCAAGGCCTTCTCCGGAACCGGAATGAGCATACCCAACATCCATGCAAATGTCCAGCACACTAAAACATAAACAGTATATTCATACTTGTTAGCGTTACCTAGTTCGTTGTTGCAAACAAGCTGTTGCAAATTCTCTTCAAAAGCGTGCAGAAGCCGAAGCGTGTCGTGCTGGCCTGTTCTCTTGAAAAATATGCAAGATAGCAAACTACTTCTCGCTTTCTATGCTGCTGAGATTCTGAAATCACTAGAATCGCGACACCCTTGCACATATTAAGCACAGTGTGGTAAACGATTCCGCGCTAACTTTAATATCGCTCCGGCGCTTGAAGATTTGCGGTCCTCACGATTTTTTTTTGTATTGAAAACAACGTAAGTAGAAGTGTCTGCATTTCGTGATCTACTCTAGTACTGAAATTCAAAAGCATAAGCATTGGATGTTTTTTCGCATCACCAAGATGTTTTTTCGTTTCTTTGTGTCTCATGTGCTTAGGGCGTATGCTCTACCGTTGCCGACTTCCACGGCCACTTCCCGTGGTTCGACGCTCGTATTTCTGTTGTCGTCCTGCGCAACCTTGCAAACTGCGAACAGCGGATCGCTCGCAATAAAATCTTCTGCTCGGAACAAGGAGAGGCGCTACGAGAATGCGCTCGAATGGGATTTTTATCTTGCTTTGTCAAGGACTCGTGATGATGAAGGCGACAAGCAGGAGCAGAAATTGATGTCTGGAAAACAGCTGGAGGCTTTGTCTTCTCATATCGATTTTGCATCTCGCAATCCCATACTTTTCATCGGCGGCATGGGAGCAAGTATTATCGAAGCTACGCTGAACAAAACCACGGCTCCGCGAGAGTTTTGCTGGAAAACAGCGGAGAACTACCGTGTGTGGCTCCCCTACACTGGCCTGCTGCCCGGATTCGCAGACTGCTTCTTGGACAATTTCAAGTTGCATTGGCGAGATGAGGTGGTAGAAGAAGACACTGAGGATCAAGTTCAAGGCGGAGGCGGACGGATTGCTCGTAGCGACCGCTCCGATACTAATTTGATGCGACAAGAAAGTAGATCCTCGGCCTCACGAGGCGGACTCGCGCCGTCAATGTTTTCAAAGAAAAGACGGACGTCGTCGTTGGTTCTCGATGAGTCAGAGGTGCAAGCGTATGCGCTCGGGGACAGGATTGCACCCGGCACCGGCGGTCTCACGGATGGTTTGGTGAAAGGGCTGTGGGAGGATTTGGCCAAAGTTGCTACGGACAGCGTATGGCGCTCTCAACTCTAACATTGGTCGTTGTTGCAATTGCATATTGATAAAATATTTCTTACGTACTAATAGCGTCTATTTCTATTTGTGGCCGGTCACTCGCTAATTTCTTAAGTGCTAAGTGTAAGTGTTTCTAACTCGTCCTACCGGGTGGCCGGTCCAGCTAAAACGGTTGGCGAGACGTCATCTGGTGTGCAGAAGTGTTCCACACCTCTGCAGATATTCTTACCTTCTTGGATTACGTAGCAGTATGCGGGAGGATTTTTCCCGCTCACCTTAAGAAGTGCGCGCGCAATTCTATTTCTATTTGTGATGGTGCAAGCTCACGCTTTGCAAAGCCAGCAGAAGAAGAAGAAAAACAAAAAGGGAAGCTGCTTGCGCCTTGAGCATTAGAAGCCCGGCACGGATATCTATGTTGTTGTGCGAGTGCGCATTGAAGACTTATTATCAACGTAGAGCGAAGTAGCTTTATCATGCAAAGAGAGAAACTAGTACGTAGTAGAGCCTCCTGTGCCTGTAGTGTAATACATGGCATCAAACGTTGAAGCAGCAATTGTGTAACAGCGACGATGGACGTAACGTCTGAGAATTCTATACCGTGGCAAGTACGCCAAAGACATCAACCCCAAACAGATTAATCTGCTCACCTACGATTTCCGGAAGTCGCCCACGGAGTGGATACGCGACGGCACTTTTGCACGCACGAAGCGGCGAATTGAACTGTATGTAGACACGTACAATGCGGGGAAGGCTGCGGTTCTGGTAACTCTGTCGGAAGGGTCCAACTTCCTGCACCAGTTTCTTGCGTTGTACGTCGACGCGCAGTGGAAATCGCAGTACGTACGCCATTGGCTTTCCCTATCCGGACCTTTCGGGGGCACGCCGGAGCTGACTCGCATGGCCTTCTATCCACAGCCCGTCGATGTGTACCACTTGCCCCAGTTGCTGTTTTACATCAAACTTCGAGAGCTGCGAGACGTGTCGATCACTTTCCCTTCAACTTTGGTGGGCACTCCAACATACCTGACCGCTACGGAAACTCTGGTTGTCGACCACACCGGCAAGAAGTATACCAAGAATGCTGCGGCCTGCTCAGCTAGAACAATCTCAATCGGAACAAGAATTTGCCGCGACCCAAATAAAGCCGGCTGCCGCGGACGATGAAGATCATGTTCATCAGCATCATCTTACTTTGTGCTTACTAGCAAAGAATTTATGAAGCAGCTCTGAAATGCTTACTGTAGGGATGGAAAATGTACAAAAGTTTCATACCTATAAAGTACTAGCGAAAAAGTGATTATATATCCAAAAAATGGGCCGCATATTTTCCGGCTTCGAAATATGCGGCCCATTTTTTGGATATATATCCACTTTTTCGCCCATATAGGCACTACTTAATAGCACGCGGCCGGCTGCTTTTCTAGCACGGTCCGACCGTGCTAGTGGGGACGCCGAAAAATGCAAAGACTGGTCGCCATGGTGCTCATAACAGTGCCCGACCGTGTTAGCTAGTACTTTATAGGTATGAAACATTTTGCAGCTTTCCATCCATAGCTTACTTTCAGAACTAGCGACGCCAGCTTCGCCTGTAAGTGAGCGCATCGAAGCGCTCAAACGCCACCTCGCCAGTTCTAGACAGCAGATTGATCCAAAAAGAAAGAAGTGCCGGCGGTCCCGGAGTTGATTCTGGGACTCAGAATCAGACTCGACCTTGATTTTGAGACGTGTTTCCACGTCAGTGAGGCGACCACACTGCTCTTTTCTAGTCGTGTGCCAGGTTGCGAACAGATGCAAGCCCGCTCCTGTCTATCGAGGAACTGAGTAAGACGCAACGCTATGCGCCACCTAATTCCGTCCGTCCGTTCTCACGTCAGAGAGGCGACCACATTGCTCCTTCCTAGTCGTGTGCCAGTCCGCGAAAAGATGTAAGCCCGTGGCTGTCTAGCGAGGGACTGAGTAAGAGGCAACGCCAATCACCACCTAATTCTGTCCGTCCGTTCTGCAACTCAAACTCAAACTCGTTCGCGATTGTGCAACTCATCAAGCTCGAGTTGTCGTGCTTGATTCTGAAACTCAGACTCAAGCTCGACCTTGATTCTGAGGCTCAGACTCAAGCTCGACCTTGTTGATTCATCTAAAACTTAAGCTAAAAACTGACTCAGGAACTGGAGCTGGCGCGTGCATTCTTTTAATCCAGCAAGGCAATTACTTCTCTACAGTTATGTGTATGGATATCATATAGGTGGATCAAGTCCCGCGCTCGTTGATGATCGTCGCCATTGGCAAGGGACAGCCGTGCAGGTGTTGCAGTTCAACATAGTGCAAAGGCGCAAAAAATTTTTTGGGTCGTGTTTCCAGATTAGGCTGCGAGTAGGATTAGCCGTCCTCGCCCCCCCCAGGCTGTTGCGTACGGCGGTAAGGAATCAGAGCGCGAAGATCAGTGCTAGCGAGCAGATAGGCAAGCCCGCGCGCCTGCTGTCAAGCAGCAAGCTTGCGTATGGCGGATGGAGAAAGGTGAGCGCAAACTCTGCCAGGCGCGCGGGGCTAGCTTCGCTCCGTGAAGATCGAAAATGTGCGCCGGTTTGCCGGCAGCCGCCGGAGGAGCGGGAAGCCGATCGGGCGTGGGCCTTCTGCATGTGAGGGGAGTGCGTACGCAGCCCATCCCCAGTGAGGTCTGGGTCTGCGGCATCTACACCCCGGCAGGAGGTTCGCCGGCGCTTCACCTTCGGGGCTTTGCAAAATGTGCGCCGGTTTGCCGGCGTGCGTCTATGGTTCAGCATGATGTAGCGTGATACTTTGAGAATGAACACAGGAAGCGCACGGGCACAACGCTCGCGGCCAAAAGTCTGGGACAGGTCGCCGCGCACTCCTGTAAAGATATACAAGCAAGAAGCGAACCCCCACAGCGGGAATGTCGTGTCTGTGTGTTTCGGAGGATGTGTTCGGCCTAGTGATGATCTTTATATATCAGCGGGCTGGCTTGGTTTGGCGTGATAAAGATAAAGACAAAGACAAAGGCTATATCTCGCGCGAAGTTGCACTTGCAGGGCGAATAACCGTACGCGTATAGTATTCATTGACACCCATTACTTTTGCCGTCCTTGGTTATCTACATCGTTCCAGTCAGATTGTTCTAGTCTATCAACCCATAAACAACCTTGCTGAGGCTTTCCAAGACGCCGGTCAGAACTTCACAGCGAAACTGCTCAAGATGCAGAAGCGTATTGCTCTTGGCATATGGAATTGGATGAAGTACAGGATTGACACTGCGAGCAAGCGTTTGTGAAGTTGTTTCTGATGTTACGGACCACACAGTTTGGTATTCGTTTTGAGATTTCATTTTGTTTGATTTTGTGCTATTCGGAAGTGCGAGAATGAAACTACACAAAAATTCGCACGAACAGAGTACTTTTTTGATGCGCTACCGGGTCCAGGCGTTCCGGTGACGTGCGTGTATGGTTCGGGTTTACCCACGCTCGCGAATATGACTTACGGGAACGGGTGGGACCAGGAAGGGACCGAGTTCGGCTACGAAAGCGGCGACAGCGTCGTACCGGTACGGTCTTTAATTCGCTGCCACGAGTGGAATGAAATACCGCGACATCCGTCTGTTGAGCTCGTGGAAGTCCCCCAGGCCTCACACGGCGATACGCTCCGCCGACCAGAAGCGCTCCACGCGTTCAGGGAGATACTTCAGGCACTTGACAGCTCTGCCGCTGCTCTCCAGGAGCATGATGTAAAAGTACCTGCTGATGTCGTGGACTACAAGGAGCGCGGACCCCGAGGAACAGAACCAGCAGCAAGAAGCGACATAGAGGGCGCTCACGGGCGAACCGATCATGACGCTGAGGAAGAGTTGTACTACATTTGATTAATGATTTTGAGATGCATTACGGATGCATTCTTTCCGAGGAACCGGCGCTGGGGCTGGTCTACTTCTGAGTCTTTGGCAATTACCATTGGTAATGGAGCACGGATACAATGTTAAAAGAGAAGAAGGGCTTCTATAGCGTTTTAATACTAATGCTCAGAATGTACTAACTGTATTGAGATAATTGGATGGCCGTGCGAGCAGCCAAACGGGAAAGAAGCCTCTTTCTAAGAAACAGTAATAAACTCGGAAACGATGCTTAATTTAAGCATCGTTTCCGAGTTTATATACTGTTTCTTAAGTAGGAGTACGTATAGGTATAGTGTACTATAACGACATGCACACGAAGATGAAGAGAGTGTGCGAATTGATGGCTTATATGATGTTAGTGTTGCGTGATGTTGATTGGCATTAATTTGTGTCCTCTTACTCAACCGAAGTTGCTGTTGGCGCTGCATCAAAAACTGCGACATTCTTTTGCGCACACGGCCAATTGTAGTTCCTTGCTCAACATGGCGGACTTCGTGGCGATCAATGTGATAAATTGCAATTTTGATTTTCGTGTCTCTCAAGCAGAGCGATTCACTAAATCTTCCAAGTAGCCGTGTTTTTCGATCCGGCGCAGGATTATTTGTCTTCGTCGCGGCTTTCGGTTTCGCTGTGTTGAGAAGTGACCGTCGTGCTTGCTATTCGACCGACCCTACTGATGCGATATCGAACCACATGAAAAGTGGAGTCAAATCATGTGCATGTTATCATTTGCTTGCTCCTCGAAGATTGACCTGAGAGGGTTGCGCGTCGATCGATTTGAGAAATACTCTTGAGTGTTGCCAGCGCATAGATATATTTCTAAGTGGGTTTCTGTGGGTGCCGCAAGCGTATTCATTCTGTTACGAGCGAAAGCTGCGAGGATGAGGAAGAAAAGTGAAAGTGATCAAGGTATTGAGTATATGACTGTGCGAATTCTCGCGGCGTGCGCTAAATGCAGTACAAGACGACTACTCATAGTTGCACAGTGAGGTCATTACTCATCTTCGAGTAAAAAAAAAAACAAAATAAAGACCACAAGGATGCATCCACGAACTCGTGAGGACCGGCACCTCTTCAAGCACAAGGAAAATGTGGAGCGTGAGCGCCTGCGCAATCGCACGGGTGGGTACTTCAAGTACGAGGACATTCCTGACGTGATTGCACAGGAAAAATCTTGTCCAGCCCTATCATATAGAACAACACACCCAAAGAAATCCTATACGGAAACTGCTCTGCAACTGTAAGCCCAAGCTGCATTTTTTTCCTTCGACGGGAGCAACAGAAACTCAAGCTATCGAAGAACGTTGGTTCGCTGTAGCATCCCGCGTTTTCATCTGACCACCACATCCTTTTCATAGTACGATTCGCACGTAAAATTGCTGCAAAATGCATTATTTCGCATAGAATGAGTGTCGATGTCCTTAAGTGCGTCTCTAGATGATTCTAGAGGGACACCAATTTAGAACCAAAACAAGCTGCTTACACGACTATTTTTTCTGATTTGGGTGTGATTCTGATTTTCTCTTTGAAAGACCTACATTGGTGAAAAGGAGCGGCATGACCGGGCGGTCGCCGAGAAATTTCTGGAGGAACGAATGGTCCAGGTAGACCGGCGGAACGACGTGACGGAGCTGCGTTATGAAGTCGTCAGGTGGGAAGTCGCCAAAGTGAAAATAGCATGGGTTCTTGCGGAAGAATACGTTTGTCATGAGATAGGCCGCAAGTCGAGGAAAGGTCGCAATGCAGAGAGGCAGATTGTAGGCCAGACGGAGGATCGTCGTTGAGAAAATGTCTGCCGACTAGTACTAGGAGGACAGAAGTGCACTACACTGTTTTCCGAAACCGTGCGATGTGGACAGATTCACGCTCATTGAAAAGTGTATAGGATTTTGCTCCTCTTCGCGATCACGCACGGCCTCGAATTTTTTATTTTTACGCAAATGGAATGCAACAGCAGCATGCAGTTGTATTTTATTTTTCAACATTTTGACGATCACGATTTACGATTTTCCACCTGCCGCTCCGATATGCAACGCGCACACAATTTGGAGCGGGAGCATGCCCGTTGGGAATATCCAGGAGAAAACTCCCATCCCCATCCATTTTCTGCATGGAAAACGCTAGAAGTTATGCACGTTTTGCATGAGAAATTGGATGGGAGAAGTGGGTGTTTTTTTTCCTGGATACGGAAGCGATTGACCACAAAGACAAAAAGGAATCCGACCGCCAGCGTCGCCTGATCGAGGATCCCCTCATCGGCAAGAAAAACGTTTCCGGTGTCCCCTTCGACATCGTTAATCTCGAGTACTTATGTAAATCACCAGAATTCATGTTTCATGAGAATGACAATGAGCAGCTTGTCGAAAAATAGCAGAGCCTTTTGACCACAGACATAAAGCCATTTTTAGGAGCGTGGTGTGAGGAGACGGAGCATCCGTCAGCGTTGAACTGGACGCTTCGTAAATGTCTCGAATTGACAACAAGAAGTAGATGAAGTTAATTTTATTTCTCCAAGAGCTTGCCCTTGTCCTTGTGCTTGGAAATGAAATCGAAACCCTTCTAGGTACGAAAACACTTGGGAAGGTCGGAAATTGCGACACGATGACGAGATGACGAGATACCGGGGAGACCTGCGAAAAGCCAATCTCGCCTACCGTGGGCACTTGGGTTTTAACCCAATCCTGGGAGAGCAGTCCTATCCTTTGCCAAATCCGACCAAACCAGACCCATTCACCGAAGAAAAGCCTGCCGGCTACATTGCGAAAAATTCAGCATTGGGCTAACCGGGCTCGTTTATGTTGAGGAGCGTACTTCTATAATATTAATATTTCAGTTTATTATGTGATGAGCTTCTGGACAAATAATATGCTAATCTGTCTCTGCTTGTTCGTGTAATAAGACTATAGCGAATGTGTGACTCGTCGATATAGATATTGCTATCTGTAGAAGCACCCTCCTCGGTTGCACGCGAACTGTTGTGCATCCCATCTTCAGCCAGGATTGGAAGTGCGCCCGCGCTTCATTGCACACAGCAATTATGTTTTACTGTTATCCTTCTACCTGATCATCTGTTTCGAGTCAGGAATGAAAACAAAGAAAAATGCAAACCCATCGCCGTAGCGATGGAACGACGTCGAGGCGAAGCATCGCGAAGATATGTCTCCCCATTCGCATCACAATTCTGTATGCGCGGTTGTTCAACTTGCAGTCCGAGACGAAAGTAGAAGCTTTTCACGACCAGGACTAATATATAAGTAAGAAAGACAAGGCTGGCAGACCAACGAGGGCATAGTATTTTTTTTGCAACTAATTTGTCGGAGACTCCTGCCGGGAATATAAAGTAAACAGAAATACTCCCAAGTAGTGCAGCCCAGCGTGATGTAATACTCGAAAAGAACGAAAAGACTGCAACTCAACTTCACTCGGCGGCAACAATGTGCTGCTCACTTTCGTCCCAGCAAAGCCAAAGCTTTTCGGCGGCAAAACCTCATGCATTCAACGAGTAAAAACTGTAACGCACAAGAGCAATGCGCGCCAATTGCAATTGTTGAGTGTGGACGTGCGAGGTAAGGAAGCACCAGCAGGCTGCGACTCGTGAAGCGGAATAAATCCGGCTAAATAGTCAGAGTCGTGGCGCCTTGCCGATCAATCATTCTTGTTCTTCACGATAAAGAAAATATAGCTACAGGACGACGACTATACATGCTACTTCTTAGTGTAGAATATTAACACGAATGTGTAGGAACGAATGCAAGGTCGTACTAGCTAGAGGACACTCCAAGGCGGCAGCGACGAATAGAATACATGTAAAAAATCGTCATAGTCTTAAACGCCTCTTGTCTTATAGTGGTGCTGCCGAAACAGAAACAACAACAAGAACACAGTCACTGGAGGTTTGTGTACTTGTAGCCAGCATCAGAATCAGGACCAGCAGAAGCATTATCACGGATCATCAAGCTCAAAATAAGAAGTTCGCAAATATGTGATACCCATCTCGTCTAAGGTGGTAAGGTCAAGTTGGAACAAGATCGTGAAGATAGAGATACTTTGACTGTACTCGTATGCACTTTTGGTTTTGGTCCGGATCATTGTAATGCGACAAAATCCCTCCGGATCAGGTGGTTTCGTACGATCGCCATTTTGCCGATGTAGTGAATCCGAGCCCAGCCTCGGCAGATGGAAGATCGAACGTATGAATTGACTAACTAATGTGCAGAGACAGTCGGGCTTGCATTTCTATTGCTATTCAACCACACAATGAAGAACCGAACGCGATCGCGAATCTGAACAATCCAGGGGTGTGGCACACATTTCGATTCATTTTGTTGTCCTTAGCAAGATTTGCAGGTAGTCAACATTAATTCCAGTTGGACCTTTTCCTTTTCGTTTTCGATTTCGCTCTTTTTGTTTTTGAAAGAAAAAATATATATAAAGCTACTTCTTCAAAGCCCGATCACTTAGTTGTGCCACGCCAGCTCGCTGTAAGAGTAGGACTCCACGCAAGAAAATGACAATGGCATCACATACGACGCGAACGATGAAAGCAAGCCCGTGCAACTCTCTCCCACAACCGGGTGATCTTGGGCTTCTAGTGCGGTCTCAGGGCAACACGGTGGATCTGATGCGGCTAGAGGTACAAATTTTGACGACTGCGGCATCAGTGGTCGAGCGATCGTGCGGCTTTCATACTGTTTCCAGAACGACTGCAGCTGCACATCACCCACTTGCGACGAGATTGACAGTATGTCCAGAGCCTGGATTAGCTTACCCCAGCAGACACACTGGGAAACTAAGTACACGAAAAGATGAAGTCGTTGTCGACGCGCTCGTATCAACTGCAAATCTGTCTAGTTCGGGTTAAGTTCTGCACAGTAAATATGTAGTTGATGTTTTGCTGAGAAAGGTCAAAAAGAGCACCTCACCAAGCCTCGTGTCTCTCAGAAAATTATGTTGATGCGATAGCATCGTATTCGTACTACTTCTATCGTGGATGGTTCATCATCCACACATGCAACTTTCCAGGCCCAGACTGCATATTTGCAATTGATAGCGTGGGGGGTGCCTCAAGCGGTATATAAAAGTGCTTCTGTCCGCGGCCGGTCCGGCGGAGTTGGTGCAGCAACTGGTGCGAGTATCATATTGACAATGCCCCCCCACAAGACCTCCGATCGATCCTCTGTTTGTATTGCAAGAAAGCTCTCCGCCGCGGTCAATGGAGCATACAATTGAAACGCTCCACCTGGCGCTCGGTCGAGAAGCTAGTGACCCATTTAAAGAGAAAACCGAGTTTGTATGGAGTGACTGGTGTCGCGACGAAGGCGAGCGTTCTGATCTGGGGGTTTCTTCAACACCTTCACCTAGACAGCAAAGCGGCTCTCATTTTGTATTCGTACTCCGCCGCAGGTATTGTTTTCTGGCAGCATTTCCTTCGTTCCGATCTGCAAGCAGCCTCGGCCGTGTTTATGTCAGCGCCAAATCGGTCCGCTATTCTAGCGAATAGGAATACCACCGACGAAACAAATCAGAGGAGACCGCAAAACAAGTACATAGCGCCCCTTTGACTTTGAGACGCCTTGTCCTTTAGATTCTGCTAATTTTGGGCGCATAAAAAAGGGCTCCGAAAAAGCGCAGACTGCTGGAAGAAAACAAACGCCCCGCATCGGAGGGGCACCATTCTGGCCCCGTTTGAAGACCGCAAAAGCGGCGCCCCAAGAAGTCGACCATTTGTATCATGTAATGCTGCGAGCTGCGCAAAGCATAGCATGCGCATGTGGCTAAGAGCACAAAAGTAAGGAATCAATTAGAACACCAATACCCGCAAGAACCTGACGAATGCTAAGCACTCCGCATGCTATGCAGCCCGATTTCTCGCTTCCAAAGGGACGGCCCAGGTGGGGCCATAGAATCCGGGGAGGGCAGCTTTTTAGTTCTCTTTCGAACCGGAACCACAAGCGAGCCAAAAGCGAAATGAAAAAGCTTGCGGCTTTTTTATATATTAATTCTTCGCTTCTTCATCGACCGCCACGCGGGCCGCCGGGAACATCCAGTAAGATGGTATGACGAGCGCAAAAGGGCGGACGTCTACTTTGGCCCGTGAGGCGCAACGCCGCAAGCGCCGGAACAAAAAAAACACGCTCTGAAATCGTTACCACCTGAGAGGGAAAAGTGGAGGTGGCTTAGCAAAAAAAAGGCGTACAGCAAGAGCAGGGGGGATTGTTTTTGTTATGCTTATGCCCTTGCTTTCTGATTGTGCTTTACGCGCGCAGAATCTGAAAGGGCTGGGGGCCTGGTTTCTTTGTTGATGCGTGACCACTTCATCTTGAGGCGGGGCACTTCGTTCAATTTTGGATAGCAAGATGAACAGGCGGTTTCGGCGTCGCAGCTGCAGGACCAAGATAAGAATGTTGCGGCTTTCGATTGTTTCGATGGCCTCTCTTGCAACTTTACACTTGACTACGAGCAGACGCAACGCTGCTCCGAACTGGAGCAAATCCCATTCGTGCCCGGTGTCGGACAGGCATGTCGGCTAACGCAGACTGTTTCCAGATTGCTGGAACTACGAAAGACGCGAAATATAAAACAGCGTCAGCAAGCTTGTAGTTCTGCTCCTGCCACGATGAAGGCAACAGCTGCGGGATCGTGCCAAGCGGCATCATCTATGTGGACGAGACACTTCGTGATCATCGACTATAAGGAATTTGTATGCCTGGCGGAGGATCTGACGACTAGCATCGACGTGCGCGCAGGGCTGCAAACGGCGTTGCCTTTGGACATCGGAAGCGTTACTTTCGAAGACGACTCGTTGCCGGTGAGCACCACAATAAGGTTTTGGGACCGTTTTTTCCACAGATGGTCCCGTTCCGGGAAGCCCTGGAGCTTCAGTGCGAGCATTGATCCGTTTGTGGCGCAGGCCTGTCTCAACCTGCTACTGTTTGTGGATTGGTGCCTGCGGTTCAGTGAGAAGAAAAATGTGCCGGCGCAGTTTCGGCAATGCCTGGCATCAGACGACTTGGACAATCCTTTAGTTGCACGGGTACGCAACATGTGCATCAAACGTGGAGAAAAGGCTCGTCAAGTAGAGACTTCGCCGTCGCAGCACCATCAGCAAAGAAATGCGCAGGGAAAGAGCGCAGCACATGCACAGACGAATGTAAAAGTAGCTGCGGCAGAACACCAGCTTGTCACGGGGATCGCAACGGAAGGGATCGGCAGCTCCACATCATCCGCGACATCGCCGACCGCGACCTCCACTGCGGATTCCAACCAGGGGTATGAGAACAATCTCACAGACAGAGCAAGCTCAGGCACCTCCAAGCGCAGAAAAACCTCACTAGTGTCGTCCGGCGAAAAACAAGGCTCTGACTGCTTACTGCAACAGGCGGATGGACAAGATAGAGATACAGATTTGCAGGAGGACGACCTCCAACACGAGGCGCATAATGAGCAGCGTGACAAAAGGGAGCAAGATGTTGAAGACGCTGATGCAGTCGCTGCAATGAATGCGATTCGCGAAGGTTTTCGACGCTACGTGGAAAGTCTTGACAAGTATTCCACGAGCGCTAGTATGAATCGTCCATTCCTTGTTTCTGAAGAACGTGCGCCAGGAGATAGCGAGACGAGCAACGGCACCATTCAGAAAGATCCGCGTCCGCGGCTTCTCGATGCTTGCTGTGGCTCCGGGACTATCACTGCAGTTGCATCTGCTTCGGGTCGATTTAGCCAAATTATTTCCTGCGACAAAAGCCCGGAATTTCTGGACCGCGCTGCGAAAAATCTGGATTTTGTCGCAGCGGATTCTTCTCTGCAGCGAAGCGCTCAGTGTGGTGCAGGAGCCACAGCCACCGGTACGACGAGTGCAGGAGCACAATCCGTGCTACTGGCCATGCGCACGAAAGTTCATTTCGTCGAAAATGATTGGATTGCAGATGCAGAGCATGATGCGGAGAGCGGGGACAAGGAAACCGAAAGGCAAACAAGACAAAATGCGGACGCATCTTCAATGAACAACGCAACACAACGCGATCAATTGCGAGGAGTCGCATCGACAGGAACGCTGGGTAGAAAGCTTAGGCAAAAGAACGACGTTTTTCTGCCGTCAAAGCGACTAGGAACGGCAAGTGGTGACGCAGAAAATGGCTTCACGACACAAAGCACACCCCTAGTCGTGATGGCGAATACCCCATGGGGTCGGCGGTTCGGTGGAGAAGGTGATGCGTGTGGGGTCCTAGAGGGGGTAATTCGGCAATGCGAATCTAATGCGGACCTATTCGGCTTTCTTGTCCCTCCCCGGTCATTGGAGAGTGCGAAAAAGCTTCTCGACATTCATCTTTGCGTGCCGCTCGGCAAGCCCGCGCTTTTTCTAATCGGAACGGTAAATAAAAAGAGAAAAACCACGATGAGTCAATGAATTGTGAAACGTAGACCGTACCGTTGATGACCTACAATTGGAAAAAAGCCGTCCGCATGGAAGGAAATAAAGAGGCACGGGCACTAGAAAACGAAGATTGAATTTAAAATGAATTTGAAAAATGCCAATAGTTGATACGTTCAGGCTAATGCAGCTGCGTAATGCAACATTCTTAATGGGATTAGAAGGAGGAAGAAGAACCAGACCGGTACGCGTTTGGTTTTTCGTTTTTTGCGTTCTCAATATGTTGTTGAAATGGGAATGGCGGTCACCAAGCTGCAAGTTCATTACCGGCAGTGAGGCCATGCTTAATTGGGTACGGTGTGTCGGTCTCAGTCCTCTCGACGCTGCTTGTGCATTCGACCGCACCAGCAGTGGAAAAGCGATTCCACCGTGCTCTTCTCCCCACGATTTTGGTACGGGACCGTTGTGCTCTCTCCATGATTTTGAAGATGTGGGGCGTCGATGGCGGTTCGCGCGCAAATTTTTCGAGAGCACCTGTTTGGCGCCGGCCTCTGCTCTTTCGCATAGATACATATTGATACTTCTCCTCTGGTTTATCAAACGCGTTTCCCCCACCTGTTGGCACTTCTTTCATGATCATGATCGATAGTGATTAGTTGTCGGTGGTGCGTCTTTTTCCTTTCTTGTTCTACTTCATGATGCAGATGTTTTGTCGTACTTTATGTATATAATATTAGATATAATCGGTCCTGCTCTGCAGTCTGCTCGCATAGGAATAGAGTGTTACTGTGCGCTCGTTTCAAGAAGAGCACAGACACATGAAATCGTCGACCTCTGACACGAACAAGGATCATATAGATTTACATAAATGCTGCAAAACCACAAGACGAGGTTCCTTGCGCCAGAAGATGAGATTGATCAAGATCAACATGGCCCTGACTCTCATTGCATTTCATGACTTTGCGAATGGGACAGGTATGGATCACATATTCTCGTTCATCTCCACGGCCACCGTCTCAAAGTCTAAGGCCTTGGGACTCAAAATGAAGAGAATAATTAAGCTCGTAAGTAGATCCTATTTCCCACCTACGATGTTGTGTCGGTGTCTCCTGTCTGTCAAGTAGTACTTTAACTTTTATTCGGTCAAAGGCTGTACATTATTTTCGTTGATATTTTGAAGCAACTTTTACTTAGACCCTATAGCTATAGCTATATGCATATGCTCTTCATCATGTTTCTCATGAATGCCAATTTTTATCAGGTCATGTCTTAGGAAAAAATCTAAACCGTGGAATCCTTCTTGAGTTAGAGTTTAAAAGTTTTCCGAAAAATTGAAATTCTTGATATTGACCTGAGTGTGTTGGCTACAACGGGCGGCTGTAGTGAGCCCACGTTCTTCAGGATCGGAAGCTTTGTGATGGCAACAGTTGTACTAGCCATCTGTTTTACTAAGAACAAGACGTGTGTTTTTTCAGCTATCGCTTTCAGAAGTTTTCTGTAAAATTATTAACGAGCGAAATTGTAAAATACTTGTACTTGTTCACTTAAGACGCATCAAACGCTGGTCTTTAGATTTGGCATTGTGCAGGATGTAGCCGGCGCTTGTACTATCCTTCCCGCCAGCTGCAATGGACAGTGCCGGCGATACGTTCCTCCCATTTTTATTGTATGACACCAGTGCTCCCTCGGGCTAAACAAGAATGACAATGGATATGCGAATGTTGCTGCAGAGGCTGAACCTGGAGTTGGACTGCCCGGAAGACCTGCAGAAGAGCAGTGGATACGATGCGGTTGAAAGCGACGAATTGGCGGAGCGTTTCGACTATGCATTCCAAAAGTTGTGCTTGTGTCTTTGCCCTCGTTCTCGTACAACTAATTGCGAGCATGCAACAAGACAGATCAAGTTCTCTCTCTCTCTCTACCTCCTCTGGCATGAAAAACTGCATTTCTCTTGCTTGTTCTTAAGAACATTGTTTATAAAGCAGGCATAATACATATTTGGAAATTGAATTTGCACGTAGTGGTGGTGTCGCGGCGATACTTTAATTGCAACGCATAGTCCCGTTTCGCCCTTCCGCTTGCGCACGCTGTTCAGGGAGGTAGACGCGAATGATGACGGTCACTTGACGAAGGCGGAATTCTCGAAAATCCTGGCAGTGCTGAGGATCCGCTTCCGCCGGGATCAGCCCGAAAATGTGATTACCGACGTCCCGAATGAGTTGTGGACACAATTAGTGGAGCCTTTGCTAGTACTGTTTCCCGGTGCACCAGCTGAAGCTGAAAAAGGTCAAGATGCAGCAGGATCATACGGAGCGAGGCAGCCGCATCAACGGGAAGACTCCTGCGGCGGTTCCTCGTTATTGACAAGGACAGCAACGACGGTCGTAACTCACCCTGCGTCAGGGTTTCACTTCCAAGCCTTCCAGCGTGTCGTGCGCTTGCTGTTTCTGGAAGTCCTTCTGCATGACGACCTGATCGGAGACTTTCAGTTCTTATCAAACAAAAAAACTGGTATGCGTGTAGTAGCTCTTACTTTGTTGGAGTGGCAAAGCCAACAAACCTCCTGTGCATCTTCACGTTGTTCACGACACTAAATGAAACGACTTGTTATGGTGCATCTGAACCGCTAGCCCTAGCACATGAAGAAAGAATCACTCCAGGTGAAGATGAAGGAAACGCGATACCAGGATGTCTATCTACGAGGGCAGGCGTAGACACTCTTCTTGCATGTTCTGGATAAATGCAGAACAGCTTTTTTCTGTGATAGTTTTCGGCGATCGACTACAACGCGGAAACAATACATAGGCGCCGTGTTCTTGACTCTCGTCTTGTGGTTGAGGGCAATCCCGATCATTTAACAGAAGGCATGATGAAAGACAAGAAGACGACGAAGGACCAAGAAGACGGCGACGAAGGACGCAAGAACTGCAACTACAACAGCGCACTGAAGAGAAGTACGCGAGGAGCGGCTCCCCCTCCTCCGAAATTTTTTTCAAGAAAACCTCCGTCATTTTTCCAGCCGGGTGAATATGTATATGGTGAAGATCCGGCGATCAGAACGACTAGCATGATCAACAGTGATATGCGTTTGAGACCAGCGACGCCGCGGATAACCGCTACTGGAGCAAGTAGCAAGAGTAAAGGCTCCAACTATAATTTGATTCAGCAGCGCTTCAGCTGTGAGACCATGCGTGACTTCTTGTTGGGCCCACGCGATTCGGACACCAAGGTTCGGTGGATATCTCTGTCGCACGCGGGAACGGATCCGGGGTGTCGCCTCGCAATGCTGCGACTGGCGGTGAAGTACAATCTTCACCCGTTGGCGGTCGAATGCGCCCTGTCCCTCCACGAGGAACCCGTGACTGGGCGAGTGATCAAGTATGGTCACAAGCTCCACGATCTCGCAGCTGCCACAAGGAAACCGGGGTTGAAGAAGACCAACGCCGCATCTTCCCCGCAGCTGCATAAACAACAAGGGCAGGAGCAGGCACCGACGACTTCCTCCTGTTTATGCACTGCCACGCCCGTGATCCCGTCATCTTTAAAAATGTCTCAGAAATGGCCTCGGGAATGTAAGGCGGAGGCAATTCCCACAACGCCGGCGCCCCTCATTGTGGTTGCAGGGAAGAGGGGCACACAAGGCGCCGAGCCGGGCCATCGCGAAGCAGCTTCCTCGAGACGCGGCGCCCGCTGCCGTATTTGGCGCATTTTTGTGGCGCGCAATGCGGGCCGCGGCTGGCGTTGACGTTCGGGCGCCGCCCGTTTGCCCCTTATCCCTTTGCCGGCCTCCCCTTGCATATATGGACGCGAAGTGCCGCAGCGCCACACTTGTGCCGGGCCTATCTGTGCCCGCTTTCGTTTTGTCGCAGGCGCGCCGGCGTCTTGTCCGCAGCCCGGTTCGAAGCATTGCAGGCGCCCCGTCTGCCCCTGCATTTCCGTCGCCCCGGCGGTTCAGTGCCTGCTCTGACAGGTTGCCTGGGACCTTCAGTGGGGCTGCCTCTGTAAGAAGGCAGTGCGTTGGCCTTGCCGCTGTTCCTTTCTTTGTTTCTGTGGCAGCCAGGCACGGGCCCGGCCTTGCTTTCTGCGCGGCGGACTGCTATTCTGGCCCTCCTCCCTTGTGGGCGGCAGGCACGGCCGGCCTCACCCGGGAGGGCAACCAACTGCCGGCCTCCCATTGGTTGGCCGCCTGCCGGCGCCGCTTGGCCACAGCCGGGCGCTTCGTCAGCCCATTGTCGTGGCGCATTGCTTTCGCACGCGCAGGCGCGCCCCTTGGCGCGGGGGGGATTTTGCCCTGCTTCTCTAGATCACAGGGCCACCGTGTCACGCGCGTGACACGGGCGGACCCGGCTTCGTTTTTTCTCGTCTCTTGCTGGTCTTGGGTGGTTTGGTGGCAAGCAGTATTGCTTCAGTCAGTTTCCCTCCGCTTCTACCGCCAAAGCCCAGGGCGCTGCCACGTGTGTGTGTCTATGATTTGCATCCAAGGCAGTCTTGGATCTGGGGTGAAGGCCTGCCTCAGCCCGCGAGCCCTTCCTGGCTTCTGCCAGCCGGACCGGCCGCCGGCCGACAGTCAGCCAGGCAGGCGCCCCCGCGCGGGCCGTGTTGGCCTTGCTTGGATGCAAGTGCCGGCGAAGGCGTTGCAGCGGCTTCTAGGCAAAGCCGAACCGTATGAAGCTAATGGGGCTGTTGAACTCACTGGCGCAGCCACTGGCGCCATGTGTGGCGCCGCTCCTCTCCCTCGGCACGACTTAGGCGCCCCCTTCACCAATGAGAGCGGCGGCCAGCAGCCGGCTGAAGCAGCAGCCGCCGGAGTTCGCGAGCGCGGCCCCCAGACCCAGAGTCCGACGATGATGAGCGTTGAGGAGCTTCAGCGCCCCGATTACAGCTGGCCCTTTGTAGATATTGCGTAGAGCAAAACTCTATTTGGCTTGTGGAGGCCACACGTTGTAAGCTATTTGGCTTGTGGAGGCCACATGTTGTGAATCAGTCAGAATCAGAAACGTCGCGAATGAGAATCAGAATCATGGTGAATGTGAATCGGGCTACGGTAGTAAAAAGACCGCGAATGAAGCGAAAAAAATTGAAAGGACCGGGCCAAGAAAGTAGGCAAAAAAAAAGGCCAAAGCGAAGCCACACGCGCTGCCGGGTGCCGCATTTCTGTAAAGGGAGGAAAAACGGCGAGGCCTTCGCATTTTTTTCTTTGGGGAAAAAACCTGAGAGCGTTTGCATTTTTTTCCTTCAGGGAAAAACCTAAAAAAGTTCGCGCGATTTTCTTTTACAAAAAAACCAAAAAAGCTGCGCGCGATTTTCTATTACAAAAAAACCAAAAAAGTTGCGCGCGATTTTCTTTTACAAAAAAACCCAAAAAAGTTGCGCGGGATTCCCCCCTCGAAAAAAACCAAAACCGAAGACGGGCCATTTTCCCTGCCTTTCCCCGATGGTATGAGGCCGATCAGGCCGGCGATTTTTCACATTTCTGGCCTTTAGAAAATCGCGCGCAGCTTTTTGGGTTTTTTTGTAATAGAAAATCGCGCGCAACTTTTTTGGTTTTTTTGTAATAGAAAATCGCGCGCAGCTTTATTGGTTTTTTTCTAAAAGAAAATCGCGCGAACTTTTTTAGGTTTTTCCCTGAAGGAAAAAAATGCAAACGCTTTCAGGTTTTTTCCTGAAGGAGAAAAATGCAAAAGCCGCGACGACATTTTTTCCCCAATAGCAGAAATGGCGCCACGATTTTCCGCGTTTCGGCTTTTTCTGGTGTTGCTTTTTCGCGGGTTTCGCAGTGCCCTTGCTGGTTTTTTTTCAGCTTTTCAGGATGCCCCTCATTCGTCTCATATATTCGGCAAGAATTGCCGTACGGATCAAGTTCATAACGATCGCCACAGCCACCCGAGAGTGAGGGAATCGATGGCAAATCCGTCCGAGATTGATTCGATCGATCTCGGGCGCGGGCCGTTGCGCCGTGGCGAACGAGTCAGATCCTGTGAAAAAGGTGCCTTTGCGTGAAGGCTGCAAAGGGTCAAAATTTTCGCGAAACTGCGAAGGAGATCCGCGGCGCGGCAGTATTGCCGTCCTTTCCGGTGTTATGTTGCAAGGCCGCGGCATTTCCAAAGCAGTTGCGGAGTGATCTACAGAGCAGGCCCAGAGCGCCCCTCGCGCGTCTCATATCTCGGATGGATGTTCTGCAGAGCACGCCCAGGCCGATTGCTAAGACTGGGCACGTGAATACTGTCGGTCGGTCCGACGGAGGGGGGCCGGAATGGTTGGCCGGCGCTTCGGGCAGTTCTTCGGGATTTGGGCGCGGCCAGTGAGCACGCAGCGAACGAAGGGGCGAAGAACTGTGGCGGGCGGAGAGTCCGGCGCAAGATTGTGCAGGTTTTTGCGGGTAAAGAGCAGGGCTGTGGAAGCCCGGCCGGCCCGGCCGCCGGGCTCAGGATGTAGAAGCTTCGCGCGCCGCAGCTGTCGCGTGCGACCTTGGCCGGCGACACCTACCGCACTGCGTTGATGGTAGGCGGCCCGGTGTGTGCCTTTGCAGGGGCAGGCCGCTGGCCCGGCGCGCTAGCTACCTAGCTGGGCACCCGGGGCAAGGCCGCCGATTGGGGGATGTGGGGAGGGTTGGGCCCGGTTTTTCTTTCTTCAGGGAAATCGTATGGGGGGGAAGAAGCCAGGGCCCCTCTCGGTTTTCCCCAAGGCGACCTGCTTGGCGTGTTTCTTACAAGCGCACAAGCAAAGGCGCGTCGGCGCGCTGGTTTGTATGTTCGCAGAAAGAAATTAGGAAACACGGCCCGCGCAACAGACGCAGGCCGCGGCGCGTGCTCGGACGGGCGGGCCGCACTGTGTGGGCCGCGCGCTCGCATGCGCGCCCTGTCAGCCGGCCACCAGCCGTCGCACGGATTGCCAGCCGGCCACCAGCTTTCTTTGCGCGCTGGGCGACCACCTTTGTCCTAACCAGCGCGCAACACCCTCCGAGGGGCGCTCCCCGTTTTTCCGAACCGTGGCGCCATCGTGTCACGCGTGTGACGCGAGCGGCATGCGCTTCAGTTTCGCAGCGTGGTGGCGTAGGGCGCGCGCCCCGGGGGTTCGCCGGGTCTGTGGTTTTGGGTCTATATCTATTGCCCGCGCCCAATCTTCGCGCCGGCCGGCGGTCCGCCCATGTAGGTTGTCCAGGACGGCGCAGATAATTCCCGTGGCCCGTCATTCCGTTGCTATGGCGTGCTCATCGTGTCGCGCGTCAGTGATGTGCGACGTATAAAAGCGACCAAGGCGATGACTCCGATGCGCGGCGATATATGCAAAGTCGGGACATTTCTGAGCAGATTCCTGGAGCATTCCTGAGGCATTTCCAGACCCCCTCTGATCACGGGCGGTCCGTGAGTAACCTGCTCGCGGTCATGCGCCACCAGTGGCGGAGACCCCGGCCCCCTCAGTGTTGGCACGACAACAGCACCGACGCCAGCCCCAGCCTTTGACGAAGAGACCCAGGGCGAGCACTGGTTCGTAAATGTGCCACTGTTTCGACTTTCGCGCCGGTCGGAGGCGGGGCTGCAGGAAGAGCAACAGACCACCGATCTGGATGAGGTTGTGAACCGGCGGTGCTCCGCGAGAGGACGCCAATCGAAAAGCAGCATAACAAAATGGAGTGGAGGTAAACGTAAGCAGGCTCGTACCAGCAGAACTAGGGTTCTGAGCGCCACGTCTCGGAGCACGAGCGCTTCCGACACGGACAATTGTGCGTCTTCTGACAGCTGCGACAGCCACGATGAAGAAGGTCGCGCAGCATATTGCTATCATGGAGATGAAGAGCAAGAGGTGCAGCTGCGCCAACATTATCCTAGGAAACTGAGGGGAAAAGCAGAAGCACAAGTACATCAACCACGGCGCTTTGTCAATGGCGATCCACCCCCGGGTCGAAGTTTCGTCGGTTATGGGAACGCTTTCGATTTTTACCGAAAAGGAAAATGTAAATGTGGATCAGACGAATTCGAGTCTGGACTCGGACGACACGCAGGCGCAGTACGCACGGCGCGGAGAGGGGCGCCCGCTGAAAAAGAGGGATCCTGTTCTTGGAGTAGGCTTTTCTTGTCCTGTTGTCGTCGCTGGAAAGATCAAAGTAATAGCCACAACCAGTTGCGCCATCAGCAAGCCCGCTATACGAATTGCGGACATATAGTTCCGGATGATTACCCTTTGCAGATCGAGGTGGAAAGATCCAACCTGGGGCTGTTTATCGCTGGCAAACCAGACTTCGATACCTTGCTCACGGTTACCACGGATTGGCAACGAACACGCATCCGACCTACATCTACTTTCCTGCAGGCTGCAGGAAGCGTAGAGGGGAGTAGACTGTCACATGGAAGACCGCATAAGCGTCTAACTGCCAGGAGCCGAGCAAGGAGTGTAACGCAGTGGCGGTGGCAGAGAGGTGCAGGAGATACAGAGCCACATCGCGGCCAGCGCAAACATCAAGGAAGACTCTCCCCGCAGAACTCAGTTGGCGAGTCTTTTTACTTCACTTCGCCACTTCTGGCGAACGAAACATACTACGATCACGTGATTGGTAAGAAACGGCAGGAGAACAACTGCAATAAGAATAAACGGCAGCAGAGCAACTGCACGTCAGGAAAAAAACCGACCCTTCTCTCATCTGCAGATGACGACGTGAAGGCCTACGAAGCTCCAAAAAGGAACAGGAGGGGCCCTGTTGTTCCGCCAGAATGCAAGAATAATATGTACTACCACGCTGTCCCTGTCGCGCAGTCGCAGTATAATTTCCGTCCTACCCCCCCTTCCTCGCTGAGGTCGCCCGACCAAGGGCGGTATGCTGAAGATCGGTCTGCACCATTTTCCAACAATCGCGAATCTGATTTGGCAAGACTGGAAGGAATCGGCGACCCCTTTTCCCGCGTGTCCCTCAATCTGCTCAAGCCGTACTCGATGGTGCGGCAAGGAAATGTGAGCTGGCTGATCTACTCTATCCTGGATTCTTGCGTCGATATGCTGATACCAATTGGTGAGGCCTTTGAGACGCAACTGGAGGTGACCTCCTTGCGGCTGTGCGCACTGGAGAATCGACTCCCAATCGTCGAGGTAAAGCGCCTGTTGTTGCTGCAGCGGCACTTAGACTGGTTTCAGAGTGAGCTGCGTCCCCTCAGTCGCGTGCTGCAGCAACTGATTCGGGAGGAGCAAGAGGGCGTAGCGGGATCGGATGGCGAGCTGCGGCGGTATTTGGAGGACGTAGACGACCACCTGGCCGGATTTCTCATGCAACTGGCGGCCCAGAGCCGCCTGTGCACTAGTCTCAAACAGGAACACGAGACGTACCGAGAGAACAAGGAAAACTCCGTGCTTTTTTTGCTCACCCTGGTCACGGTAGCGTGTCTGCCGATGCAGGCCTGGGCCGACTACTTTGGAATGAACTTTCAGAATGCTGAAGGGAAGCAAGGAGATCCTTTGCTCGCACTCGGTGGCTACGTATCGACGAGGAGAAAAAGTTTGTCATGATTACCCATGCCCATGTGCAGTTTTGCAATACAAAATTGTCGTGCTGATGCGTAAGAATGCACTTTACATCAAGGAAAAGCTATCTGTGATGCCACTAAAGTTGAAGTTGTTGTATTTCATGCAAAACCAGCGGAATCAATCTGATTCTGAATCAATTGCGACTGCGACGACCTTTTTTTTCTGTTTCCATATGAGGGCGTGCTCGTGTACTGGGTTCTCGTCTTTGTCTGCACCGCGGGGCTTCTGCTCGTTGTCGGAACGCGCATGTAGATGGGAACTGGAACAAGGTAGAGACGAACTCCGCGACCGGTCAAGGCCCCATCATTTCGATTGGTGGCACTGAGTCTAGCGACTTCGACTTTCGGCGCTTGTTGATTAATTTCTATTTCATTTTTATTCCTCATCGCGTTCGCGCTTGACGAGATTCGGATTAAGAAGGAGAACTATTTTTTTTCCGGCGCCGACTGTTGGATGGACGGAGCTGCGGATTGGGGATGATCGCAGGTTTCTGTATAATCGGTTGCTGCCTTTCCTCCAGTTGTGGTGCTGGATGTGATTAGTATGAAAGCCACTGAAAAAGGTCTGTAACAAAAGGAAACAAGAAGAAGACGAGGAAAATAGAAATACTCCGATGAGTATCAGAGTAGCTGATGTTCTTTGATGCGTCAATGTCAAATAGAAGTATGGCGCAGCTCCCCTTACTTTATTTGGTTTAATACAGATTTTCTGGTGCGTCAATCCATTCGCCCTGTCAAATATCGCTAATCCTAATTTTTTCACCCTTGCAATGACGAATGAGTCGTCCTTCAGCATCTATTTGTTCATCTTCTGATGCTTACATACATCAAATGTTTTATATTTATCTTCCTTGCATGTAGCTGCACGTGACTTTTGGTTTTTTTTTCTGCTTCTTGGATTGTGTGTCGAGCATTGGTTGGTTAACTCATCAGTCACAGCTTGCCGCGATGTGATCATCTTTTTGGGGCTCCCATGCGTATTGTCCTCCACGCTGTCGACCCACAAAAATCAAAAGAAAAATCAAAATGAGTGCAGGAGCACGCGATCGCCTCCCCCTACACTTGCAGTAAAATCAGTTCTTATACCATCCCAATACTAAGTTCGTACGCAAATGCAGGATCGTGATATTCAAGACATTGAGAATGGTGTGGAAAACAATGACGAATTGGCGTTCCGAGGAAGAAGGAGAAGCATCTTCGCGCGCTAGTAAGTCTTTCGAGCAAAGAAGAGCCCCATGGGCAGGCCGAGGGCAAACACGAATCGTCTATAATCCTAATCGGACGTCGTGTGGTCACTTTTTTCGCAGCTCAACATGGTTGACCCGGCATGACCGGAGGGCGAGTGTCTATTTTCTTCACACATCCGTAGACTATGAGGCGTGGCGTGGACGTTGGAGACCTCCTGGATGCGAGAATTATTTTAGGGTCAAGAAAAGACGAGACACGGTGGAGGGGACGGCGGGAAAGCGAAACAAGGACAGAGCTGAGCTACCTCTGGCATCGTCAGCAAGGTCGAGGAGAAGAGGAAATATTTTTTGGGATCTCCCTGAAATGGAGCCGTGGTTCTTACTTTTGTACTCTATATCTATAATCTTGTGGCTGGCGTTTCGGTTTCAGTTGGAAGCGCAGGCTGTATCACGACAGCAAGGGCTTTGCGTTTTCGCAGCGACGCCTCCGATACCCGCCACTTTCGCGGAACAAGAGCGGGAACAGCTCCCGGAGGTACAGAGGGCCGCTCTGTGTGAGCTGAAGAAGGCGATATGGGAGAAGAATCCGGAGTACCTCTTCTACACGCAGAAGGCATTTCCGGCGGCCGAGCAAGCGGACTTGAGCCGGCGCCCCTACGAGCTTTTTCGTCTCCTTCCAATCGACGTCCCGCCTGAGTTGGTTCCCCACCGGCAGCGGACGTGTGCTGTTGTCGGCTCCAGTGGCGTTCTTGCAAAGCATCAATTAGGAAAGCACATCGACGCACACGATGTCGTCCTGAGAGTGAACGGCGCCCCTGCCGGCAACCGCGATCACAGCCAGCATTTGTCTGCACGACCGGTAGCTACATCGGCTGCTGCAAGAAGGAGCACAGAGAAACCACTGTCCAAGGATGTAGAATTGGGTCCTCTAGAGGACAGCAGCACACAGGACGCGGGCGAGGTCTACTCGGAGCAACTCGCGTCTATTGCCGGCACGCGCACGGACATTCGCCTCGTGAACGGCTGGCACATCTCGGAAGCAAAGCCCTATGTGTATGGAGTAGAGTCCACGAAGATAGTGGACTGGCCGCGGAAAGAAGTGCATGGAGAGGAGATTCTCCACTGGCGCAATCGAGACACCGTCGGTGACATCTTGGTCGGTGTTCTCCCGACCTCGGTCTACAAAAACGGGTTCTACGAGGGCGCCGATTTTACAAAATTCTCGTACTGGATGAAGTACCTGGGAATCCGTCGCAAGGACATGCGAGACTACGAGTTTGCGTCCGCCTTGGGGCATGTGCGGACGGACCGTACTGACGGGCAGGGTACGGGGGGGCCCACCGATACTTTCTGGGAGAGTATGTTGCACCTTGACAAGTTCTCGTCCACACGGCAGCACTTGCTCATTCAGGCTCGCAAGCTGCTGGAGCGAGATGGGCGGGCGGAAATGAAGAAATCGCACGTATACCGAAAGTTGCAGCGTCTCCGGAAGAAGCTACGGCAGAACTTGAGCACCTGGATTGCGCTGGCGAAGGAGAGGCGGACTATGTTGATCGCACAAAATAGATTGAACGACACTTGGAGCGAGGAAGCGCTGGTCGGTCCCTGGCTTGACTTGGATAACATAGAAGAGTTCGAACGTGAGCGAATTGATGAGGAAACCGCAGCAGCCGGTCGTCTTCTCAAGGACGAAAATGAGGCTGAGCAAGACGATACTGACCAGCTCGTAGATCATATTCATACCCTGTCGTTGCCGAGAGACAATAGACACGGAATAAACAACGTCGACGTGACGAGTGCACGAGACAGCACCAGCAGCAAGATCAAAGCCACGGAAGCGGTAGATCCTTTAGCAGTGGAGTACGCCCGAGAATACACGGATCTCCAGCCAGACAGCTTGCCATATTACTTGCTCACGCCGAACTTGCTTACCGGACTACAAAAATTTTTGAACGACTTCAAGCCCTCTGGCCCCAGCACCGGGGCTCTGGGAATCGGGTTGGCTTTGCACCTCTGCAACACCGTAGACCTCTACGGCTTCGAGTCCGGCGTCGACGGAATGCAGGAACCGACAGAAGTCAAAGCCCATTATTGGGACGAAGGTATGGATCCTCAGAGGCGCACCGAGATGCAACAAGCGCACCCGATTCTCAGCGAGGAAAAGCGATGGCAGCAGCTCCGTATTCCCCACCCAGATAACCTACCGGGACTCATGCGCATCCCGGGTCTTGGCAGATTGGACGCCGCCTCGGAGGACTGTGCGAAAGTATGACGTCTTTCTAATCGCGGCCACGCACCTGCTCCTCAGTACGTAGTACGACCACCACCGCGTTTTTTCAGCTTTTGTTTGGACAACATCAACTCTGGGTGCGCGGCGGTTCCCAGAAGGGCACGTCGATCCCCTGAACGTGAACGCACACGAGGAATATCATGAGATCCAATAGAATACATTTACATTTTTCCCGAAGAGCGTCACGTAGTCGACATATCAGCTCCAGCTTGCGAGCGACCTCCAGATCGATTGCAGTTGCACACAAGGCCATTCTTGGCAAGCGCTCAGATCATCGATTTTCGAAGCGTCTCATCGCAGTGCTCGGCCAAAGGTAGGAGCAGATGTGACCATTCTCTGCAAGTTTTTTTAGTGTCCCGTAATGGTGAATTAAAAGTCTAGAAGAACTACGACCACGGCGCTGTTGGTTCTCACATTCACATAACAGGAGGTAGAGGTAGAGGCAGAGGTAGAGCAGTGCGGCGCAGAAGTGTACGAATTGTTTTATTGTTTGACTTCTTCCCGATTGTGGACCTGCACCTGCAGCAACATTCTAGAGAAGTTTTCAACAAGTATGACTAGAAATTGACTACCGTTGCTGGAGGAAGTAAAAGTGAGATTTTATTACTCGAGGAAGTTGAGCAGGAATTCACAAGTGGTCTGACAGGTGCGTCGTGCAGGCCGCACTAAGTATTTCCGCGGAAGATTGACGGGTTCTTGTTTCAGTTTCTGGTGATCGTATCTCCAGCTAGGTAAATGGAAATGATTGAGATTGTATATATATGGTATGAAGATGAACATGCGTGAACGTCGAGAGACCCAGGAGCACGGGGCGCAGTGCAGACCATGTTTCTGCCGATTTCGAGGTGTATACAAAGATAAAAATGCTTCGGGCAACGAACCCGACGGTGGCGAGAGTGCTTCACCTTTCCCAGAGCGTAAAAGCCTTCCAGCACTCTTAATCGAAATGCTGCGGCGATGAAGTCGACGGCACTATAATGATTACCCGAGTGAGAAATTCGTCCAACTGCTTAGAATATCTGTGGGGAGGCTCACGGGGTCGGGGTCAGCGTGCCTCTTCTCACGCCAGCTGTTTTGGAAAGCCAAGTGCAGACCACTCGTTTTTTTCCCATCACGTCATTCTACCTATTGGGTTTGCACCTGCCGCGACTTCAAGAGCTACTCACTCACTTAGAAAAAGTTATGCTGACGCATGGTGCTGCTGCAGCTGCTGCAGTAGATGTAGAAGTACGTCGAGGAGATTTACTAGATTTATTACTAGCTCCGAAGTAGATAGGCATAGGTCTAGTATTGCTGCCGGGGCGCGGTGCGTTTGGGCCTCGGGCTTTTGTGACGAGCAAAGAGCGCCAACAAAGATAAACACGCTGATGTCCACCTCTAGCGGCAGCCGGAGAAAAAGCGGATCCGCGCCGTCCTCTCCTTCCGCCCCAGCCTCGAAGCGCGCAAAGCTAGACACAAGCAAAAACGCAAATGCGCGAACGGCCGGAAAGAACAAGAAGTACCTCCTGACGATCGATATGCCTGCTCAGCTGGACAATAGTATCAAATCGCAACTGCCACGATTCAAGTCCGTGATGATAATTTGTGTTGCCTGAAAAAGAAAAATACTCATACTGGGTAGAAGCAACGAAGTCTGCCCCATTCTGCAGTTCCGCGTGACAGATGCAGTGCCACCCCTCACAATGTGCTTTCCGTCGTTTATTAAGTATGGCAGTCATTCTGCAAGAAGAGACTCTGTTGAACAAACTGAGCGCACCATAGCAAATCAAGGAACGACCTCAACCCGATGCCTGCTATTCGACTATCAGTTTCGGCACGTGCGAACGGCACAGGAGGAATTTCCGCAGTATTACCCAAAGCCAGGCTGGGTAGAGCACGAACCCTCTGAAATCCTGCAAAGTGTCAGAAACTGTGCAACGAAACTGAAGGTCGGGGCAGATGAGGTACAACTGCGCGTTGAAAGAAGTAGTAGTAGTTCCAGTTAAAGTATAGCCCCTCCTGTTTTGGCATTCGCGCACCGAAGATTAAACGAATGCCATGCCACCTGTTTGGTAGAAATTTTTGTTGCTAATGCTGAAGCTGCTCTTGCACGATAAGGATAAACATAAATTCCAATTCGTCGTGATGGAGAGACTTGCTTCCAGATCCAGTGTAGATGTACCACAGCACCATGACTTTTCACTGGTGAATACTAAGTCGAAAAATGTCTGCAGCTAAAAAATCGAAATTTTAACACACTACAGCGCGAGGCTTTTGCTTGGGTTTTTCTTATCGTGCGCAATCGTATAGAACGAGCGAAATCTTCTTGATGCCCGACATGCCGGCTGGCTCTCTCAGGTTCTGTGGTGTGTGCCCCCCTGCACCTGTTGCGCGGAGGCACAGGCCGCCAACTCGGATTACACATTGCCGCTTTTTGCGCCCCGTCTTGGGTCAACTTAGTGGCCCGAGTCACAAATCTGAACCCCTGCATCAGCAGAATGCCGTGCTGTGAGGGTTCAGAGTTGTGATGCAAAGCGTGGCTCTGCGAAAAACGTCTGCACCTCGTCCACTGAGGTCCCCAAGTGGAGGCGCAGACGTTTTTCGCAGGGGGTGGGGAAAGTGGGGCTCATAGGCCGTGTTTGTCTGCGCTGCGAAAAACGTCTGCACCTCCGAGATTGGCCTCCAGATGAGGCGTCCTCGGACACCTCTTCGGAGTCGTCCCGAGTCGCGGACCTCCGGGGCGACAAATTGCGGCCGCCCTTTTCGCAGGGCCCCGACCTGTATCGAGCTCAAGTTGCAGGCAACAGCCTGCAACTCGAGCTCATCCCCGAGCCGACCTCCTCCGAGGCCACTTTTTTTGGATTAGAATTGCACCTCGCGCGGGGTCTTCGAGCAAACGACGCAGGAATCGAGCGCAACACCTCGGCCAAGGTCCCCAGCACGGAGGCCACGGCGCTCGCAAGCGGGCTGCAGTCCGAGCGAGAAGAGAAGAACAGAAACTGCACTACCAAAAATTTTGATTTTTTTTGCTGCAGACGTTGATTTTTCCACTTACTTAGTAGTGAATTTCGTGTGATTTTCACCCGCACACACCAGGTGGCTGCTATCGGCATCGCGAATCAGCGTGAGACAACTGTCGCCTGGGATCGGAGCACAGGGAAGCCGCTTCATAAAGCGATCGTCTGGATGGATACGCGGACGCACGATGTGGTCAAGGACTTGTTGCAAAAGTACGACCAAAACACGGACCATTTCCGAGCGAAAACGGGGTTGCCGATCTCGACGTACTTCGCCGGAATAAAAATTCGCTGGCTTCTGCAAAATGTCCCAGCGGTGAGCAGGAGACATAGATTTGCGTTTGCCATTTTTCTTTTGAGCTTCGCCAACGCCAACAAATGTATACTATGTATGATTTGCGCCTCTGAAGATTTAATTTTCATCTCCGGTCCACACACACCTGGATAACGGGGTTGCCAGCAGCCACGTCTGCCGGTCGCGCGCTCTGGCTGTCTGACGCCAGGTCTGCCCGTCTGACGCGCACTGCGGTCGGCTGCCGCCCGGTCCGGCCGTCTGCCGCCAGGCCTGCCCGTCTGAAGACGCAGCAAGGTCTAACCGTCCGCCACGCACCCACTCCCTCCGTCCGGCCGTCTGGCGCCAGGTCTGGCCGTCGGACTGGCAACCGGTCTGGCCGTCGGACGCCTGACCTTTCTGGCCCCCGGCGCCCGGCCTGTCCGTTTGACGCCAGGCTTGGCTGCGGTCTGACGTCCGGCCTGGCCGTCTGGCGACCGGCCTGGCCCCCTGATGCCCAGCGTGGCCGCCTGACGCCATACACCCGGCTCACAGGGTGCCCGGTTCTCCGGCGTACCTTGTCCAGGGTACCTGTTCACGGGGTACGTGATCCCGGGTTCTTGGTGGTCCATATGGTACCTGCTCCCAGGGTGCGTGATTTACACTTTTGCTCATTTAATTTCAGACTGTTGCTTCTCCTTCTGCTTACTCCATGTCCATCACAATCTCTAATCAGGTGAAGGCTGCTCATGACTCGGGACGATGCTGCTTTGGCACGATTGACAGTTGGCTTGTGTACAACATGACAGGTAAGTTTGTCACCGACATCTCCAACGCCTCGCGGTATCTGGCAATGGATCTGAAAAAAAGACTATGAAACAAGTGAACTGCAACTCCGCCTCCGGTCCCGCACATTTGCCATGCAACATGGCGATAAATAATATATAAATTCCATGGCTCGGAACCTCCCAATAGAATAGCTCACCGGAAAATTTTAGTTGATTTCACTGGGGAACGATTTTCGTTTCCGGGCACCTGACCGCGTCGGACACAGCTACATCGCCGGGCAAAGCGGTCCGACTACACCTGCGGAGAAGTTGACGTCCCACCTTTGGGCCGCCCAAAAGTGAAAGCTTGCTAAAGCTTCAGGTTGAAAAACTGAAACCTCGCTGAGAAGTTGCGGCAGTCGTAGTTTTGGTCGTTTGTCAAACAGTGAAACTTCACTGAGATTTCACTTTTTGAGCGCATTTTTTAAAAGATCTCATTTTGGGGCCACCCCGCCCAAGCGTGAGATTCCGGAAAAAGTGAAATCTCACTGAGATTTCACTTTCTGCACTGGAGCCCAGTGCGCCATGGAAAGTGAAATTTTTCAAAAAGTGAAACTCCACTGGAGTTTCACTTTTGGAAAGTGAAACTTTGGAAAAATAAAGTGAAATTTCACTGGAAAGCGAAGTTTTTCAAAAATTGAAGTTTCACTTTTTGAAGGTCTCATGTTTTAGCCTCCCAAAAGTGAAATTTTTCAGAAAGTGAAATTCCAGTGGAATTTCACTTTTCAAAAGTGAAATTTTGGAAAAAGTGAAACTCCAGTGGAATTTCACCCCATTTCCCAGTGGCGCACTGGGCCCCAGTGCCGCACTGGAGCCCAGTGCGCCACTGGGAAATGGGGTGAAATTCCAGTGGAATTTCACTTTTTGAAAAATTTCACTTTTTGAAAAGTTTCACTTTTAAAAGTGAAATTCCACTGGAATTTCACCCCTTTCCCAGTGGCGCACTGGGAAGTGGGTGAAATTCCAGTGGAATTTCACTTTTTGAAAAATTTTACTTTTTGAAAAATTTTACTTTTGGGAGGCTAAAACATGAGACCTTCAAAAAGTGAAATCTCACCGAGATTTCACTTTTTTTCAGTGCCGCACTGAACAAGGGGTGAAATCTCAGTGAGATTTCACTTTCAGAAAGTGAAACGTCACCGGGATTTCGCTTTTTTTCAGTGCCGCCCCGAAAAAGGAGTGAAATCTCACTGAGATTTCGCTGCGTTTTGAATTTCCAGTCGGGCTCCATCCTTCCCTCCCTTTTCTGAAGCAAATGGCGTGAAGGCATTTTTAAGAGTGTGCATGTATTGCACAGGCACAGGAATTGCCCGCTTTGTATTATTCTTATTGTATCTGAATCGTAGTGGTATTGGTAGGAGATCATGGCCCGCGCAGCATTTTATTTGTAGGGGGGCACTCATGAAGCAGGGAGCGCCACGCTGTGTAGCTGCCCAGAACTTCCAGAACTTCAACTTGTCACGCAAACACAGCCAATAGTTGTATATGTATAATATAGCTAGGCACGGAAGCTCCCTCAAAGATAACACAAGAGAAGTCGATGGGCCACCAGAAGACGGAGCTATCTGGTAACATTTACCCAGCTATGTGCATCTTCCAATAGACGCTGAAGACCGCAGGTTTAAGAAAGAGGTCTCACTGGGTGTGAGTTCATTCATTCACTACACTGACTGCACTACAGTCGCAGTCCTGCTCCAGGCGTGACTTTTTCATGCAAAGAGCTGCGCTTCTCAATCTCGGGGCGGCGTACACACAGGCTGTTTGTGTTGCTAAACCACACGACGCCCGTGTTTTTCAAGTGACGGGGCGCCGGAGGTCAAGTTCTTGCACACGACTATAAAACAAATGGGACGCGGCGATATTGAAGGAGCTGGGCATTAGTTCTGACTCGCTTCCGGAGATCGTGTCAAACGTGGCCGATTTTGGTAAGGTCAAGGAAGAATTTTGCGCACCACTCGCCGGCGTTCCCGTCACCGGAGTGCTAGGAGACCAGCACGCAGCACTCGTTGGGCAAAATTGTTTTTCGCCTGGCGGTATGCGTCGCAAATTACTAAATTAGTACTACATGCCTGGGTCTAGATGTTGAAAGTAAGTTGTAATCGTGATGCTCCGCTGGTGGCGCTGCATTTTCTAAGAATTTGCATCGTCCCCATTTGCGTCCAGCTGCATGCTGCAACCAAGCAGAAAAATTGTTGAGCGGGCCAAGCGGGTCTGTAGTACGGAACGGGCGTCCTAAGTAGAACGTCGTCCCGCTTTGGGACGACATCTTCAAAGGCGCAGCACTATTTCTATTCCGGGAAATGCAGTGTAGTGCTTAGGAAGTAGGATAGTATGCATTTGGCGTCCGTGCTGTCATGTGGTTTTTTATTGTGCCTGATTAACATCGACATCCTATCTGGCTACTCCGGAGTGCGATCGTGGCGGACGGGCGGACCTGTACCGGCGACAGGCGCTATCCATCTTCCAAGCGCCCGACCACCAAGCAGGCGTGGAGCCAACTCGTGCGCTTCATCAATAATAACTTTTCCAGGCCCAGACAGTTTTGCAGTGCATAGGCGAAGCCAAGAACACATACGGCACAGGTTGCTTCATGATCGCCAACACTGGACCGACAATAGTCCCCTCTACGAAAGGCTTGCTGACAACGATAGGCTATCAGATGGGAGTGGAGAGCCCTACTATGTAAGTCTAAGTATCGCTACGGTTTTTAATATAATTACACCTAAAGACAAAAATAAAAAAAAACTCTACTGCAACTACCTGAAATAAGGTATGATGAAATTAGATTAGCATTGGATATCGGATGGATAACGAAACCGGGGCGCGGCTAATATGACCGCTGATGTAGCGTTTTTTCGGTTAAGAGTTAGAACCTGCTCGAATCGCCGCGGCCTAGATGGACGCGATTGGATCGGCGGGCAGGACAGCCGCCGGCGGCCGGCGGCTACCCTACCCAAGGTCCCCCGCGACTCTCCTCTCCTTTCTATGCCGCCCATGCCTCAAAGTCCTCCGCGCGGGTGGAGTTGTGCTACCCTATTTTTTATTGGGTCGTCTCGTTTAGGTTGACGGTGTCTTTTGGCCAAGGAGAAGCACCTCCAGAATCGAGACCGCAAATCGCTCTGGACGCATGTAGCGGAGGTCAATCACGCTCTGCGATTGCGTGGCGCAATCTGATTCCAGTAACCTGGTCTCACTCCGAAGTGACCTGATCTTGTAACCAGAGCGCGCCCCCCCGCGCGCAAAGCGCTCTTTGCGAGATGCTCATCCACCGCAAACGCAGCGTGAAGGCTTAGCCGTTGTCACATAGGAGGTGCTTGGGGGTATGCAACCACTCCCAAAGTCGCGCGCTTTCAGGTGTGAGTGTGTTCAGCCTTCTGAACAAACAAGCGGAGCCCGAAAAAGTTCGCGGACATTTTGCGAAAGCAGAAAGAAACGGCAACTGGAACTGCCAAGCGTGGGCAGGGCACGAAAGAGCAGCTGCGCGGTTCTCCTGGCCTCCCTGATTCTAAAAAGAGTTGCTTTGCTTTTTGAGCGGCCGACGGTGTGTGTCGGGGAAATTATTCCACCACTCGGCGGCCGCCCCGGCCGCTTGGAAACTGAAAAAGAGCGCGCAAAAAAGTCGACCCATTTATCGCAGCGTGGAAGCAGACTGGAGAAAGCATAGACTTTGTGCATGTCGCGAAAGCCCATTGAAAATTGAAGGCGAAGACTTTTGCTGAAAAAGTAAACGCCGCTCTGCAATTGCCGCTCAGAGGCGTCCCGAGAAATTTTCCGGCTGCCCATACCTTGTTCGGGACTGTAAGAAAAAAGAAGCAAATGTAAAAAGCAGACACCCCTTACAATCCTGCGAATGTGTGTCCCCCCCGCGCGGTTTTCTACTTCTCTGCGGGTCGCTACAAATTGGAACCCTTTACCCGCTTACGCTTAGAAGTGCTCGACTTTCTTGGGCGGCCCACACGGGCTGCCGGAAATGGCCAAAATGATGCAGCTCTTGTACCTTCCCGCCTGCCCTCGCGCATAACATTACGCACGGCGGCAGAGTTACCTTCAGAGAGGGCTCCTTTGTCTCAGTGGGTCAAGAAAGGGCGCCCCGCTGTGAGTTGGCCGCGTTTCGCATTCAATGACTATCGTAGGAGCCTGCAGGCCGCTGCGGGCGGCACCGGAAGTACTTGCCCGCGGCCCGCGCGGCGCGCTGTAATGTTAGAAAAAGACTGCCGGGCCTTCGCGCTGGTGTTGAGGTGTCCACGCACGCACTTGGTTACCAATCTCGCCCTCCGGGCGCGACCTTATCACTAGTATTCAGGCCCATTCTATGTCCTGGTAGTGGTTTTGTTTTCCGCTTTGTAACTCCAACTTCTCTTTCTCATTCATTTTCTCTCTCTTACTTCTTCGAGGGCACTGCAAGTCCGAATGATCTGTGGACCATGACCAACAAATCTGTATGGAATCATGAACGCGCATGAAGATACTCGTGGCCTGCGTCGAAGAACCCCCTCAATATATGAATGCAACCACAATGGCATCTACTCAGTTACGCGCTTGAGGGCTCCGTGGCGATTGCCGGACGATTGATCCAGTGGCTGCGTGACAATCTAAAGATCATCCGGGACGCACCGGACATAGAGGCAGTAGCGAAACAGTGCGACTCGACGAATGGCGTGGTCATCGTGCCAGCCTTTCAAGGTCTGTTTGCTCCGTACTGGCGTGACGACGCCCGGGCTGTTATCTCTGGAATGACGCTTATGTAACCGCAACCGCAAGTTTCAGGTTGAAAATTTGAAAGATCAAATGGAAATAATGATAAATGTATTCATTGTCTTCACGCGACACAAGTCCAAGTGCAAGATCAAGAAGTGCGTGCAGTGCCGACAGAGTAACAACGGTTGACTCTGACCGTAGCCCTTTTACTTTAGGATAAAAAAAGAGGGCGTTTACTACCATGACTGTGACACGGCGGCACTTCATCTTTGCACTGACCAGCTTGACCGATTTACCCCGACAAGCGTCAGAAAAATCAAACTTGCCATAATGCGCTGGTGAATATCGAGTTCCAATGGAATTCAGTTTATGCTGATGGTGCATGGTGAACTATATTTACTATAATGATTTTTATGTTTTTGCATTTTCATTTATTTGGCGATTTGCTTTTCCAACCTGGTGACGCTTCTACAACGTTCCAAGCTGGACGCCCAGAGCTATGTCGTGCGGCACTGGAAGCGGTAGCGTTGCAGGTCTGCGATGTCTTTACAGCAATGGAAGGCGACGGTGAGATGAGTAGTTTCTGGAGCACAGCATTCAATTTTTGTACTTCAGATTGTCCGAAGTTTCGGTCCTGCGTCTGTATCTGTACGTACTTGTTGGATCTTGTTCGTGATAATGCTTAAGATGTTGATGATCTCGTAGAAGTGGGGCCTCCTTAGGATGTAGTCGCGCTGCTTGCCTAAAAGCAGCTCAGAAAAACGATACTGAGCAGTTTCTCCTTCCCTACCATCAGGTATTAGTGTGAAACAGCTTCGCGTGGATGGTGGTATGACGGTTAACGAGACACTTATGCAGACCCAGGCGAATTTTCTTGGCGTCAAGGTGCAGCGCCCGGCCATGGTAGAGACGACCGCCTTGGGCGCCGTGATTGCGGCGGCGATTGGCGTGGGACTCTATCGCAACACGGATGAGGTGAGGAGTGTTTGCAATGCATCCTTTACCACGTTCTCTCCGAGCGTGTCTTGGCAGGAACGTAAGACGGCACGCGACCTGTGGGCCAAAGCAGTTGCGAAAACGGTCGGGGACCACTCGAACTTATAAAAAAAAAAACGACCGACAAGAAGTGCATGTGTATTGCTGCGAGCCTTCCTAATCGTAATCCTATCCGTAAGTGGTCGACTGCAGGCCCTCGGGTGCAGCAAAGCTCTCTCTTTTGCAGCTTCTGGCGCTGAAGCACGTGCGCCGTCTTCTTAGGGCGATCAACTCTACTACAAGACCACGCCGCACTGTCTGTGTTTCAACAACAACTACGTCACCATAAGAGCCTCCGTGGAGTTTCCAAGCAAACCCTGAAAAAAAAGGTGCGAGGCTCTTTAATCTTGTTTCGTCCTGAAGATAGAGATATTCATATTGCCCCACGTGCACAAGAGCCAAGAGCAGCGATCAACTCAAGGGCCTCAACTTTTAGAGGAGATGCTCTGCTTATGACAATGCGTTTTTGCTAGTTGCAAAATGAAAATTCCATTTATAAAGTTTGCACCATTGATGACCGGCATTTGTGTTGGTCCTTTCTTCCTCCAGTTCATTAGACATAGGCTTGTGGTGTGTGTGTACGTGTATGAAAATGTATGGGAGTAAGAGCACCATGATCAAGCCAAATGCTGAATATGAAAATGAATTTCAATGCCGGTGGAATATACTTGTAAGTGCCGAGCCCGAGACCCTACCTAATGTCCATCCTTAAAATGTTGGAAGGACCGAGACCAGCAGCTGGTCTGCAACACCGAAATGTACTTACATTACAAACTGAAAATGAAATCTGCGCCCACCTCCGTGCTGCTGAAGGTGAAGGACCCAAACATGCGCACTATGGAAGTCGATTTCAATCTTCCAAACGAAGCATAGCCATCTTTCTTGTTGTTTCTACCTTGACCAGGACCCGAAGGACCAAGTTCTCTGCAGCAACTGAGTGCCCGCCATATTTGTTGCAAGTTGTCAGTACCTGCCCCATCTTTTTATTTGGTGGATCTCGACCGCGATGGATTTGGAATCATGTGGTCTGCACTTTGCGCCTTCAGGTTCTTCACTTTGTGGCTTGCTGAGATGTTCGGGTCTCAAGCTCAGCGATTGCATTGAAAGCGGAGATGGTGTTGGATCGATATGTAGTGCAAAAAGTGCGCGATCCGCTCCCACTCTCCTCAAAGGAATTTATGATATGCGTGTGACTCTTTTTTCTTGAAACCCAAGGGAAAAAATCGAAATCCGACGAGATACATACAACTCTGCGAGAAGGTGTGCAAAACTCCGTCTGTTGATCAGACATGTTGCATGACTTGCAACCTCTAAAACAAAGCGACATCGGAAACTATCCTCGTTCGGGAACGAGGCACACATACCCCGGATTTTTTCAAAAAGTGAGAACGCGGCGAGTTTTCGCCTGGGCTCTCTTTCCGGAACGAGAAACGCTGTGAGAATTCACTGAATTGCCACTCCAGGACTTTTCAAAAAGTGAGAACGCAGTGAATTCTTGCGCGGCTTCTCGTTCCGGAACGAGAAATGGAGTTAGAATTTACTGAATTCATCTCACTCCAGGATTTTTCAAAAAGTGAGAACTCAATGAGTTCTCACTTGGTTTTCGTTCGGGAACGAGAAATGGAGTGAGTAGAATTCACTGAATTCTCAATCCCGGAAAATTCGCGATCCCAAAGTGGGACTTTTCAAAAAGTGAATACTCACTGAATTTTCACTCGATTTCTCGTTCCGGAACGAGAAGCCGAGTGAAAATTCAGTGAGTATTCACTTTTCGAAAAAAACCACTTTTGGAGCATGCATGTTTCTGGAGAGAGGCTTCAGCTCCCGGAGTGAAAATTTTCGAAAGTGAAAATTCACTGAATTTTCACTCGATTTCTCGTTCCGGAACGAGAAGCCAAGTGAAAATTCAGTGAGTTTTCACTTTTTGAAAAAAATCACTTTTGGATCACGAATTTTCCTGGAGAGAGACTCGAGCTCGCAGAGTGAAAATTTTCAAAAAGTGAAAATTCAGTGAATTTTCACTCGATTTCTCGTTCCGAAACGAGGCCTCGTTCCGAGTTTTCACTTTTATTTTGAAAATTTTCACTCCGGAGGCGAAGTTTTCCCGGAGCGCGAATTCGGGAAGCGGGATTTTTCCAAAAGAGAAAATTCGCTGAATTTTCACTCGATTTCTCGTTCCGGAACGAGAAACCGAGTGAAAATTCAGTGAATATTCACTCCGGAATTTCGAAAAGTGAATTACTAGGCTTCTGGTTCTTCCGGAACGAGGCCTCGCGGAATTACCACCCCAGAGAAAAGCTATCTCATCCCGGAGTCATTCTGGAAGTGGGATTTTCGTAGAGTGGCAATTCAGTGAGTTATGATTACATGAACAAAAAAAAGCCGCAAGCGCTGACCTTTTACAGCACACATGGAAGAGATAGGGCGAGGGCTACCGATTCAAATTGCAGGACGTTCTGTGTTGCTCTGTCGCTAGTAGCGTTTGCTGCATGGCGCGAAAAATTTTTCGCGAGCCTTCTAAGCCTCGCGCTATTGCCCGCGCCACATCGCCGAGAGGAACGCCCTGCCACACTGCCTGCAAGGTGCCTGTGGTGTCGTTCGTAAGCCACGCCTAGTTTTTGTGGTTCGCAACGTCGCCCGATGTTTTGGCTTTAGTATGTACGTTAAAAACGCTCGAAGTTGTAGCATTTGGGCTCTCGTTCCCCAACGAGGGGAGTTTCCGACGCGAAAGGGGGGGTCTTTGCAAGTCATGACATGTTGTTTATTCGAGAAGTCGAATAAGTTTAGTTCAGACTTTTTGTAACGCTTGAGAAGAATGTAACGTCAGCACTGAAAGAGAGGAAAAGGAAGAGGGATACTAACACTTTCGCTCGTGGTAGTAGGTTTGCAGGCGTATGATCGACCATGCGCGTATAAACAAAGTTCGTTGATGAAGTGAAGTAGTTTCGTATAGGAGCGAGAGCAAGACCCGTTGCTGTTGCACTCACTCCCTAAACTTGAATCTTTTTCCCGCCTGTCGTTTGCTTTTGGCGTTGGCCCGAATACGTTTAGCTTGAAGTTTGTCGCGTACATTTATACTAGCAACATATGCTTCGCCTGTAGAAATGTGAAAAAAAAAATAAATCTTCATAATTATTCCGCTAGAGCGAAACACAAAAAATAGAACCTGAACAGGAAGTCAAGAAGTCCTGTTCTGTTTCAGTTGCTCTCGTTCTTTCTGCCAGGTGGGACTTCGGGTTGGAGCGCCCACCATCAGTTCGCTAACTATAACGAACTGATGGCGGGGACTTGGTCGGGCCTCGGGGTGGAGTGCCCGCCATCAATTCGCTATATCGCGAGCTGATGGCGGGCAGCCAGCTGGTCGGGCCTCGGGCTGAGGTGCCCGGGGACCTGGTCAGACCTTGGGGTGGGGCGCCCGCCATCAATTTGCTATATAGCGAACTGCTGGCGGGCAACTGGTCGAGCCTCGGGCTGGGGTGCCAACTTTTTAAGATTTTGCAAGGCTGAGGCGTCACATTTTCTGCCAACGCCGAACACGCTTGCTTTATCCAGCTTCCACCGCCTTGCTCGCTATTGCTGTTGCAGCTTGTGCAATTCATACTCATCAAAAGTTTTTCAAATTCTGCCGTTGGCCTTCTGCTGCACGCTTTGCCTTTCTCTACTTGTTTGCAGTTTTCATTTTTTAGTATTTCGCTTTGTTTTACTTTCTACCTTTAGCACTCAGCTTTTGCTTTTTACTTTTAACCTTTGCGCTTAGCTTTTACTTTTCGTTTTTCGAGTTTTGACTTCTAGCTTTTTGTTAGAGCCTGAACACACGAGAACGAAAGGAGAGAGAGGAGGAACCACCAAAAGGCTCAAAGTCTGAAGGTTCTCAATGACTCAAGTCCTGAGCCCACTGCCTAGACTCTGCGAAACCCGTGCCAAAGTGTTGAAAGGTTCAAGTGAGGAGCCTGCTCGCGACGAGCTGAAGACGACGAGACACAAAGACGCGAGGACGGAGATCGGTGGAACGTCGAGCGTGCTGACGCTTTTGCTTTTCGCTTTTGCTTTTTGCTTTTAGTTTTAGCCGCTGCCGGTAGCTTTTCGCTTTTAGCTCTTAGCTTTTAGCGCTTAGCTTTTAGCGCTTAGCTCTTAGCTCTTAGCCCTTAGCTCTTAGCTCTTAGCTCTTAGCTCTTAGCTCTTAGCTCTTAGCTCTTAGCTCTTAGCTCTTAGGCTTTGCCTTCCCACTTGAAGAAGCCGACGACGATGTCGACGCTGGAGCGGAGTAAAAGCATAATAGTTCCCTCTAGTAACCCCGTCAGTTGGGTAAATCATTCACTCACTCACTTTGCTTTTAGGCATTTGCTTCCTTTTAGCTTTTAGCTTTTGTTTTTTGGTTTTACTTTTTGGCTTTCACTTTTAAATTGCGGAATAATTGTTTGGCCATCACGCTCTTACTCTTAACAAGGGATAGATTATGCTTGAAAATGATGCAGGGGCTTTTCGCCACGGGTGCCGCAGTGCTAGCGCAAGGTCTCGCGTACGCTGCGCTTTTGCTGTCGATGAAGTTTATCTTTGTCTATCTGGAGTTTCCCTACCCGTTGTTCATCTCGGCGTGCAACAGCTTTTGCGGAGTTATCGTCCTCCTTTTTTCTTCCGCCGTACCCGTAGTATCTATCTGCACGACAAAAAGTCATGACGGTGGCGCTGCTTCACCTACGTCCGAGGTTGTGGACGGGGCAGAGCTACTCCTGAGCAAGGGCACGAGGAAGCAGAGTGCCACTGTTTCACGACTAAAGAATGCAAAAGTGCCGACTACAATTCCTTCTCGAATCGCAGCGCAGCAGCATGGAGATGCAGGCGTAACCGTACTCAGTCTGGCTTCTTCATCATGTCCCAGCACCACGGCCTCTTCTAGTGAAGAATACCATGACGATGTCGACGAATCGCGAAGGCACCACGGCGGCCACTATGGGTCTCAGACGCTCATAAAAACGAGACGCAGGACGCCTGAACAGTGTGGAACTGTCTTCACTGACAGGGCTGATGATGCAGGCGCCCAAAAAAAGTTTTGCCATCGACTTGATACTGAAGACGCTCAAGAGGCTCCTGCCACTATCGACCGAAGCGCACAACAAGTGGCAGAAACCCTCGACTACGTATAACAGGAGCAGCTATTAAATCGAAAACTATTTTCAAAAATGTGTTTTATTGTAAAACTATTGTGATTATGTAGCTATTTTATGATTAACTATCTAGGTTTTCTCATAGCTAATGTGGGTAGTTGTCTTGCGGCTGTGTGTACACAGCCGCAAGACAGCTACCTACTTTACCTTAACTATCAGCTAGCTAATTAACCATAAGCTAAGTAGTTTTGACATGCATATTTATAATAGAACAAATTTTTGAAAATTTCAATCGATTTAATAGCTGCTCCTGTTATACTACGGCGCTCTAATTTATTTCGGCGGTTTCTTTGGTGCTGTAAATATCGGTCTGTCTAATCAAGCACTCAGCCTCCTGGACCCGCCGAATTACGGAGTCTTGATGAAAAACCTACTACTGTCGGATGTGATTGTGTTCTTTCTGCTGGATTCGTTGAATGATAAATCTGTCGCGAGCAGTGAGCAGCAGGCGACGTTTAGCGCGGCCGCCAGCAATGCGACAAAAGCCGAGAGGGAAAGTTTCACGTTGGAGGGGGCGGAATCGTTCCATGACAGCACAACATCGTCTGCACCAGCCAAGCAGCTGTCGCCCGAAGAACATAGCAGGAAAAGACGACTGCTGGCCCGAAGGTATCTGTTTCCATGGCACGCGTTGCCGAACCCCTTCCGTGTTTGCTTGCAGCTTGGCCTGGTCTTGTGTGGGGCAGTCGGCTCTGCCTGGCTGGTGGCTTCAGCACCGGACACGAGTAAAAGTGGCGAACCCTCTGAACCTGCCGCACAACTGGGGAAGAACGAGCAGACCGACTGGAGCCCCTTGCTGGGCGCATCCTTGTGCTTCCTCGCCCTCCTGTTTTCCAGCCTGAAGGATGCGGTGAGGCAGTACTGCTTGCACAAAGAGAAGCGATTGCCTGTGTTCTTGGAGCGGCCTCTACGTGGCTCGGGCTCTGCAGCAATTTCTTGTTCGGACAGGCTTGTCGACGTAGATGGCCTGGGAGCGGGAAGCGCTGCGGGATGCGGAGGCGCTGACCGCTTCGGAAAGCTGCATGGCCAAGACATTGCAAGGGGGAAAGTTACCATTTCCGTCGTCGAGTACTCGGCCAAGGCTTGCGCTGTACAGTTTTTGTGTTTGCTGCTGGGTGCTTTGAGCATCGAGGGCCGAGCACCATTTCTGATTTTCAAAGCTGGATTGATGGGAGCTTGTGGTGTGGTTGTAACTTCAGCTTCAAAAGAGGAGCAGCAGAGAGATGGTCTTCTTGTCGTATGTACGGCGCTTTGTTGCCTTCTCGGATTCGCAGTGACAACGGCCACGGCTGAGCTGTCGAAGTTGACGGATGTGGTTTCGCAAGCTTGCTACCGATACTTGAGCTTCCTCCTCCTCGCGGTCTTTTCGTTTGTTGTTTTCCGCCAGGCTCTGACCGGGGCGCAGATTGCGCTGTCCGGAGTGATGTTCTGCGGGATTTTTTGGTTTGCGCTGGATTTCCACTGTGGTGAGAAGCGCGACGGTGCCCAAACTACACCACCCGATCCAACGGAGAAGCCGAGCGCCGGCGCTGCGGTGGCAAGCGCGCTCGGCCCCCCTTCTTGCGCTGCAATATCTACTGCGGTCGGGGAGGCCTGCAATGGCAATAGGCCTGTCGCGAAGAACCACTCACCCGCTTCCTCTGCGTCCAACGGAGGCACCGACACAAGCGGAAGCGCGTGGGCAGGGCCCGCGCAATGCCGCGTGGCTATATCTGTTTTCGTGTCTGTTGCAGCCATTGCCTTTGTTTGGCACAATGTCAATGTAAGCGGCGCTAGTTTGCGTAGCGGAACTGCTTTACGGAGTATGGCGCTCCTACAGCCACCAGCCCCGCCGGGTCTAGTATTGTCCGAGCCACCGCTGAACGGTATCACACTCAACATGGCCCGAGCAGCGTCTCGCCCCCTCCTCCGCGCAGCGCAATTTGCGCCCGGCCACGGGCGCGCCAGCCGCCTGAAGGTAGGGAAGAAAAGAGCCACGCCGCGAAGCGAAAACAGCGGGCCAAAGGTAGCACGTCCGTGGGACCCTCGGGCGCCGTTGTCCTCTGCTAGCGGTGTCGGTGTCGGAATCTCTCGGGGGCGCGAGGCTAAGCCCGCCGCCCATGCCGGCCAGATCGTGAAGGCGGGCGGCAAAAACAACGCGCGTGGCGCTCAAGAAAAATTCGACAGTGATCCGGCAGTGGCCAGCGGTGAAACACTGGTCGAAAGCGGCCGCCTGCTGGCAGGGCAGACCGTCCGCAAGACCCCTGCGCCAAAGCAGGGCGTGGAGGAAGGCAGCGGACCAGAAAGAAGCGCTGCGGCTGCAGCTCCGAACGACCAGTACCCACTGGCGGCGCACGGGACCGACTTGAGGCGGCTCGGCATTTTTCTCAATCCGGAGAAAGCCGCGAAAGGCGGGTCGGTAGCAGCGATCGGCGAGGAGCGCGCGGACTTCCAAGCGCGCGGCCCTGCCGAAGATGTCGCAAAGGGCGAGGCCTGCACCTGTGGGCGCTGGGGCGAGTTCACCAGAATGGATAAGCCCAGTGACCTTGGCTTCTGTGAGGCTCTGGATGAAAAAACTGCGGCTGGCCGGCGAGAAATCGAACACAGGTTGGAGACGACCCGTGGTTACACGCCAACCTGTTGCAGAAGGCAGACGACGCAAGTCTTGTGGGATCTGGCGGACAACGTTTTTGACAAGTACGGCCTAGAATACGCCTTGCACGGTGGCACTGCTTTGGCAGCAATTCGGTGTGGCAGTATAACTAGCTACGACTACGACCTGGATCTGATGGTGTATGCGCCGGGGTCCTTGGAGCTTGCGAAGCGCCAGTTGCGAATGTGGGTGCAGGATTTTCGCAGCAACAAGAAGGGCGCTAGCAACACCGTGGGACTTATGGCAACGAGATCGCGCGCCAAAGAAGAAAACGGCGGCAGCCCGCCACGACCTTGGCAGATCCCTATCGAAGACGCCGCGACGCGTTCGATTGGTGCGCACCTACGCTCACGCGGAGTCGGTTCTGCTCTCATTGACGAATTCCTCGACGAGCTTGCATTATCTGGCTCTGAAGGTGAAGAACTCGATCCGACTAAAAGCCATGCTGATGCTGACGGAGCTAGCGCAGCCGCACCCAGAGCCACCTCTCCTTTGGCGGGTTCGCAAGCTTCGCTAAGGAAAGACGGCGATGCCGTATCCATCTTCGAGCACGTGCACGGCCGCGACAGAATCTGGCAGGTCGGTCGCGCGCCAAGTTTCCTACCGAATGGCACTGCCACGTTTCGGCTCGCGTCGGTGGAGTTTCTTGTTTTGCAGGGGTTGGGCGCCCCTGACAGTTTTCATCCGGACCCGGGGCCGAGGAATTTCGAAATAACCGGGGAGTTCACAAACCGAGACACACGGCCAGGCGCCGTGCAGAATGGCTCGGTGCATGCTGATATCTACGTTTCCGACGCCAAGCCACCGGCGCTTCGCCCCGTGTTTTTTGGCGGCCGAATTGTCAAGGCGGCCGCTGAAGCGCGCGCAGAGTTGCATGAGAAGTATGGAGCGTCCTACTTCACGCCTTTACGCTGGAAGAAACACGGGGTCGAGATGCAGTCTGTGACCTCGGAAGACACGTGCGAAAAGAAATCCTGCGAAGCGGCCCGGGCAGAGATGCGCGAGAAGCTCTGTCCTGTTGTGCCGGATTTGATGTTCGGGGCGGCGGAAAGCGAGGAGTGTTAAGATGTGCGAAAAAAAGTATAGTACAGCAATACGAAAGAAGGCAGCTTTTCGCCTTCTGCTAGTAGATAGTGCTTCAGTTTTTTTAATCGCTGCATTAAGTACTTAGAACTACGTCGCTTGTTGATGTATAAGTGCAACCCTTAACAGGAACTTGGCGCACGAACATAGCCATGTCTCGCCCGCCTTCACGGGACCGATTGCAGTAGTTTGTCTTGCACTTGCTTTAGTATTAGTCACGTCAGCAGTATTTGTTTCTGTGGGATGAATCAATTCGGAAATGGAAAGACAAGAAGCGACAGCTCTTGCTATCATTTTTCAGAAAGACAGACAAGCAGTGGACCTGGCCTGAAGTGAGTGGCTCCCAAAGGGCAAAAAGAATAGCAATAGACGCACTGCCAGCACTGCGCATGTCATGTAAGATGAAATTAAAAATCATTTAAGAGAATTGATATTAAAAAGAGAAAGAAGGTATAAGAAACAGTGAAAGAAGTTAGTCGTTGTAGTTCTATCAGAAAGAAAATAGATAGAGGGCTCTGGAAGTAGTCCGCCGGTATTAGCCTGCGGAGAGGAAACATAGTACGCGAAGCAATGCACAACCTCAAGCAGAAGTGGGACGGTTGTAGACAAGGGCGCGGGCGTGATGCAAACGGTAAGAGCTGCACCCAAGGAGAAGCCACGTTCCTCGTCCGCGCCGCCGCGATCTTGTAGTAGGGAGCTGACTCGTTCTCGTGAAAAAAAGTTGGATGTGTATGATAGATGCGATTCTTATGTTTATGTACGGGAGATAAAAAAATAGCTGGAACCGAATATAACCCAGTCCGGCTTCTAGGGAAAACCGGCTGCGTGATTTTTTTTCTTTGTGTGTCTGAAGTATCAAGACTTTTTTTCTGTTCACACTCACTGCCTAGCTCGCAGCAGCCCGTTATGGAACACTGGCAGCATCGTCATCATCTACGTTTTCAGAGAGACCAGGAATGAGCACCCCTCTACTTTTTCGGCGTGATCATACATCGGGATGAGCTAGTACGAGGCGGCACTTCAATCATCATATCCTTGAATCTGATGTAGTTGCTGAACTTGGTTGATGTGCGCAGTGCTTTTCCTTGGCCGCTCGGTCGTGCGTCTTGTAGCAGTGTTGTGTTAGAAAACTTTCTGACAAGCGCAAAACTGTTTTACGGCCAGTGTTGTGGTTAGTTTTGCCTGACTTCTGCGCTGAGCCCGCCTTACGTGACGGCGTCGCGTGAGCCTGCTGCTGACGACGTCCCACCCAGTGAGCATGTCAGTAGGCCCGGGCCGCTTTGTCTTGCGGGCGGGGTACAAGCAAAATTGTTAGCCGCCTCTAGTACAAAAATAGTAAGCGTGGCCGAGCTCTAGCTCATGAAAAAACCGGCTGCACTCTTAAAGCTCCGGCACGCCAAACCCCTGGGCGGTGTGTCTCTGTTCCACAGAAAAAAGATCACGCACTTCGACAGTTTCCCACCGTAGTTCTAAGACCGAACTCATCCAGAAGATGAAAAGACATTCTTATCTCCCCGGTCTGTCTACCGTTCAGCACGACGATGCAACTCTCTCACCCAAGAAAGAACTAGGAGAAGCCCGCAAAATCTTCCTCGTCTTTTGATGCTAACCCTTTACAGGTCGACAGGGATAGACTGAAGTCGAATACTTCGGACATTGAGTCGCTTAGCTTTTTCTTTTGCTAGTCTTTCGATGTTCGAAGCTCTTGTGTCTTGCGTGCCGTCATAGAACTACGAACTACGAACTTCTGTCGTCTGGACACCATCAAAAGGGTCCAAGAAAAAAAGTCAATCAGGCCGAGGCGAGATGCATTAACGTAATAACTTTGTATGGTTAGAAGAAAAAACGCTGACTGTAAAAAGTGACTGATAACTTAGACAGGGTTTAGGGTTCGACGTGTGCTCCCGTCTGGCGCGTGAAGTTACTACATTGGCCGGCGTAAGACTATCCGTGGGCCTGCCAGGGTTGGGCTGATTTCCCCGTCCCCCCATAAGCATGATGTCGATAAGCCCGGGGCCTTGTATGACACGAGGGAGGGGCGCAGGTTCATCGTTAGCCGCCCCTACTATAGCAGTAAAGCGTGGTCAAGTTTAGCTCATGAAAACACTCGCCGGAGCTCTTACAGCCCCGAGTACGCCCCACCACCGCCCCACCCCGCCCACCGCCCACGTTTAGCTCATGAAAGCACTCGCCGGAGCTCTTACAGCCCCGAGTACGCCCCACCACCTCCCACCTCCCCATGCTAATCGGACATCTTCCCACATTCCCACTTACATGGATGCTTACCTTTTTCTTGTTTTTCACTTTCTGTGTGATCGGGTGTGGTCGATTGGCCGAGTCAACAGCAATATAACGATGTCGAATGGCGCGCGACCGCGATGGCAATGCATGTGAAGGGTATAATGTCATCTGGGTTGACTTTTAGCATTGGCGCCACAGTTCTTGACACACACACACACACAGATTGATAAAGCTGCAAGAACCAACTTCTACACAAACGGCGACGGTATGCACTTATGTTCATCGGTGTTCTTACTTTTCTTATCGTCGAAAGGTTCCGCTTCGATATAATTATAATACAAGGAAACTACTAATAGCAATAGGGAGTTTAGGACTCAGGTTCGTTTGGTTTGCGTAATGTAATAATAGATTTATGGTCACGCGATGGCTCATTGTTTCCCGTTTTCTTGCTCCTCGTGAGCATCTTCGACTATCCTGCTAAGATATGCATTTTATTCTGCGCCTCGCGTTCTTGAACCGGTTGTCGATGAAGTAAGTGTAGTACTCGCGGCCACCTCATTCATTGGTTGTTTTTAGGCGCCACTCGTGGAGGTATCGGCAGGATGAGTAGGACAAGCAGTGGCGGCTCGAAGGACGCGCCATCTGCATTGCAAGGCGCACGTTGGATATTGGGTACGACGTCTTACTTGTTGCGTCTTCTGAATTTTTTGGTTGGCGACCCCCGACAGTAAAGGTACGCTGTCACTGTATGTAATGATAATGTCACATCAGGACAAAATCACTAACGCCTCCACTGAAACAAGTGCTGATCTACATCTTCTATGCAACATATCTAAGGCCTTGGCTCGGTGGCTGATGAAATTCTTCACAACTAGACGAGCAGTATATGCAAAAACAATAAACCAGGGTCCATTTTCACTTCTGTCAGCTGTGTCATGTGCAATAAGCGCATTTTCTCACTGTTTCCGGTGCCTTTCGCTCTGACAGCCACGCACTTTGCGCTGACCACCATGGCGCAGCAGCTCCGCGGACAAACTGGAAATACCGGAGATTTGACGATGCGACACGGCCAGGGAGGACGACCACCGCCGTCAAACTCACAGTCAAAAACATCTAAGAGCAGCAGTGCCAGGAGCTCTATGGGGGCGTCAGGATCGAAATCGACAAAACCGAAAAAAAACCTCTGCCCTCCCTTGGGGGGGGCCTTCAGGGCAACCCCGCCGGGACCCCATTCGATTCTGACACACTCAAGCTTACCGTGGTGGCTAGCTCGGAAGGGGCCGAGTGTGTCAGAATCGCAAAGCGAATCCCGGCACACCTCCACGGGACCCCTGGACTTTTTTCGATTTTTTTGCGAATTTCGATTCTGACGCCTCCATAAGCTCTAGTGTGGAAATAAAGCGAGGCGCTCTTCCGTTGTATGAGGCAGCTAAGATCGGTTTTCTGGGTAACGCGGCTATCGGGATTATGAACTTGTCGCTCGGAAAAAATTCGGTGGCCTTCTACCAGTTGACGAAAGTTTCCTTGGTCCCCGGCATGGTGGCCTTCAATTTTTTTGTGTATCGCAAAACTACACCCGTCCGTGTTTGCGCCTCATTGCTTCTGATAACAATTGGGCTGACGCTTGCGACAGTGACGGACACCAACATCTCGGCGTTTACCAAAGTGGTGAAAAGCGTCCCGCCTCCAGAATGCGATGCCCCATTGCTCCTACTTTACAATGAATCACAAAAGAACTTAATTAACTTTCCTCATAGAAAAAGCAACTTTTCTCATTGCATAAATTTAAATGGACACACTTTTTTCGACATGAAATCGTCAGCGCGTTCTGCAGCTCCCTTGTATATTATGAAAAACAGGCTACAGATTTTCGCTATTTTGGGTTGGAGGCTTGTGCTGCCCCTGCCGCTACCTGAAATTGGAAGAGTACTATTTACATGAAGTCCAAATCGGAATCAGCTCTCCGCATGGAAGTTTTGCGCATACTTGCGTGATTCATCACTTATCCGAGGTCGTAGTCGCGATTCAAACACTCGCACTCTGCGGTAGGCGTAGGGGCGGTTTTCCATCTGATAGCGTTCGGTTTTGCCACAGGTATTGTCGCGGTGTGTGCCACGGTATTGTTTCAAATTATTGATGGTTCAGGTGGGAAATTTCTGTCAGACTAGAAGTATTACACTTTGTCTTGCAACTGGCCGGCTCCGAACAAGACACGTTAGGGGCGTGATCTTATGTGACTCGGCGCATGGCAATCGTTCCGAGCACTCGACAGTGCAAACTTGTTGCGCTGTCCAGGGCGAGACCCTTCTGTCATGTTAGTCATTATCCCTAGAGCGAAGAAGTAATTCTGACGTTGACCTTTACCGGGACGCTGGTCTGTATCTCTTTTGTCCTCTGGGGTGCAGGCTTCTTCACGTTTTGCCTCGGACTTTACAACGCGTGGATGAGTGGTGACATAGCAGCTGCTCCGAGATGATCATCATGCCCAGCATGGGCTGCGTGGATTCGTGTACTAGAAGAAGTGGCTCTGCTGTTGAAGGGTTTCATGCAGCGTCACGGACAGCTCAACGGGTACGGGGGGGAATTTCCATGTCTCTTCACATCACTGACGCTTGGTCGGTTTTCATTTCCCACCTGGCACTCGGATACAAATATCGATGGAGCACGCGCAGCGCGAGCACTCTGTTTCTGGCCTCGAAACACAACTCGCCATCGCACCCTTTCAGTTTCTGTCCGCCGTGGCATTTATCAAAAGGAAAAATCCACCCTCTCCATATCAAGGCGGAGATTCGTGTAGCATGATTTGTAGCCACAAGTGATGTGATGCTTATGCTAGAAGGGAAGAGATCGAGATGCGGACCATAGTATTGCCTGTTGTATGAAACAAGCGCTGCGCCTTCAGCATGGCAGGAAGCAACTGGAACTGCGAGCGGAAAACAGCATGACAGATTACCTGCAAGCGAGGCCGCAACTGCGTCTCTTGGCCTTCTAGCAATGCGACTCGGTTTGTGTTGTACGCAAATACAGCGTCACAAATTTCCCACTTCTTTCCGATATCGATATGGGGAGGGGGATTTTTCCCCACAATAACGTTTTTCCTTTGCTCCGATGAACCGAGACTACTGCTGCACCACATGACAGAAGCGGTTGTGTCTCTGTCCTTGCCTGATCTATCTGTCAAGCCAGCCGCTCCAATAGACGAGAAGACGCTTTACGAGCTGCTTTTCTGGTGGGGCGCAAGCTGTTTGTCGGCGCAACTGACCAACTACTACTGTTATACCATAATTGGTGTCTTCTCCGCCCTGACCTACCAAGTTGTCGCATATCCACTCCGGCAACGAAAAGCATCGCACTCCTCGCAGGTGAAGATTGTAACGCTCTTCAGATTGCAATTTCAGCATGTTGATAGACTACACTTGAGAACCAAACAAGGCACGCTCATCTTGTTCTGTAATCAAGGTGCATTCGCTCGCGCTTGAGGGTGCTGCCGGTTTAGGATTTACAAAATTCATGATATGACGAGCCCGAGGAAACCGAATAAAGAAATAGCTCTACGACATGGACGTGCGCGTAGTTGTGTGCGAGTTATGAAGATGATTTTCGGCATCGGAGTCACTTTTTTTACTCTGTACTACGAGTAATGCGAGCGCGATTCTTTAGCAAAACATACTGCACACGCAAAGACAATACTGGTGCTTTCTGGTGGCCTTCTTTTTTTCGCGGAGCAAGTATCATGTGTGAAAACGTATCCAGCCACGCCCGAAGATACTTCTGATGCAAATCTTGCATACGCAGCTCGCGACTCATTGCGAAAAACGTATGTATATCTATATTCTAGTGCGCTACTTGCGCTTCTCGTCCGCGATTAAACGAGAACAACAGCGATTTCATGCTTTTTATTTTGTGATAGTGCTATTGTTTTTCTGCGGCAGCTGCTTGATGGGGGCCTCGGCAACGGCACTCGTCCCGGCAACTCGCCGCGCTCGGCGATTTGCCACTAAAGCAGCTGGGGTCCTGGTCGTGCTCCTGGCCGCAATCGGTTGCGACACCAGTCGCCACATACTTGCTCCCAGAACAAAACTCAATTAAGTAGTACATGTAGCAGCTACGCGCTCGGACACCAGTCGCCACCTACTTGCTCCCAGAACAGAACTCAATTAAGTAGTACATGTAGCAGTTACGCGCTCGCCTCCAAAAAGGACGATCTTGCGCGATTGTTGACATCTCGACGACTGCTCTCGGATGGGGACGTTTTTCCGCATGATACCAAGCTACCTGGGATCTCACGCACATCGTGGGTCTGGTTCTCACCGTTGTCGTATGGATCAAGGAAAACTACCCATCGAAGTCACAGTTTTCCAAAATGAAAATCTGCATGAGAAATTCTAGACAAATTTTTGTTCTAAACAAATAAAGGAACATCAAGTTAGATGACGTGACAATGACAAACTGCGTTGACTCCGATGCATTCTAGCTAAGACACCAAAATTTGAATTGCGCAAATAAAGTGACTGGGATCATGGTATAATTTTTTTCTTGAATATGTCGGAATCGTATGGTATTCTCGGGTCAAGATGCACATCGCGGCAACGTATGCCTTGCAAGTATGATGCGTGGGTCTGGAAAGCGAAAGTCTAGGCTCCCTTTGGTTGTAGGTACCAAAAAAAAAATATAATCAATGTATGACCGGGCGGCAGCAGCAGGCTCGCGAGCCTGTGAGTCGAGGCTGCGGCTGGGCGGTCGGTATTTTATACCGACTGGGCCCAGTATCTACACCGGCAGCCAGAGCCTTACTAGGATCAGGATTAGCGTCAGCCAGGCCTTCGGGATTGATCATGTTTTTCTCCCGCCCTCCCTCCCTTTTCTTATTTCATTTTCATTTTGTCAAACTGTCCTTCATGCTCTTGCAACGGATCGATCTCGATCGTGAGGTCTCGTGCCACTCTTGAAGGAGAGCGTGACAGAGACCCATGCGAGGTAGCGGGCGGGTACTCCATCGCGGGCACGCCTGCGCTCCGGGCGAAGACGACCCCCATCGAGTCACGACCATCCCAGAGAATGATCATCGTTCTGTGGCTGTATAAACTAGCAGCGTTGAATGATGACGGAGCCGCGCATGAAGATGAAGGTGAATTTTTGAGCGGCCACCTCTTGCGTAAGTCTAGGGCGCCTGATGTTGTTGTTGACAAGTGATCGCGCTTTTGTTTTTGCATGGCAGGCAAGGAAGTAGCACTGTGTCGCCACATGCACGGAAGGTATTTGGCCCCTATCAACCGAGCAACATGGTGACAAATTCCTTCGCTGATCGATCGCGCCATGCATTGTGGCCTTACTTTCCGGCTATTCCGCATTGCGATTGTGGAGGGCGGGACCTGCACCGGCGACAAGCGCTATGCAGTCACCCACTCAAGTCTCGTATTTTTCCAGGCCCAGAGATCTTTGCTTTGGATACAGCCGAGAACTCTTCGTCGGCCATTACCTTACCGAGCAACAGCGGTGCCTCTTCAGTGAGCAACAAAACTAAAAAAAGCGAAGGCATTCGTATCGCCACGACGGCAGCCGCGTCAGCGGCAGCTTCGCAAAAGAAAAAATCGTGAAGAACTTGTTTAGCAATTGAAAGTTATGAGCATAACTGGCAAGCGTTCTTGAGCTACATTGCCTACGCAAAGCGTCGCAGTTTCTGCTGTGCGGTCGATTTCCTGCGCAAAGCGTCGGAGTTTCTGCTGTGCGCTTGATGACTTGTGTTCGATATAATTTGCTTGTCACCAGAAGTCCCAATGGCCGCGATGACAGGGATAATATCTTCCATGCGCGATGCACATGGCATGCAGCGACGAGCTTCATGGCGAAGCTGGTCTGAGTAACATAAAGACTCTCTTGACGTCCACCTCCTCTGCGAAGCCGTCATGATTCGTGATTTTCTCTACAAGAACATTCTACCTCTAGTGCGCGCGGGCGAAGGTGAAAAATGTTCTATCTTTCATTATATGTTTTATCTGCTGCTGATATTCATATGTTTCTTTTTCCGTGGCTGTGTCGTGGAGGTTGGCAGGATTAACACGGAAGAGGAGGTAGTGTAAGTCCCGCCTGAAGCCAAGGAGTAGGAGCACTCGGGTGCAACTTTTCTGCGGCAACTCCCCAGACTTGGCTGCTCGACATCAAAACGGGCGTTTTTTGGTCAAGTTCTGGTGGCAAATTGTTGAGACACATCTTGCCAGCCACTTACTCGCAGGAACTTAATGAGCACGCACAGCAGTCACTCGCTCGCCTAAAGAAGCGAGCACGCAAAAACTGATATTTTGCGAGTAGCATCAACAACACAAGGAAGAGGAACGAGCCTAAACCACCAGAGCAAGGATCTCCTTTCGATCGTCTTCTCTGTCAATCTATCACAATCAATCGACTTTCTACTTCTAAGCATTAGCATTTCTTGGTTCTCATGATCTACCCTGTTTGTCAGTGCTTGTTCGTTGTAGCAGCTCCATTAAATCGTCTATGAGTAATATGATCATTAATTTTCGTCTCTCCACCAGGATATCTTGCAGCCCTCGATTTCGCCGATGGTTATTCCATCCATGTAGATGCAGCAGCAGCAGGTGTTTGTATTTCGCCTGTGCTTCCTTGCATTCGCTTTAACATAATAAGGACAACAGTCCGCGGCCCTGTTCGCTCGAAGGAATAGGCCGCACGTAATGGCAAAAATTCCAGCCTGCTTTGTTCGTTTTAGTTTTTTGATAATCGGTTAAAGATCAAGAAGGTTACCGGTTAAAGATCAAGAAGGTAAAGATCACAGCATGGCATTTGTTTCGTTGTTTTTCGCTGGAGGCCCTCATTGACGCGTAGTACTATGCTTGGTGTTGATCATGTCCCCCGAGGTGTAGTACTAGTATTACTAAGGCGACCGAAGTAAAATTTTTCGATAATTATACGACCCATGGCTTCCTTGTTTTTGTTTATGCTTCCTATACCTGTGGCTGTGTATTCTTGTTTTGTTTTACTCGAAGGTTTGGTGTTGTACCGGGGGCTAAGGCTATAAATATGATTGAGCGCCTCCATCAATCAGCATCATCGTACTCAGCATCACGATGACGCTCTATGTGCCGTTATGAAAAATGCACATGCAGCCAGCTCTTTTTAGCTCGATGAAGAAAGTTAAGAAAAGGGCCAGACCGCTAATTTTAAGTAAAAGTAGTGGCAAAGATAGAAGTATGACTGTGCTATGCTCCTGTGCAAAAGTATCGTGGTTCTGGTTGTGGTTCTTGCAATGTGGGACCCTGTTCCTAGCTATACAATAAATGATCAAAGAAATTGTCACACAGTTTGTCTGTGCCAAGTATTACATATAGCAGCACAGTCACAATATTATAAGAGGAGGAGCAGCCTTAATTTTTCCATGCATATGTAGCTTGCCAAAGCAAGTGCCACGGGCGGGGAGGCAGGCGGGTAATCGCTACATGCGCGTAGTGGTAGTCGTAATTACGTACGGCATCACGACAATCAACCGCCCGGCTTGTGGTCAAGTAGAGGGCTCTGCGCACTCGCACATCATACTGCGTCCAATAGGCGAGTATCTTCTAAAAGGTCATGGTCTAGCTTTCGCCCAAGAACCTCGTGGCTGTCCTCATTGGCGCTGGTGCGCTTTTTTCTCCGATAATATTCGAGATGAAGTTGTCGCACACTTGGGAGACACGTTTATGCGTGCTCATGTGGTTCGTGTGCAATTTGAGCATTGCCCCTATGATGAAGTGGAGCTATACCAACACGCGACTGTGCCTTCCGGCTCGCACTGGTGACTATGAAAAGAACACAGCTAGGAAATTGACTGCGACAGCTGCATCAACGTCCTCGGCCGGCGGCGAAACAGCCGGAGGAGCAATAGACTCACTATCGGGCAGGATTCAAACGGACGACGAATTCGGAACTGGTCCACGGATCTGCCGGCAGTACGACTTCCCGATTTTCATTACCGCCGTCCACATGTTTTGGTGCAGCGTGATGTGCTTCCCCTTTGTCAAAGTGAGCCTCACCTTCACGGAGCAAATCCGTTTGATTCTGCCACTCAGTATGCTCTTCGCCGTCTCTGTGAGCATGGGGAATCTTAGTTTGGCCTACGTCTACCCGTCGTTTTCACAGATGGTTTCCACCACAACGCCACTGATTACAATGTGTTTGCACATGCTCGTGTCCGGCGCGCGCTACAATTCCTGGGCCATGATTTCTGTGCCAGTGCTGAGCGGGGGCTTTCTTCTCTGTTACCAGCACGAACAGAATTACCACATTCTGGGGCTTCTGTGCTCCCTTCTTGCAGCAGTTTTTCGGGGGGCGAAGTCAGTCTTGCAGGTGTTGACTACATGTGCGTGGTTCATATGATAAAGTATATAGTTCGACGCTTGTTCATTTTGATATTAATGGCGTTTCCACCATTAAGCATACGAGAAAGAGCAACACGATACACAAGAGTGTAAGAATATGAAGAACGCCGCCCACTGATGACATAGACATTGTCACTGACCAACGTCGGCCATGACGATGACCATGAATTCAACATCTTCAGGCTTCCCTTCTGGCAGATGGCGCAAAGCGGCTGGACACGGTGAGCCTCCTTTTCTACATGGCGCCTTATAGTCTCCTAGCGTTACTGGGGATGTCGCTCATGCTGGAGGGCACGGGGCCGTACACTAGCTTCTATCGCACCCGTGGGGACGAGAGCAGTGGCCGCACCGAGGGGCAATTTGCAGAAGGCTCTTTCATAACCGTTGCTGCTTTGTCATTTACCGGGGTCACCGCGTGTCTCTATCACACGAAAAGACTGCTGCACTGTAATCTTGTAAAAATTTGGAGGATCACTATCGTCTAACAGCAACTTCTCAATAAGTAAGTAGAAAAAGCGAATTGACAGTGAGTAGTACTGCGCGTCTTGCAGCAACTAGACACCCAACGAGGCGTTATGGGACTTTTTCCTTATTTTTAGTTTTGTTGCAGCTAGTGCTAGCGACCAATCCAGTGCTGCAGACAATTTACCTAGAGGAAGACACACAGTCTCGCCTTATATGTAGCGAGGTCACGCCGGAGCGGCTCCAGCCAGGCAGTTTTCTTGACAGTAACCGCCAAAAACGGCCGGCAGTTCTGAAGCCGCAGAGCATCAATCTACATGAAAGTAAAAAAAATCAAGCGAGACAGCCCGTTTGGCTTTGCATGCAGCCATCAACGAATCGCGGAGGGAGACTATCGCCCCCCGCTTGATAGCGCGACGATGGCACGCCAGCAAAGGCGGTGCCCTTCTACTGAGTGGCCTGCCGCCTCGGATTCTGGCGATTTGGGGCGCCCAAAAGAAATGAGCCCAAAATCAGAAGAGCGAAATCGCATGGCGCCGCCGCGATGTCGGAGTATTTTGGGTGGTCGCGAAGGCGGTCGCCTTTTCGCCTATGCCTGAGCTTGGGAGGTTTTGGATAAAGTGTGGGCGCGAAAGATAAAACCCAAAACGAAAAAAAGAAATAGCGCGGCGAACGCATGAAGCCAATCCTCACGCTATGGGCCCGATTTCCAGCCGCTTGCCGGGCGCCCCCCGCGACGCCCGGATCGGTCCCTTACCATCGGGGCTGGTTTCCGCGAAGAAATTCAGAAAAAATGAAAATCCTAATATTTGCCACGAGTGTGCAGCGCCTTTCATTCATGCGGCGCATCGTTATACACGACAGTATGGCGTGCCGAGAAAAAGCAAAAGTGCGGCGGGCCCGCGGCAAAGGCGGAGCCAAGGAAGCGGCAAAGACCTCACTACCCCCGCCCCGGCTGCTATGTTTGCCATCTCTCTTCTTTCCACTCCATCGATCAAAGAGGTTTGCGCTCGCCTGTTTTTTTTGTGCGTAGGGCGTGCGCGGGGTAAGACAGGAAAAAATGGCTACTCCGATTTTAGCAATCTCAAAGGTGCTTCTGATGGGGTAGCTACTTAACGCCACCAAGTGCCTCACTTAGAACTAATGCATTTGCTGTGCCCAACATCACGGTGGCGCTTTGTTTACGTTTACAAACAAAAGAAACCCGCATAGGTGAACTCCAACATAAAAAAATCTAAGCACGACACTGGAAAGCATCAAGAGCACAATTGACGTCGTCGCCATGCCCAACATGCAGAAGAAGCTAAATTAAATAGATAACGTGAAGCGTCAGCTTTTTCCTGTGATGGTCTCCTCAACATCTTCAATTTTCTTGTCACCTACTACACGGGGCCACTCGTGCTGCAGATTCTCGGCAACGTACTATGATATAATTTTCTGTTTTTAGCTTCAACTTCAGAGATGTGATCGAAGTTCCCACTGTTTGGGTTGTTCGCTGAAATGAAATGGCAGAAGTCGAAAAGACTAAGTTTTTTTCTGATAGCAGAGCTGCAGTTGTTTTTACCAAGTAGTTGTTTGTCTTTGTTGTATGAGCAAGACCTACAAATAAAAGAGTACGACATGTAGAGGAGCACTCACCAGCCACCAATCAGCCCATCAACCTCCGCTGTCATTGAATCAGCTCTACTACACAGAAAAGTGTTGATACCGGGGTGTGAGAACAGAGATAATTATTTTTTTCAAGGTAAAAACTGTTTTCGCCATCGCAGCATCGATTCTTGTTTTCGGAAACGAGGTGAAGATGGAACAGTGGCTCGGAGCTGCGATTTGTATTTCCGGAGTGCTCCTGTGGCAGAGGAAGGGAAAGCAGATAAACAATATGAGAGCTGACGGCCTGGAAACGTCCAAGAAGGCAAGCTAGCGAACAGGCGTGGGCTCAGATGAAGACAAGCAGAAAATCTTGTACTGCCACACGAACAAGTAGAGCAGCGTGGTCCCATCCGACCACATGACGCATCATGCAAGCGCAATACATGGTCCAGTTCCGCAGCTCATCAAGGAAAGTGGGCACAAGCGCCAAGAACTACATTGCTAGTGGATTCCTGGCTAAAAATTGCATTTTCAGTGTTGGTGTTCCCTTCCCAGTTCCATTAGTTAATAAAAGATGTTTAAGTTTTTTTTTGCAAGGGTGGTGCATTTTTTGCCATCTTCTTATTCTGCTGTTCATTGGTCTTCGTTATCATCGGATACTAGCCGAAGATTCCTGGCGTCGAATATGTGTGTTGCGAATTATGCGCACTCGGACTCTCTTGGTCTTCTTGTAAGTTTGCAACTGGAATACTTCGCATTCTTCAATTATATAAGATATATGAGCTGCATCACTTTAACTGCTAGTGGACTTGAGAACACTCGCACACACTTGCACGCGTTTGCCCCACGGAGCTCCTTGCCAACGTCTACACTTCTCTCCATTGCAAGCAAGCAAGCAAGTGGCGCAAGCCTTTCGCTGCGTTGATGCATCCTGTAGGTTCAGCCCATTCAGATGCAGCAAGATTCTCTTCCCATTCTCCCCAGATTTCAACACATTCCAGGGACTAGATCCGCGGCGTAGTAGTTAGCTAGCTCAGTCAGGATCTTTGGCCTGCGCCTGGGTAAAGATTTTACTAACTTAGGACGGCGGGCCTAGATAGAGTTTTGACCAAGGGGCGAAGTCCCAGAGAAAGGGTTGGCCCGGGCTTGGTACAGGTCGGAAGACCTACCCAAAGCACGGACAACCTGGAGAACCACTTGAGAGGAGGACCACATCACCAGCGGCAGAGCCTTGGTCAGGATTTTACTTAGGACGGCGGTCCAAGGTAAAACCTTCGCCAGGGATCTATCAAGTGGGAGGCTCGAACGTGATCGAGCTACAGAGCTGCACGAGACCCATCATTCTGCCAGAGCCTTCAGCCATTTCGTCATGGGTCAGGCTTCATATGGGGCGATCGTGTTACGTTTGTGCGGGATCGATTTACTCCATGGCGGGCGTTAGCTCTTCCGTGGAATAGGAGAGCCCAGAAATTCAAACTGTGGAGCTATTCGCTTTCCTTAGATGTCTTCGAAACCGAAAGGAAGAGGAACACGCTGAGCCGATGAAGAAGATCGGAAACGGAACCCGACCGGCGACCGCAGTAGTCCTTGCAGCATCAGTTGAAGACTGCAAATTGGCGGTCAACTTCAACACACTGATATCTACGAGCTCGTAATATGTAATCATATATATAGGGAACTACCTTGACTTGACTTGAAGATGGTACGCCCGGCCGCGCAAGTTCCGCACTTCTGATGGTGCAGCACAAGCACTGCCGCCAGTTCCGCACTTCTGATGGTGCGCGTCTGGTGTAGCAGCACAGTGCAGCAAGGACTTATGTTCTTAATTCTTATACTCCTAACGGTGATTGCAGCACCAGGAGCCCGAGCCAGACAGAAGGTACTGAAACCCGGCAACGAGCCCTCTCTCACTCCGGGGAGGTGCGAGCCACCTCGTGACAGCCACAAGCGGCGCCACCTAAATGCGGGGACTATCTATTAGACGGACTACCGCCAAAGGCCACGAAAGCTTGTTTAGAAGCCGAGCACGAGATGCGTTCTACCGCCTGGATTAGCAGACCAGACTCTAGGGGACTTAATGAAAGGCGTGCCGGATCAACTTCCGCAGACAAGCCTTCGGGCCTGTTGATCGCATAAGCTAAATTGTTAGAACTAATTTTTTTCCTTCATCCGGGTAGAGCAATCACTTCGCCGGAACCTCCGCACGGCCGCGCCAAAAACTCCACAGTGGTGCTGATGAACAAGCGCGACACCACCTCCACGGCACTGTCGCGTCCGCCCCCCCCCCTGACAAACCCGCTGGCTAGGCGGAAAAAACAAAGCCCCTGCGAGTTCGCGGGATCCGCAGACTAGCGCTACAAAGGCTACAGCAGTAAGACAACAGGAACAGACTTAGAGGACGAAAGAAGAAAAGTAAAAGGGTAGAGACCTAAACCTACGGGGGCGCATGCCAAAGAGGGCAAAGGGAAGGGCAGAAGGAAGACATCAGACTTAGACGAAAAAAGCAAGATAAAAGGGTAGACTCTCAATCCTACAGAGGCGTATGCAAGAGGGGGCAGAGGGAAGATCAGACTTCGGCAACGGAATGAGAGTATATATGTTGAAAAAGGGTCCCTATATTGTATGAAACGATTAAAAGAAGCCTGCCATACGCGTCATCTTCGTAAAGTTTTCGTCGTCGTTGTCCTTTAGATTTAGTGAGTGCGACGCGTCTTCGTGGAAATTCGATCACCTCCACGGAGCCCCTTTCGTTTTCACGTCTGGAATCGTGGTTGTTCCACGAAATGTTTCGTGTCTCCGATGCAGTGTCTTGGTGTCAGACGAATGATTCTGTGACTGTGCAGTGCGTCTGTGCGAGGAAACCGGAGGAGGTCAGGATTTTGCACGACGAAATTACTCTGACCTTATCGAGACTTAGACAAGAGCCGTGGTCACCATCCTCAAGAACGAGGACTACCGCTACCCTGGAAGATGAAGGTGCCGCATTTGATGTCAGTCCAGTATCGACGTCGAAGCTCGTATTTCGTCTTTGGCGGGCAGTACGTACTGCCTCGTCATTTCACACAATGACCACAACGTCTCACTGTTTTCCCCACACTGTCGATGACGAGGGAGATATTGCAACATCTACTACTAGTAGATCATGTTCGTCAATATTCCCCGTCGCCGTCTCCCGCCCAGCGCTAGCGGATGGGACGAGCAGAAAAGCTGGGAACATGAGTGCTGGTGTCCACGTTGTAGAAGAAGGGCCGCAGCTTTCGAATGTTGCTTCGGTTGACCCTGGTGTTGTTGCAGCTGTATTTCGTCCAGAAGAGGGCGGCGAGCAGGAACAGCAGGTGGTTCTACTTCTCGAAGTACGAGGCGAAAAATCCGCCCCAGCCCAATTTTCAAAATTTGGCTTGGCCGGTTGCGGTGCTCGGTTGCAGTGGGTGTCGTAGTTTTCCAGTTGGGCACAGACTCCAGCCTGGGTGTCTTGGGCGGGCCGTGCTTCACCAAGCTAGGGCACCCACAATGTCAATGGAAAGGCTGACGACCTGCGCCACAAATAGGTGGCGCGGGAATGCGCGAGAAAAAAATAAAGGCGCTGGGGTTGGCAAGGGAAAATGTATATCTCTTGCTTTGATGCGTTTTGGCATTTCCGACGCGAAAAAGTTCTCCTTTCTCTGGCATTTTTTGGGCCGCCCATAGCATTTGGCCCAGCCGGTTCGCCGGGTGGACTTCAGGCCTTGGGCAAGAAATTATACCTTCCGGACTCCGGTCGTGTTTGGCGTCATTATAATTTCTTGCCCAAGGCGTGCAGTCCAGTCGGTGAAACGGCTTGGGCAAGAAATTATAGTTAGCCAAATGCGGTTGTCCCACAAGGGCTAACGTTTGGCCTCCAGCTGTGAAGCAGTTCCCGAGAATAGCCGGGAGCTGGGGAGGTGGCGGGGTGCCTGCGTTTGGTTTTGAACGTGTGCCGGGTCTTTTGGTGCGTTGCTGGGCGGAAAATCCGGCAGCCCGTTGGCAGACGACACGCAATAGCAGGCTCTTTGTGGTTTGATCAACATCGCCGGACTTAGCAGCGTCAATGGCCGATGACTCGACGCGGCTGAAACAGCTGGCAGAGTCAAGTTTTGAAAATTGGGCTGGGGCGGATTTTTCCGCTTCGTACGAATTAGCGAAGAGGGTACGCTATCCAACAACTCGCCCCGCCCCCCCCCGCCCCCTCATCTGTCTCGCGATATAGTACCACGTCCGCCCACCTCTTGCTTTGCCTTTATTATCTATATCTCATGACTTGCAACCCCTAAAGCAAAACGACATCGGAAACTCGCCTCGTTCCGGAACGAGGCGCGCAGAGTCCGGATTTTTTCAAAAAGTGCGAACGCATTGAGTTTTCGTGTGGGCTCTCGTTTCGGAACGGGAAACGCAGTGAGAATTCACTGAATTGCCACTCCAGGACTTTCCAAAAAGTGAGAACGCAGCGAATTCTCGCTCGGTTTCTCGTTCCGGCACGAGAAATGGATTGAAAATTCAGTGAGTTTTCACTTTTTGAAGAATCCCACTAACGAGGCCTCGTTCCGGAACTCAAAATCGAGTGAAAATTCAGTGGATTTTCACTTTTTGAAAAAAATCACTTTTGGGTCACGAATTTTCTGGGAGAGAGACTTGAGCTCCCAGAGTGAAAATTTTCCGGAAGTGAAAACTCACTGAATCAATTTTCACTCGATTTTGAGTTCCGGAACGAACTGGGCCTCGTTCCGGAACGAGGCCCAGTTCCGGAACTCAAAATCGAGTGAAAATTCAGTGAGTTTTCATTTTTTGAACAAAATCACTTTTGGAACATGCATGTTCCTGGAGAGAACGCTGACCCTTTGCAGCACACATGGCAGAAATAGGGCGAGGGCTACCGATTCAAATTGCAGGACCTTCCGTAAGCGTGTTGCGTTGTCGCTAGTAGCGCTTGCTGGGTCGCGAAAATTTTTTTACGAGCCTTCTCGTTGCATCGCGCTATTGCCCGCGCCACATCGCCGAGAGGAACGCTCTGCCGCACTGCCTGCAAGATGCCTGTGGTGTCGTTCGTAAGGCGCGCCTAATTTATTTTGTGGCTCGCAACATCGCCCGACGTTTTGGCTTCAGTATGTTCAAAACGCTCGAAGTTGTAGCATTTGGGCTCTCGTTCCCCAACGAGGGGAGTTTCCGACGCGAAAGAGGGGGTCTTTGCAAGTCGTGCTATATCTTGGAACAGCTAGCTAGTGTTCGACTCACCACAGCTCTCGGAAACCACACGCCCCCGCTGTGCGCGACATTTTAGTCTTTTATATTTTAATTTTTTTCTAAAAGCGAGCACTTGCATTTCGAAGGAGGGTGGGCAGCAGGAGGGGTTGGTGTTGGGTTGTGCACTCTCATAGGAAACCGAGGGCGAGTGGTGGCGGTATCTTACAGTAGACGTATCCGACCGAAAGAGCGCCCCCCCGCAATACCAATGCATAGTAATAGAAAGCATAAGCATAACTACACTGCGAGTCGGAGACCTATTTTTTAGTGTTGGTCACTAAGAAATAGAACCGCATCAAAGGCGTTTTCTTATGGTGCAAGGGCAACGCAGACGAGCCTTCACCTTCTGCAAATAAAATTATGTTCGAATTCGAAATGAAGACCGGCGCACATGGTGAAGAAGTAGAATATTTGTCATGCTCCTGAACTCTGCGAGTGCGACTGCGAAAGACAAAAAGATCTTCGAAAATGTGGGACACAAATTGAAATTCAAACTCTCTGGAATTCAGATTATCTGGATCGGGTGTGCCTTTCTAGTGGACAAGACGAGATCGGCGAAGAAGCGTTGACAGATGCGGAAAAGATGCGAGACGAAGCTTCAAATAGCATGGTCACGAACGTGGGCAAAATTGGTGAGCAGAACGCATTTCGGGGCAGTTATTTCGGAAAAAGCGCGTTCTCTTGGTGAAGCTCGGGCTACTTCTTCAAATAATGTGTATGTGAACATAAAGTGAAGCAGGAAAAACAAAAGAAACGAATGCTGGAGATGAAATTGAAAGCGTCGCTCTAGCTCCGGGTCCGGTTCCGGCCTGCGTAAGTAGCCGGAGGACCGTGAAAACTTGAATGAAACTAAAGCCATGTAGTTGATGCGCTGCGAAAAGAATCGCCACCAGACACCCGATCTTGCTGAGTCTTCTTGCTTCCTCATGTATATGATTTGGCGTCCAGTGGATTGATTCTCATTCTACTAGCTGTGTGGTTCTGCGGCCGCCTCTAGAACAAGCGAAGAGCATCTTATGCTCTTCGCATAAGCCGAGAAGAGTCCAGCCTTTTTTTTGCGTGTTCGGGTGGGGTCGAGATTTTGATAATAGAGCTGGACTTTTCTCCCCTAATCAATCAATCTTGAAGCGTCCGCCAGGTTTTAAGGGTGCGATTCAGTTAAGCAGTGTTTTAGTCGTGTTTCAGAGTATAAGCCAGCAGCTCGAAGCTCTGGTAGGCTTGTTTCCAAATGCTTATACGTTTTTCGCTCCACCTTCCGTGCCTGTACTCGTACTTGCCACGAAAGTCAGCCGCACTTTATCTTCTATCTCTATGTATTCTCCTTATCATTATGGTAAAGGTGTAGATTGGGTGAGTGGGTACCTGAACCTGATCTAAGCTCGTACCTATCGTTATCGGCCAACGCGCTCTGCATTTCGCGTGTCGTTCGGGGGTCTGGGCAGTCGGTTGCAACGGGAATATCCAGGGGAACGGTTCGTCGGGCTCGGGATTTGTTTGCAGTTCGTTGATAATCATAATGATAATGATATTAAGGAGACCAAATCGGTTGGCTCATTGTTATTTCGTGCCGATGTCTGCCGTTGTACATGCAGGTGTGTGGTCGGTATTGTGCATGTGCTGTGGCGGGGTCCGCTTTGGGGTCTGAGGTGGAACGCCACATGATCGTGATCCAGTGATCCTCTTCATGTTTAGCATCAAGAGTGCGAAGGAGCAGTTTTTTTGTTTCGTTTGCGCACTTTCTATACATCTCTTCCATCTCATTGATCGCATTTGTGTACTTCGCGTTTGATGTGTGTGATTGCGAAGTAATCATAGTAGTAACTACAACTAGCAGCGCCAGCTTCGCCTGGAAGTAGGCTTAAGTATTAGAAGAAGAAGTGCAACTGGCATCAAGCGGCATGATCTAGATAAAACAAATCAAAAAGAAAAAAAGCGCCGGCCCCAAAAAAAAGCGCCATCACGCCCAATGTGGTTCGTTGTCGCGGCTCCGGCGCGCCCTGATTGGTCGCTCCATTTCCGGCGCGCCCAATCTGGTCAACCCGGCCCCGAAGGTGCGTGGACGTGTCTCGATGCCGTCGGGCAACTTCTGGGCCGTCAGACGACTTTTGGCTGTCCGACGGCCGTCGGACACCTTCTGACCCGTCGAGCGACTTTTGGTTGTCCGGCGGCCGTCGGATGACTTTTGGGTGTCCGACGGCCGTCGGGCAACTTCTGAGCCGTCGGACGACTTTTGGCTGTCCGACGGTCGTCGGGTGACTTTCGGTTGTGCGACGGCCGTTGGGCAACTTCTGAGCCGTCGGAGTCGGGTGACTTCTGGCTGTCCGACGGCCGTCGGACGACTTTTGGCTGTCCAACGGCCGTCGGACGGCTTTCGGTTGTCCGACGGCCGCCGGACAACTTCTGGGCCGCCGGACGACTTTTGGCTGTCCGACGGCCGTCGGACGATTTCTGAGCCGCCGGACCGACGACTTTTGGCTGTCCGACGGCCGTCGTACTCGTACAACTTCTAACCCGTGGGACGACTTTTGGTTGTCCGACGGTCGTCGGGTGATGGATTGGACAAGATGAGTAGCAGCAGCGCGGGCCGTTGCGGCCAATTCGAACTTATGTCTCAAACTCGAGCTCGAGCCCGTATTTCGAACTCGAGCGCTCTCTCAAACTCAAACTCGAGCATGTATCTCAAAATCGAACTTGTATCTGAAGCTCAAACTCGACCTTGTCTCTCCAGCTCCTTGTGTCTCAAACTCGACCTTGGTTTTGAAACTCAAGCTCGAGCTCGATTCTGAAACTTAGACTCAATGTTAGAACTCTATCTCTAACTGGCATTTTAATCCATGGTAGTTATCTTCTATACAAGGACAAAACTACTGTACTTGGCTATCTTTTCTTGTATACGCAATATTCAATCTCAACATGGCACCAAGACGAAGTAAAGAACATGGCTTCGTCGGACAAAAGGATTCCGAGTCAACAAGAAGCTCTTCAGCCGCTTGCGCCACTGCTATCACTGCGCCAGGCGACACAGTTCTGGTCTACAAGGACGCTGCACGAGTGCCGCTGAGCTTTCTTGCGCAGCGCTTGGGGACGAGACACGACGATGCCCAAGCCACAGCCTTTGCGCACCTGTCAGAAATTCTTGATGCGTTCTTCACTACAAGAGAGGGACACTGCCCCGCTTTCTTGCTGGTGTCGCTGCGATTACTGGAAGAAAAAACGCGGACGACCCTGAAAGGCGTGAGGCTCTCGACCACGTCGATCAGTTTTGAACACCCACACGCTGACGTAAAACAGTTTCGATGCTGGGTATCCTGTGCAAGAGTATCTTCGCACTTGACGTACAAATTGCTTTTGCTGCAGTACTGCATCATGACAAAAATTAAAATTTCCTTTCACTTTATAGTTTTAGTCGAGTCAGCATTACTTTTACTACATATGATCTTTGTCCTGGAAATTTGCGAGTTCTACCAGTCAGTGCGATACTTTTGCAATGCATACTGGGACCGTCTGAACAAGTTGGGAGATCATGGTAGCGTTAAATAATTACTCATCGAATAATTGTCTTTATCATGTCGCATAGGACTAGTCGATTCTGATTGTTCAAACCCGTCTTTATAGAGTTCTTGTTAGTAGGCTACGGCTACCTAGGTCTTGACTCAAATCAAGAGATATTAATATCCACTTCGCCTTCCTCCACTTCATATGTGGATGCGCATGTGGCTGCCAACTCCCATGCCAGCAGTGCAGTTGGGATTGAAAAGTGCTACCAAAAGCAGGAAATTGTGTCTGCGGCTGAAAAATTCAAAAGCTCACCCTTGCGGCGGCGCGAGGCCGCCGGTATTTCTGCCATTGGAAGCGAGACTGTTTCCCGAAATGTTGCGGAGTTGCGGCTTCCCCTGTTGAAGCAGGACACTTCGTCATCGCGGGGGGGTGGCTAAGGGTATTGAGGGCCTAAGTGAAAGAGAACAACAGAGATTTCCAGACATTCGCTGCCATAATCGGCTCTGTCGATTGGCTGGCGCCTTTAAGGTGGAATCTAATATAATATATGTAACTCTCTTGCGTTTCTCATTCTTTGCTACCTTTCATCTCTGGACCCCTGAAGCAAGTCAAAAAGGGCAGCCCCGGACTCCGGGCCGGGCCTTCCCGTCTACGGCCAGGGGGGTCACAGAGTTGGGCAATTGGGGGAGGGTTCAGAAAAATTTCCGCAGAGGCCCAAACCCGATTGGTACTGCGGAAATTTGTCTGCGGTTCCAGCAGGGGGGGGTCCTGACCGACCCCGCTCTGGTGGGCGGGGGTGCAGACAAATTTCCGCAGAACAGTCGACTTACCGTGGTCAGCCGGAATTCTCAGCACTAAGAGGTCAGAGCAGCTGGAACAGCCGAGGTTTGGAGGGCCGGGCCTCCCGGGGCAGGAAAGTAGATGAAATGCGAGAAGCGGACCATGGCCAGCTCCCGCGGACGAGTTGCTTTCCGCGGGTGGGTCCCCTGCTCAGCCCCACCGCAACCTCCGAGGCCGCCTGGATTTGGACAACCCAAATTGTTTTGCCGTTACGCCCAAAAACAAAATTCTTGAACTTTTCAGCCGCGGACAAAACTCACGCTGGTAAAGTCGTTCACCTAATGAAAATGATCAAGCTTTAATCTATCTTTCCCTCGTCCACCCTTTGTCAGTCTTTTCAACAAGAACTGTGGGACATTGAATTAGTGACTAAGTACTTTTGTTCTTCAGGCGGAATTCTGTCGCTTGAGAGCGAGTGCCTGGCGCTGGCCCGTGCATTGGAATTTTGCGGTATCAGTCTCGTCGAGGTCAAGGCAGTATTGGATATCGTCGCCGATCTTCTCGGGGAAGAGCAGCTGACAGGTAAGTTATATAGGTGCATCATGCTTCCTCTTATGGTTATGAAAGAATGACAGGAGTTCGAGGCCATGAATATCGCACAAAATTGAAATAAAAGTTACGATCACATCGAATCACCAGATCAATCTAGTTGTAGCACTTAGTTAGAAGTTCGACTTCTATGAAGAAGAAAAAATAAAATTAGTTTGTGCGGCTCGCGACCAGCACGATGTACAGGTGCTGCAACGTTTAGTGAATGGACGCAGCAACACCCAGTGCCACTGATCTTTGGCATAGGCAGACCAATGCAAAGGCACTAGTACTTGCCGAACAATCTGAAGTCAATTGATTAGCTGCATGAGCATGATGGAAGATGAAGAACCCTCAGCGTTGACACAAATATTAATGACGATGGGACATTTCAAATATCGTGAAATCGGAGCTAATGCTAATATGATGTGTAAATACTTAAGCGCAACATCAAGATCAAGTTCTTCAATTTTAATAATGAGCAAAAAGAAAAAGCCTTATACAGAAAAACAAGAAATAAAGAAGAATCTGAAGGCGACTAAAAAGATTTGACAAAAGGGTGCTATTTGCTAACGTATAATTTAAAACGGTACTAGAATGGATGACTGAAAGCAACAAACTTAAACTGCAGGATCGTCGCTGGCGGATCGGTTGCAACTTCCCGCACGGACAGTAGCAGACTTCGTCAGTAGTAAAGACAGAAGGATGCTGTTTGCGAAACTGCTTTACGACGGGCTAGTGCGTTGCATCGTCAGCGCGTTGAACGACGAACTGAAGTGCAGTCTTGCGTCGAAGGAGCAGGAATATGCAACCGGGCATGGCCATGGCGGCCGAAACTCGGCTGTCTATTCGACTAAATGTGTCCACCTCGTACAACTCGCATCGGAGTTCGGTAACGAACGCAAAGTGTCATCCTCATCGTCGTCCGATTCAATCCAGGGAGCGTCTTCGTGGGAGAGTTTCCAAAGTCTGTGGATGCAGTCGGCGCTCTTGAGCCGTGCGAGGACGAGCAATGATCATGATCATCAACATGAACATTATTTGCCCACTGCTGTCGTATCAACTAGGAAAGTGTTCTTCGGCTTTGGAAGAATTTGCCATGCACCTCTTTTTTTCCGTGTGTTGCGTCATGTGTGTCCATGCAGATGACAAGGTGTGGAATATAGGACATGGCATTGCTGGTCATCATAAAAATTTTCATACGCTATTTATCATGTCTATGAAGGCTCATGCATGATATTCGGTTTCGGAGCTGTCATGATCTCAACTTGACCTAAACCACGAGGAGTGGACAAGTTCGTTGCGGTGGTCGTGCACAAGGACACATTTTTGTACGTGTGTGATTGACCTCCCACAGAGAAAATGACACCAGGTTGCGCCTGCACACGAAGTTAGTTTGAGTTTTTTTTCCAGCCCGAGACATATTTGCAGTGCATACGAAGACACTCTCTACAACGCTAGTGCTACGGAGAACGTGGAACTGCAGCTCGGATGTGATGCGTTGGCGAATTTTTTTGCTAGTTGCGACCCAGAGCGGAGTAGTGTTTTAGTGGATTGCTTGTACCGGCGAGACCGATCCGAAAAAAGCTTCTCTCCTTTCGTGCTCCTGCAAGGCGGATTAGGCACAGAAAGAAACCTCCCATCCGCATCCAATTTGTCAACGCGCGAAACATGCGTAATCTTCTGCGGTTGTCATGCAAAAAATGAATGTGGATGGGTTTTCTATTTTTTCTGTGGATACAGACAACGGTTACAGCATAGAGGCCACGCCTTTGACGTGTCAGGTTCATGGACAGCCTCGTTCTTTCCGCACACTCTGGCTGTGCAGACCTTTAGCGGGGAGATGTTGTCCACGGCTTCGGCCGCGGAATTATCGGAGGATTCGCTGCAACTACTGCACAGCATCGCGTTTTCGCACCTGCGCGTGGAGCGAAATCCTTTTGCGGACATGCTAACGCTTCGAGAGGACCTCGAAAACATCCTGCGAACTTCCATGCGTGTTTACGTTGTGGCCTCATCGAAGAACAGTCCAGCTACGCCTTCTCAACAGCGCGCTCATGTGTTGGCTGCGGGCAGCACAGCTACAACACGAGGTGGCAGTGGGAGTTGTACTGCTACTGGCGCCGCAGCGTCGAGCTCGAGGGCGAGCGGCGATGACAACAGGTTGAAGTTCGTTGTGTCGGGAAGAACAGAGAACTTGAAGCATTTGGCGGTTTCCACCCGGCCAACTGCAGGCTTCCGCGCCCCCGGCACCGGTGGCGGAGCTACGCGAGGAGCAGCAGCCCCAGAGTCATCCTCTTCGCAATCCGGCATCGCTTGTCGTTTCCGACAAGACGAAGCGGACGAGGGCTTGCGAGATACTAGTGATGAGCTGTCTGCGAGTCAGCATTTTCAGGTTCGGGATGATGATCTCTTTACGGGGTACGTGTCCTCAACCGGCGCCACGCAGAGCAGTTACGGAGGCAGGAGAATAATGTTGACAGGAACGTCCTCCTCCGCTTCTTCTTCTTTAACGATCAGCAAGAAGAATCCGACGAAACAATTTCTGTTCTACGAAGAGGCGGGTGCGGGCGACTCTGTGGCGGGAGGAGGTGGCGCTACAACTGGCTCCTCGAGTGCTGCGAATAAAGGAAACAACGCTTCTCCTGGGGCTCCTACGACGGGGGGACCAAATAAAGTCACAACGCCACCGAAAAGCGCTGGGGCTACTTCTTCGGCAGCCGCCACCGCTGCCTCGGCAACGACCTCGACCACCGCGCCTGCTGGTGGTTTTTCGGGGTTTCACAACTTGACGCCGGAGGGTCAGGAAATCGTGGCTGCGCAAATCAAGAAAATCATGGGTGGCGCCGCGGAGGGGGTGGTGACGACGGGGTCGTCCGCTACTTCATCTTCTGGAACCAAGAAAAACGCCGATGCGCTGTCCGTCAAGATGGACCGCGTGCTAGTGGACGAGGCAGGGCAGAACAGTCGCGGGCCCAGCCCCTTTATGGAGCTGGTCGGCCTCGGGCCGGAATCGCGGGAGGAAAGCTATAGAGAGCTGTGCGTGAACAAGAAGGCCGACATATTGAGAGGAAAAACGTCCCCGTCCCAGAGTCAAGATCAAGCTGGGAAATCTGCTACACAATTCCCACAGCTTCGGCTGTTGCGCGTGACAAGTTTTGTTTCGTAGTGTGGTCCTGTTTCAGCAGCGTCATAGATCCAGCCTATTGTGCTGGTTGGAGCATTTGAAATTCCAAAACACAGCTAGAAAATAGATACTTCCTAATATGAGGCTCCGCGTGATAACAAGTAGCTATATATAAGCATTTTGATCATGTAGATTTGCATGACAACTATTGGGCGGGGGCGTTTTTACATAGGACGCGACATCTTTGACGCGGTAGCCGCCGGCGATGCGCCGGCGGTGCAGCGCAATCTGCAAATCTTCTGGCCCTTGTTTGATAAGTATCTCAGTGGCAGTGTACTACACCTCCCCTCGGTTTCCTCTGTCTTTTTGTTTTGCCTCTCAGTTGCTAAAAATTATACGATGAAATAGAATCCAAGAAATCTTCCGGTGCTTGTACTTGTAGATATTATATATGAATATAATAATGACGATGCTCCCTTGGCGCTTTGCATCCGCCCCAGTCGTGTTTGCGTTGTAACAGGTTGCCTTATAGGAGCATGACTTGAGTTCAGTGCGAAACTGTAATCGATGCAAGGATGGATTGTTTTGCATTCGGATTTGCTAAAAGTTGTCGCCGTAATGATTACTGAGGATGCGGAAACCGCCCTCATTAACAGAAGGAAATGGAGGGGGGGGGGGGGTTGTGCACGCCTATAACAGTGCCTATGTGGAGTTTGTGCAGAACTGGCTGAAAGCCAAGGGACACGTGGCGGACCTCGATATAGCGTTCTCAAGCGTCACATTCTCAGCTATTGCGTGAATTTGTGATGCGTATGCATATGCAACAAGAACAACAGCCTTGCCTTTGCGCTTCATCTTGCGTTGCAGATGTGGTGCGGATTTGCATACTCATGCTATTTATAATTAATGCGCCGAGAGCTTGTCATGCGAAAAAGCTTGATGTTGATCATGATGCGCAGTGAGTACTGCGCATCACGATCATCGTGATGTCATCGAAAGTTGTGCTTCCTCGCCCACCCCCCGGGGAGGGGATCCTTGACCTGTGGCGCTGGGAGCGGGTGTCCACTACATGATGACGATGATGATGATGATGATGCAGTGAGTGTGATAGTTTGGATAAATTGAAACTCGTCATGTAACAGCTGAAAACGTAAGTAACGCTTGAGACTCCCATACTGCAGGCGTCGCCTTTGCAGAATCTCGCGAAGCTGTCCCTGGACCGAATCCACCAGATCGTGTCTGATTGCACCTTCGGGAACGCACTTCAGGACGCACAAACAATATGTACCTGTCAGGTGGGAAGTTGTCATGAAGATGAAATTACTTACTTTTGAGTACCAGTACGCTACTAGGGCTAGTAACCACGACCACGACGTGCTCGTGGTTGCGGTCGGCTTACTTAGTACCGTAGCAAATCGCTTCCGTGTTTTTTGGGCGATTCCCCACGTGGCGCAACCATATGCCAAGGTGGCAGAGCTGAAACAGAAAGCCAAGGAGGTGCGGTACCGCGGGCCGACCAACCGTCCGGGTGAGGCTGCTCAAAGCGGCGGGAAATACGATGACGCTGGGCTGGCTGCCAGAGGTTCATGATATAATTTGTTGATGATGTTGGATGCCTCCGTTTGGTGGTCTTGTTGGGATAAGAATAATAATGCGCTCAAAACGTAATCTCAATCTCTATGTTTATATAGCGCAAGCGTTTGCAAAGAACTACTTTTAGTACATCCTCGTCCAACTCCAAGGACGCCAACACTGCGACTTCGAATACTTATGCGTAGATACATGAGACTGATCAAAGAAAGAAAAATGAATCGCAACAGCACGCGGCATGAGCGACAGCATGGTGGGTGTAGACGTTCCTGTGATTTACATTCCGAAGGATTTCGACTTTCTGCCGATCAGGGAGCGGCAACTCATCCTCCATCAACAAGGAGTTTTGGACAATGAAGTCCTCAAAAACCCCCGGCTCCAAACGCTGGCATCGAGTATCAGGCAGCGTTACATCGTCTATTTTTATCCGCGTTCAGAAGTTGCGCTTGCCTCATCTCGTTATTCTACAGCATTTCATATTTCTCTGCTGTATGCGGTTTAAGATCAAGAATAAGATTACTTTTGCTGATGATATTCATCTCCGTAGCTGCATCGAATCAACAAAAATAAAAAACACAAAACTAAGCTACAAGATACAAAAATCGAATAAAGCTGATTGCGATTTTTACAATGTCTATCAAACAGCGGAGGTGAGTGCGTACTATGATTTCCGGTCTGCCGAGGGGGATGAGCACGGTGATTTCCCGTGGACCGACGTGTATTCGGCCGATCCTTCGCAGCCCTTCAACGTCGGAGCGGAAAAAGTGAACGCGGGGAGCAAAGGCTACTTAGCGAGTTTCCAGGGAGATGGCCCGACGGGTAGTTCCGCGGACGGGGCCGGCGGTAACGCAGCGACCATGGCTGAACAAGGTGGCAGCACACCCTACACAGCCAAGAATGGTGTCGCGCTGCATCAAGCGCTATCCGCAATGTCTCTCGAACTGCGGATGTGCCAGGAAACCTTGGCCGCCCACACCAGTGCCAACGATATGGCCGGGAAAAAGTCCGAAACAGCGTCCTACCAAACGCACATTCTCCAGGAACTCACTGCGGAGAGAGACTACTGGAAAAAGGAATGCGTCATCCTGTGGGAGCAGGTGCGGCGCTTGGAGGACGATTTGCGCGCGTGGGACCAGGAAGGCGCGTACTTACTTCAACTTGCTCATGCACTTTTATCTAACAAGCATGAATCATGCGCTTTTCCTTTTTATTGCCTCCATAGTGGAAGGACACATATTAAAATTTATTCTGCAGGAATTGGCAGCACCGAAAGCAGCAGAAGCCGAACGAATTGGACCTGAACGCTGCAATACGGGGGCAACAAGGCCAGCTCGGCGAGCAGGTAGACCTCCGTTTGGACCAGTCCAAGAAGCTCATGGAGGAGCTCCGAAAACACATTGAGGAAGCGGAACAGTCAGCCTAAGAAGGGCTCCTGATCTGCTGGTTAGGAGTTCTTCTTCGACGTCGGAAAACATTAACATATCCCCAAAGTCATACGTGCCGAGCCCGTTCTCGTGTCGATACAGATCTATCACGAGCAAATACAGTAAGAAAAACAGAGCAATGCTGGACGATGCTTCAATGTCTAGCTTTTGCGTTATATTCTATTTTGTTATATTATATTCTATTTATTTCTAAGGAATTAATATTAAATTAAACTGAATGCTGAAGATCATATATGTACCTAAATAGTTTAGCATCATCATCGGCATAATTATGAATAAAACTCTGAGAAGATCCGAGTTAGTGACGCGGCCTCGCGACTAGCTCGGGTGTGTAGGCTGGGCGGAGTACCAACAAGTAAGCCAGCAACTGTTGTTGTATATGTATTGTTACCTAGTAAGTTTACATATGTTTTGATAGACAGTCGCAGAATGGAAGCAACACCGCCGAAGATATTCACTCTGGTCTGTTACAGCATTTTTCCTTAGTACCGCTGCGATGCAACAACAACTCAACGAAACCACTGCATAGCAACTTTCTATATTGGTACTGCTACTGAGACTGAATTATTTGCAACAATCCCACCCCTGGAGGGAAGGGAAGTCGTGATAAGGGCCTGGCGCCCAGATGTGCTACTAGAGGTAGACGCGGCAAGTCTCGCAAACTACACGGCAAAACGCCGCTGCTCCTGGTGAGTGATGAAGGGCGGCGCCCGCAATCCAGCGCGTGACCCCTCGCTCCTGGTGCTGGGTGTTCTCTCCTTGAGGAAGAGCCCAGCTCTGGAAGCTGGTGCGCCTTGTAGTATCATGCTCCTGGCGAGCACTAGGCGCGGCGCCTCGTGGTCTTTGGTGAGTGAGACGGCGGAGGGCTGTCCGCGTGCTTAACCTGAACAACACAGCGCCAAACCCTGCCCGGCCATTCCGAGGCGGGCCCCCCCTCTAGCGTGTTGCCGCGTCGTGTGCAAAGATGCCCGGCATGGCGTGCCCCCCCCGGCCTTGTGCCGACCGTATTAGTGGCGCGCACCGCCGTAAGCCCTAACGCCCTACGTAGCGCACAGGACGCAGCTGGCGGCACTTGCCGAAGATCGGTGGAATCGGTGGGGCCTGCGCTATTCTGGAAAGCTTGGGCGGGCACCCTCAGCCCCCTGGTGGGGCCGCGAGACCGTTCGCGGGAGGCGGCGCAAGAGGCGGCGGGGGCTCCGCCTGCGTGAGCCGCCACCGTCACAGCTTGCGCCCTACATTCTGCCCGCCCGGCAATAGCCGGATGTCAGTGGAGCCGCTCTGAAAGCGCGCGCCGCTACGCACGTAGCGTCATGATTCCGCGTCGGCGCGCCCTGTCCCTGTGTGCACCTTTGAATAGTGCTGCTAACTATAAAAAGGAGCCAGTGCTCGAAGCAGGTCCGCACAAAGCGCCCGCTTCCCTTCATGCGCGCTGCTCTCCTTCTGCTTCCACGGCTTGAGGTCGTGCGTCGCGTTGAAGGGTCTTCCCCCGTCTGGCTCCCACAACCGCGTTGTCGGGCGGATCATTGCGAGTTGAGTATAGCATGGTCAAAGAGCGAGCGCCGCTCCCGCTTCTGTTGGAAACAAGAAGCGGATCAAATCCAATTGCAATTATTTATATTTGCAACAAAAAAGAAAAAGAAATAGGAAGAGAAGAAAACGACTATAACTGTATGAAACCATCAGACGAGACCGGAGCAGGGTCTCGATTTCCAGCGCGCGACTATAATTAAGCTCTGCGAAGAACAACGAGTCGATACATTCCCATTCGTGCCCTCATCTCTTTGTACCTGCAAGAACAAAACATCGCCTTCTACTATTTGTATTTGTTAATAATTCTTGTTTTCTTTTGTTTCCAGATGCAGATGTGCCGTCGTGTTCAGTTCGTTCGCTGTTGTGTTTTGTCGTTGAACGGGAGGGCGAGAAGTGGCGCTGCTTGTTGTAGCGGCCGTGGGATTTCAATCCGCGGTATCGTAGCCAGAACAAGACAACCGCAGGGAGGTGTTCAGTTACACTTTGGGGCTACTAATTCTATGGGTTCTTTTTTATGTGAGCGTCAGCATGACCATGAGCTCGATAGCACTAGTAGGAGTCACACAGATAACAGGAAAGATCGTGCTGACTACATCACTTCGGTTCTTGTGTGCAACGTAAGTAATCATGCGAATGCCCGACTTTCATCATGTATTAGTATTTGTATGCCAACACCAGCACCATGGCTTCTGTTCAATGTTCCACAAACTACAGGACCTCTACTCTTGTTTTATTCGCATACTTCCCTATCCCTTCGCAGTAAGGTTGGTCTCAAATAATCTTTTTTTTTCCGTGGTAGATGAACATGTTGTCCTTGGAGTTGGAAGTCCAACGAAGCTGCCCTCGCCGGATTGAATATAGTAGATGAAGGCAAGGCAATGCAATGGAAATAAGTAGTTTGAAAGCTGTTGTCTAAATAGAAGTATTAAAGCCGACACGCAGAAACGTAGGCAGGCTCTACAACATGATACATACCTAGGCTTTCGCTTGCTGCGGCTCTCTTCTGTGGTTGGTGTTGTTTTTGAAACCTGCTTACACGAGCGACGTACATCGAAAGCTGCAACAAGTTCCAAAGAGCTTTGAAATAAGAAATACGCAAAGAAGTAGATATGTTGTTGGGCCTACTTCTCTCACAATTATAAAGATCGATGTGACCGCTACGTATCAACACGCACATCCCTAGTTGATCTATATATTGCTTCTGCTACCCCTACCGCCTACTTCTGCTGATCTTTTAAAAAAGAAAGGAGACCCGAGCCGCCTCCTTGTCGTTTTTGTTCCGAAGCAAAGTATTTGAAGCCCGCGTCTCGATGCGCCCTAGGTTTCTACTCTTGCGCGCTTTTATTTATATGCAGCATGATCCGGTACTCAGACTCACGCATTACGAATTAATATACTGATAGTGCACGCACGGCTGGCAGCTGCGCGCTTTATCTTCAAAATTTCAATTTTACAGTTCCGATGGGGGTCTTACCCGGAAAATGCTTCCTGCGTCGCAGGCTATCTGCGAGCTTAGGCCTCGGCCCTCCGGCAGCTAACCGGACCAGCACACAAATTTGGCACAGCATAGTACTCAAGCAGAAAAAGCAACTATGACTTATCATTATGGAAAAGCAACATGAGAATTACTCAAGATTTAAATGTCTTCCCTTAGAATTACAAGTGCTTCTTTGTCTCGTCAAGTATTTTGATTTACATTGTTATAATGTGGAGCTTTGGTGCGGCCAGTACGTTTTTCGGGAACACTGGGAATGGTGGGGGGGCGGGAGGCGGTCCACCTCCTCCTTCTCAAAGTACGAACAACAACAACGCGAATGCAAATTCTACCGCCGGCGCGGCAAGCGGAAACGTACCAAATTCGGATGGTGTCTCTGGTGGCTTTTTCTCCTCGGGCTTCAATATGACCTTCGGCTCACCCTTCCACGGCGGAGGCGGAATGAGTTTTGGCCCAAGCATACTATTAGCTAAAATCCCGCCTCCCTATACTCGAAGATGCCGAAGCTCGTGATGCCCACTTGCGGGCACAAGGAAGTCAACGCTTACGCCCTTGAGTTGTTGAATAGGGTTGAGCGGAACGCGAGCAGTCTACTTCGCAATCCGCTGACATGCGCTTCCGCCCAAGGTAAGCTGACGACGAGACACCTATCTCTCATGCGCCATACCTACAGCACGACTGTTACACACCCAAAGTTGTAGAAGATGTTTAAGAGTGAGGGGCCTGCGGTGCACTGCGACGAGACAAAGCTGCTATGTGTCCGCACATGGGCTTGGCAAATTTTTCATTTCAGTATGGAGAGGAAGGATTAGTTTTTCATTCTGATAAATTTCACCGGACCCGGGCGGCAGCGGTGTTTCGCCTCCTGGGCCCTTTCCTTTTCCAGGATTTCCTCCCGGCTTCAATATGAATGTAGGCGGACCTCCTCCGCAGACGCTATCCTGTACAGAAACGTTTCCACCCCATAGTCAAGATGGCAAATCTGCTAGACAAATCAGCAAGCTTTGGCTGTTCTTGCGCGTCGAGCTTTGGCTGTTTCGCATAACAAGTTTGGCCTCGTTGTAGTGTGATCCTGTTGATGATGATGAGCTAGGTAAGCAGCTTCATCACAGACGGACCTAGCACATCGGGCTGGTCGGAGCCTGACAAATTCCGAAGCACGACAGTGAAATGCTTCTCATGGGGCTCCGCATGAGAAACATTTTCAGCATCATGCAGATTCATTTATATGAGAGTGGGGCGCGGACGTTTTTACACAGGATAGACGCACCATTTTCAGCAACATCATCAGCAACACCAGCAAGCGCAGGCTAAGGCGGCCCGACAGCACCATAGCATGCGCACTTCTAACAACGGTGACGACAATAGGTCCTCCGGGGGATCCACTTTCACTCAAACATGGTCATGGAGCAATGGAAATGGAGGAAATTACGGAAATAACGGACCACCACCCGCTCCCGCACCGTCGTCTGCAGCTCCTCCAGGTATTACATCTGGATGAAAATTGAACAACTTAAACTTTTCTTCCTCTGATCGTTTTCTGATTTTTAATCTTTATGCGATATTCAATTACGACCCAAGTGCAAGTGCATAAAGCTTGAAGTTGTTACTTTCGATTATTTCTGCGTCAAGATATCAACCCCGACCAAAAAACTCCCCACCACCGAAGGGTCTTCTTCGACACCTTCGCACTCTGCGCGGCAGGAGCGACACCGCGGTAATGCGTACCAGCATCAGCAAGAAGCTACGAGGACCACTAGCAGATCCAACGCTAGCTCCTCAGCTTCGTCAAACAGCTCCGCTGCGCGGGGGCGCAGCGGAGCAGAGCCACGCGCACAAGGTGGTCCCGGTCGCCCGCCACCGAACCGCCAACCCCCGCCTCCCGCCCGGGGGTCCGCCTCAGGAGTCGGAGCGACTTCCGTAAGCCCGTCGAAGGTGGAACGGCTACCGCCGCCCCGGATCACCGTTCCGGTGGCGATGCGCTCGGAAAGTTGTCCCATCTGTCTGTGTGACTTTCACGAGCAGCCCCCAGAGAAGGCGGAACCAGGGTCGAGCAATAGTGGGTTGCCGGCAACGCTCGCGGTTCGATTGCCGTGCCTGCACTATAATAGGGAAGTGAGTTATGATCCAAGGGCTTCTGCTAGCCTTCACCTTCAGAAAAGTCGCAGTGCCGCGCATCCGTATGATGCGGATTTGCTGGGCTCCTCCGTCCGAAAAGCAACAGAAGCACGCGACGCGATGAGTGGGATCTTTTAGAGTGATTCTGTTTTTTTTGGTAGGCGTAGTTTGTTTTGCATGATAACTTCCCAGGCAGATTCGCAGGATAGAAAGCGAAAGACAACTGCGGTTTTTTTTAATACGTAGCCCGCGGGCCGCACTGCTCATCTCTAAGATCGCTCATTTCTCCCCCATAGGGACATGTTTCATCCCGAGTGTGCGGAGCAGTACCTAGAGGAGCACCAGACCTGTCCAGTCTGCAAACTCGACTTGCACCCGACACACGTGCACCGGAAGCTACGTCTCCGGGTTGAGGACGTGGGTTCGATGCAAGTTATCATGAGGAAAAACGTCCCTAAATCTGCTTAGAGAATATAGACAAGTCAGCTGCGAGTTTTGGCTGTTGCGCATGACAGGTTAGGCGTCCTATTGTATATAGTGAGGTCACCGAACGGCTCTAGCCAGGGAGTTTTTCTGCAACCAGTGCAAGACCGAAAAGGTCAGCACTCACGAAACCCGACCGAGTTACGATCTTACTACGTGCAACGAGGGCGGAGCAACGTCGGGGCTACGTCGTGCTTGTGCGAATGCGGGCGCTATAGTCCATGTAGTTCCTTTCTTCCTTCGTGTTACTGGGGTAACACTACAAAACTTTAGGGAAAGACTCAGAATGAGTTCGCGCCACACCATGCGGATTCATCTCCGCATGTGGAGGCTTGTAAAGCTCTGACGATGGTAGTACCATCGGGAAATGGAACATTTGCAGTGCTGAATGATTGATCATCTTCGTGGATCTTCAGTGTGTTTCACACACGACATCAGCGCCGTCGTCATCTTCGATTCGTGCCGTTAGGTCGTGACTTTAATGCTGGATATCTGCGATCCACAACCAGACAGCAAAACGACCGGCAGTTTTCTGTCGGCCGGATGTGTTTTGGAACATAAAAAGTTTTTATTTATCAATCGGGCGGGGCCTTGCTCACAACTAAGCCAGAGCGGAGTCTATCGATTGCCGATTGATGGAACGACGCAAGGGAGCCGGCAAAAGTAGCGCCCTTCTGAGGCGCCCAGCGCACCCATTTTCGTCGATTTGGGGCGCCCAAAAAGGGGCGCCGGAAAAATGTAGAAAAAAGGAAAACCGCAAAGCCTCATGGTATAGGCGTCATCTTTGCCTAGTTTTGGCCCTCGTGAAAGCCGCGAACAAAACCAGGCATAGCAGAGGGGGACGAGGGGCAAAAAGCTGCGCTTTTTAAAACAAAAAAAAACAAAGGCCGGCAAAAGCTGAAAGCCAGTCCCCATGCTATGGGCCCGATTTAGGGGGCTCATAGGGCCGCCCCTGGAGGAGGCCCAGGGGGGGCATAGCGTGCGGGGAAGCTCTTTCTCTTTGAAAGCAGGAGGGGCGCGACTGTCGGTCGTGTTTTTAGTGGTGCGGCGTGCCATGCGGAGTAATGTTATGCGCGACGCTATGATGGACACAAAAAGTAAAAGAGCCATCTTTTTTTTACACTCAAGGAAGGGCGCCGGTCCGAGAGGACGGTCGCGCCCAGTCAAAAAAACCCAGCGTGACCTCACTACCCCCGCCTCGGCGGCCATAATTGGTGGTCCTGTGTAGGTAGTTCAGCAGCCTGGCAGATCTTGCGCATGTTGATGCTGGATGGATCATCACAAATTCCGAAACACGACTAGAGAGCGCTCCTTCTCTACTTGGGGCTCCGCATGAGAAGTATTTTCAGCGCGCAGACTTGCATTACAGCGAGCTATGGGGAGGGGACGTTTTTACATCGGATACAGGTCAAGGAGCTGCGCTACCTCTACGACTACATCGGGATCAAGCCGGACAAGAGTTTGGTGGAAAAGCCCGACATCGTTGCCCACATTCTTCGCTCAGGCTGTGTCACAGTCATCACACCGCCGCGTGTAGGTACGGATTTTGCGATTTTTGCTGCGACGCGGTCAACGTCAGTCTCGATGGTTGTAACGGGTGATCTCCACTGACTTGTCATTTCATCAAAATAAAAATATGTAATAATTGCTCTCTTTCTTCAATGCTTCGCCGAATGACCTTGACAGATCAACTACCCGTGAAAGAGTTGAAAGTGATGATGCGCACGCTCGGCATTCCCGCCTCTGGGTGCATCACAAAGGAGGATCTCGTTACTGCAATCCGGAGGCACCCCTGGGTCGTTTTTGACGCAAATGACTAGTAAGGGCCATCATGGCATAGTAGCGAGCTCCTGCGTGCAACTTGACATGTGACTACCTGTACAAGTTCAGACACAAGTCCTTCTCGCTGGTATCGTCCACATCGCGCTCAGAGAAACTACACCCTGCCTGATAACATCACTCCATTGGCCACGACGATATCGTCCAGCACATAACGCTAGACTCCATTGTCGGTGTTCATCCAGCACATAACGCTAGACTGGCGCGCGGCGTTGGTGGTTTTGCATTCATTTTTCGCGGAGATAAAATATTTGAAAAGCACGGCCTAGGCACGAACTCGCTTCACAGTCGTACGCTTTTTTTTTGCCATCACTTCAGCCGAATGGTCGCCGCTAGTGGTCTTGTCGTCCGTTGTGAGTGTCGGGCTACTATGTGTCGTCCGTTGTGAGTGTCGGCAGTATGAATCCCAGGCGGTTTTATTATTTTCTTCCGGACCACGGACGACATCCACATCACCTCCGCATTTACACTTCCTTTCCGCACTTCATTACCCCGGCCTAGGTACCGTGGCGTCAGCTTCCGCCCTGCATGGTTTATGCGAACTACATCGTGTGTCGGACTAGCCGACTTGCGACCACCTGCCAGGTTTTCGCACCATCAGAAGTGCGTAACCCGGTCGACCTGCGAAAAAAAAATTACAGAAGCCGACACGATTATTTTTCCGCTCGTGATGATGATCTGCCACAACTTCCGCGTGTCGTTTCTGCGAGCAAATATGTGGCGGATTTGTTTCACGACTTCGCTTCCACGCAATGAAATTGCTACAATGAAACTAACAAGTTTGCTTGGATACGACCGAAGCTGATACATTTAAGTACATGCATCGATTTTTCTTGTTCCGACGAGACGGAGACCGACGAGTAACGAAGCTACCTCTTCTGATAACAATGAAAAGCGATGGAGAAAAAGTAAATAAATATAGCAATAGATCACCTTCGCGAAAAAGCAAGAGATTTGCGAAAGAACCAAATCGAAATCTAAACTGAGCATGTCCAAATTAATTTTTTCAGAATTTTGTTGATACTTACCAGCGCAGCGTGAAAGAAGGGGTGTGCAAGACTTTCAGTTCCTCTCGTCTGATGTATTTTTGAGGTAAGCACCGCGCACAGGAGCAAACCAAAACGCAGCGGAGCCGAGGATGAAGTCGAAGTAAATAACGACTATGTTGGGGTTGAGGGAATGATTCTGTTCGCGCACGAACAAACCACAGGAAGCATATTATTCCCCACCCTGCTGATGTTGTATTAATTTATTCTCGTTGCGTTTCCATGATCTTGATCGCTTCTTCAATAGCTTTTCGTCGGTGACTGAGAAGTCCTTCGCGTTCGGTTTCGGTCTTCGTCTTCTGCTTTCCCGCGCCGCAAAATTTTTGTTCGTAGTCCTGATGTCGTCGGTGTGACTGTGACCTCGTATGAGCACTTGCTTTGATTGTCGGTGCATCGTGCCTTGAGCTTGACGATGAATGGTGCTAAAGAGTATCCTTCGCAACGTACTACGTAACTCACAGCGTCTCGCTCGGTAGACCGCCGACCTCGTTTCTGTGGCCTTTCATCTCGTCCTCCTCGCGTCGCTTACGCTTTCGACTCGTACAAATTCGTGATTTATTATTCATCTTTGTCTTAGTCTTCAATACAGCGTGACGAAAGCACTGACTTCAAGACAGATGCAATATATATGTGCATTAATTGCAAAAGTAAAACTAAAAGCAATGATGGAAGCCATCTACTACGTACATCACAGTTCCAAGAAGTTCATAATTCCCCGGGTGGATCTAGCTTCGAAACTCGACAAAACTAAAACTACTACCACTTGAAGCATATTTGCGTTGTTTCCTTCGTCAGCTATTCCTTTTTTTGAACTAAAAAATAAACGTCCGCGTACTACTTTTTTGCGAGCCTACGACTTCACCTCCCAAGAAAGTTTTACCACGACTGCAAATACCGCAGCTGCAAGAAGCAAACAAAGTGAAACTGAGGCGACTTTCACTTTTGCGTGCAATCCAAATACGTGCCAAGGAGGCGTGAAGACTCTCTTACAAGGATTCCAGTAAAAGCCCGTCGCCACAAATAGTAATAGCGTTTTATTATATATTTGATCATTCATTCACGTTCACCGAGTTGCAGCTCCGCCTCCGTCTTCTTGCCGTGTTTTCGACCAGCTCGAGCTCCAGCGGCGCACTTTCGAGCACTGGGACGTCCCATAACAGTCGACGAGGAGGACGATTGATTCCATTTGTTATAGTAGATCTCGACTTCTCTCCGACACTCGAGTCGTCTTCCAGCAGGCACAGCATGTCAAGCGGACCGACTGGTACCACACGGCGCTCCCGAGCGCAACGCCGGAAGCAGCTGCAACGCGAGGAGCTGCAGCAGGCCCAAACTTCTACCGCTACTGAAGAAGTGCGCGGCAGTGCTACGACCACGTCTACGTCTTCCGGAGCGCCCGGCACCTCCGGGGGCTCGAGCTCTTCCTCTGAAGAAACGGGCAACATGAAGATCAACAACACGACCACGACAATTCGCGGGGATCCCCCTGCGCCTGGGCCCAAGCACGAATGGAACGAAACGAAGACTCCGTTGACCGGTCCTTCTTGCTCGACACCGTTGCAGCTTCAGGGCGGCGCGATGACAAGTGCAGGAAAGAACGATCGTGGGTGGTCTTCTTCCTCAGAGCAGGACGGCTCGTCCTCGACGACCGCTTTGTTGCCGAAAAATGCGTGTGCTTATCCTGTCGTGCAAAGGTGTCGTATAATTTGTACGTAATTGCTCTTGTTGATAAGTTTGTACTACTGCCTGACAAGAAGAAAGCTAAGCAAGACAAACCCAGGTGCTGTCGCTTCTTACTCTTGACGAATGCATCTTCAGCAGTACAACATACCGAATGCTAGTTGCTTATGCTGGAAAAATTTGCATAAAATACTATGCAACTAGATGAACTTTGTTCTACGTACTACTACCTCGATAGTGCTTTTGCAATGCATAGCGGTGATGATGGTGCTCTTTTCGCCGAAGCCCATGCCGACACGGGAAACACAAACGCCGAGGCGTGCGAGGTTCTTGCTGGTGCGGAAACGACCAGTGACAAGATGGCCTCGAAAACCTTTTCCAGCGGCGCAGATGAAGTGACTGGTATCGACGAGGAAAGCACGACACCCATACATAGCACGAGAAAAAATCGAAGTCCAATTTGTGTTGCTGTTGCTACATTTGCGCCAAGCAAAATTGGATGCTAATATAGGCTGCCGCAACAGCTTGGATGCTATTTTTTTGTCATGCACAATAAAAGAGAATACCAATACACATGCAGTTTCAGTTGCGCTTAGAAGTCACGGGATGGATAGTATGACGGGAAGGAAAGGACTCCTTTCAAAGGAGTTGGGCATCAAAATAGTTTCTCTTGCTCAGCATTCCGGATATCGATGCATAACACTACACAGGAATTCGAGATGTTAGAAATGCATGAGCAGCACTTTCGCTGTATTTTTTTTCCTCCTTTTGTGATATGAGACGGGTGTATTTTTTTGTAGGATAAAAAAAACGGGGGGCCAAATTATACGCAAACGCGTTATTGACAAGAACGCCGACTTGGGGCCATTGCTGAGCGGGCGCTACGCTTTCTTTATGCTGATTTTGTTGTGTCTCATCGCGCTTTTGGCTACTTCATTCGCCATTTGGGAAATGTGCACCTTCCGCTTCAATGGTACTGGTATATATTATTATGGCCACCCTGCTGCTGCTCACCTGTTCTCAAGGCTTGAGATAGAAGAGGCTCTTGCACGTCTACTAATATTTGTTTGTTTTATTGTATGCCAGGATCAGGAGCAGCGTACTCTTCTTCACGTATAGGAATTATTTTTTTGACTATACTCAATTGGCGCCGTTCATCCTGTTCGTTCATATAGAAAATTTCAAATTTTCGCTGCTTTCGACACACAAAAGTCAAAAGAAAACAGAAACACCCGGACGCAGAAGAGCATCTTTGGCTATACTGCATCTCTAAATCCAGAGTTTTACTGACGTTTCTGCAATCGAATAAGATAGAAGATCAAGATGCAGAGATGAGAGTGCCGGCACAATGTATGAAGACTCATAGACAAGACCCGCCGCGACTACTCCTGTAGTAACCCGCGGCACAGCCCGAAAACTACATGAGGCTATGACTTTTGTGAACGTCCACCACATTTATGTCACGAATAATATATGTATGCCCGGGCAGCAGCAGGCTAGCGAGCCTGTGAGTCTAGGCTGAGGATGGTCGGGCGGTATTTTATGCCCTGTCCGCCCTCAGCCCTTTAGTGTGCGGTAGCCAGGACTTGAGAAGATTAGTCAGGACAACCCACCGACTTTCGGGGTGGTATTTGTTTCGCCTGCCCTCCCTCCCAGTTGTTTCAAGGTGGTTGCGTTACCACGGATGGGCCGCTAAGACCTCGCGCCGCCCTTTTCTTACGGGGTGTGACAGAGGTCCATGTCTTCCATCGCGGGTCAGGTGCTCCATCTCCCTGGGCGCCTCGGCGACGCGGTGGGGGACTGCTCCCACCGAGCGGTCATCCATTGGGTGGCCCGTCTGCGGTAACTGCATAAAATTACTCATCCCATTAACATTATCTCCATCCCATCTTCGCAGGTGACGGAGTGAGCATCCCTTTTCCGAGGCAGAAAAGCGTCGAGACACTTCTAGCTCGCCGTGCTGCCAACATTCTTCGTGAAAAGGCTGCGCAGCCTCAACCGCAGTATGACTCGCTCGGTGGTGGCGATCTTACCTGTTGCAAGAAATCTGACAGGAACAACTTGTCAAGAGCATTACGCTACTTAACAAGCCACATTTAAATTAAGACACGAAGATGCAAAGGACCTACGGAAATATGCGTCTAACAGGAGGACTTCTAATCTAATGATTAGCTGCTTGTGCTGTTTTGTGAGTCATCAATGACATTGACAATGACACGCAGCAGCTGCATCCACAAGAGTGCTGCAGATAGCCAGCAAAAATGACGTGCGACGTAGACCAGCGAAAGTAGGAGCGTCAATGCATTCATCATTTTTAATAAACATAGGACAACATCAAACCTCACCAGACAACAGTTGAGATTGTAAACACACCTTAGCCAGCCATACGCAGCCCACTGCCGCTGGTGGTTCCGCCCTGGACGTGGCATCGATCGAAAGCGGTGACTCTGCCGTCGTCCACGACGAGGACCGTGGCACGACCGGGGACGGGGGGCTGGCTTTTCTGCAGCGTGGCAGAGGCACGACCGCTGAGGACGCGCAGCACGCAACCGCATCATCTCCAACGGCCTTGGCCTCCTCGACGGGGGAGCACAAGCTCCCTTTGCTCGCCAGGGTGCGCACGCGGCTGGTAAACCTGCTCCCGGAACAGCGCACAAGCGGGGAGCCGCCGCGCTCCTTCCTGCAGCTGCGGGCTGGAAACGAGATCTTTGAGGACTCGTCCTCTGGGGGGCGCGGTGTGGTCTATGCCTCATCTTCTTCACCTGCTTCCTCCGAACAAGTAGCGGCGACTTTGCCGCAGATCAAACCCGTCGCCTTCTTGAGCAGGAGCAACCGGAGAACCACTGCCCTGCCACTAGCCGGCAGCAGCGACGAAAATTCGGACGCTGCAGGCGCTTACTCTCCTGGAGGTCGTGGGGCTGTCGCCGTTTCCGTTTCGTTTCTACGGAAGGGCCGGGGCGGGCACGACGTTGCTTCCACGAGCGGGCGCTCCGGAGAGGCCTTCCTGGCGCGCGGCCGTGGCAAGAGGACCAAAGCAGTCACGCCGGAAAAGCCACGGGATCTCAGCTCCACGACGTCGAAGGTGCAGCATCAACAGCCGCACACCTCTTTCTTGGGCCGAAAGGAGCACAAGCAGGCTCAATGGTCCTCCCATATTGAAATTGCGACCGACGGCGACGTGACATTCACGAAAACCGAGCGACCTCTCAGATTTTTAGAGCGCGGCCGCGCGGCAGCCACTCGGGTGGATCAGCAGCACGAGCAGCTGCAGCAGGGTTCCTTTTTACAAAACAAGAATGTCGCAGAGGAGACGCCGCGGCGCAGCCTCCTCTCGCGCGGCCGGACGGGAAGAGCGACAGCATCCAGGAGCATCGAGCCGAAAGGAGGCGTCCTCGCGGAGGAGTGACCTTGCTTCAAACAAGATGGAAAAATTGGAAGCGCACCTGCAGAGCGGAGATATGGATATGGTACGAGCTGCTGCTGCAGCCGGAGAAGACGACGACGAGCCACACGTGCAACACCCACGCAAGAACATTCGTGCGGCGACGTCGATGCAGAAGCTTTTTCCACCAGCACAACAACGGCGATCAAAACCTCGAAAATGAACTGGAGCATCACGATCAACATGAACAACATTGTATCTATATCAATTTCAATCAGTTTTATGTTAGTTTTACCCGGTGTTATTCTTATTTTTCCTTCCCCACATAAACGAAAACGAAGCCTGAAGACCATTGACATACCTAATGAAGCACTAGTACACGAGGTTTGAGACTAGTTCTTTGCAACGAAGATTTTTGCAGTTTTTATTGTTTACGCCCCCAAGTTCCACTTACTTCATATTTCTACAGCTAGATTTTCTTTTTCAGTTTTAAGAACCAACCCAGTTTTTCTCCCTACCTAGCGAGCGGGGCGATCGTGCCCAATTCTTTATTTCTCGTTCTACCTAAAGATCGGTATCTCATTTGCCGTGTTGATTGTTTTCTATTCTTTGGCACTTTACTTTTTGCTTTTTCTACTTTATATATTTTTTGTTATTTTTGTGTACATACTGTCTTTGCTTTTGCGTCTTACACCTACTTACATTTTCGATTTATTTTGAGTTTTTCACATAGCGACCGCATTTCTCCTTCCACCTTACTAACGAGCGGGTAGCAGACAAGCAAATGAGCCGAGCTCTTTGTCTGCTCCAGAATATTCTATAGCCCAGAGAGAGGCCTTTTCTCGAGCGACCGCAATGCCTTATCACGCACTTCTGCTCTAAATACGACATTAGTTGCTGGTCTGAAGCCGTCCTGCGACCGAAACGGAGTGGATGAATCACAACCACCAGGAATGTGTTGTTGCAAGTCGCGTTGGTTATGTTTCCGTCTCGTAAGAGCGGGCTGCTGACAAAGCTTGAATAAAAGAAGAAGGCGATCCTGGAAATGACTCTGAGCGTTCGTCGTGAGCGAATAAAAGTGCTGTCGAGCAGAAAGACTGGGAGGTCAAACAGAGACACCGGCGATAACACGCACTTCTGAGTCTTGCCTCTTGCCAGATCCAACGTGTTTGGCCGTGGTCTGTAATGTGTTGATTGATTGCCACCCAACCTCAACCATCGAAACAGAGAACAGCACGGACGCTCTCCTACTTACTTTCACCTGTCATTAACATTATCATTGGAGGTCATTATCTTCATGAAGACACTATACTATACATCACTATCCGCCCGGACTCCTTGATGAAGTTCCTCACATTGCATCTGGGGTGACTGCAGCTAGACGGCTGTGTCAGGTGCTAGTCCTTTCTTGCATTCTCAATCTCATTGCTGGGGAAAAAATAAGAACGACTGGCCATGGGTGTCTACTCGCTGGGACGTCGAGGAGAGCGAGGAGCGGGAGCGGTGTTAGTCAATTAGTGATTGCAAGTGCAATGCAGAGAAGGTAGAAGTATCCTCGTTAGATACCTGCGCCTTGCCGTGCTGCTTTCGGAGGTGTTGTATATATGAGATACAAGTAGGTATTAGAGAGTCTGAAGCTGCTCATGGTCATGCTCATGGTGCAACTACTTACTCTTTCAAAATAGCACAATAGGGGTGCATGTGACAAAGGTCCGGCTTGAAGATAACGAGCTTCCTTCGGCCAACAAGTTGTCAGTCACTTCAACAGGAGGGGCTCCTGTTGCGGTAATCTACATGAATGAATCATTCCATTGCGCCACTGCTGCTGCAGCAGAAGTCGGGTAGACAAATCATGACACCGCACTTGCTGCCTATGGATTATGAGTCAGCGGGGAAATCCTCAAAATGTAAACGGGATGTAATGCATGCGCGAGCAGACTGCGACTGGTCAGGTCAGGGTGCGAACTAGTAGCGAAGATGAAGAAATGCGGACGCGGAGGAATACAAGAAAATCTGAAACTACTTGGCATTTATTTTGACATCTAAAAGTGAACACCGCAACTACACGGCATTTTTGACAGAAGGATAAGAAAGGTGTAAACTCGAAAAATTTAAAATGAAAGACCACGCATAGAATAGGCGGCCATGTTGAAAGGGGGAGTCGGCGATGGTGTCAGATACTGATACCCCGCATGTTGCAACGCGTACTGCGTCGCGCGGAAGTTGCAACATAGGTTGCCGTTTAGATCGGTTTAGCAGCGCAACCGATTTGTATTCATTTCGATGATTTTCCTACTTTTGGCAGCACTTTCATACTGCCTTTCGACTGTCTGTACCCACAGGACGCGGTAAATGCGTTATTTAAGAAATTGAGAACTCCGTCGTCCTCGTCTTCGTTAGGAACAGGCAGTGGCGACAAGAAAGGAAGCGCAATTGCGGAGAATTTCGTACGGGAAAGCTCATTCTTCAAGTCGTGCTGCGACACACTGCCGAAAAGTGATACGGACAATACGGCACTCGATCCAGTGGTCTTCGCTCCCATAAGTATCAGAGATGGGCTTTGGCTATGCCTATGCTTTTCTTCTCTACTATACTTTTTTGCTTGGTCGTTCTAGAAAAGAAGTTGGATTCCATTACCATTTGAAGGATATCCCGAAAAAGCAGACGAGAAAGCGAATTTGCCCAAAGGGAGTGCATTCAATTTTTGCATCTTTCTTGCGCCTGCTCTCACTTGTTGCTACGGAGCTTGCACTTCCTTGGCGAGCTGCATGTGAAGCGTCTAGGTCCACATGATTCGCTTTACCTAATAAAACCCAGATTAGCAGCTGCAGCATTGAAATAGTATGAGGAGTTGAAGATGTGTCGTCCTCCGATACTAGGTGCTACAACGCACGGGCGTTTGCTATTGCTTCGGAAGTGCCATGATAAAATATGCTCAACAGTCAACCTGCACCAAACCCAAACACCAGATGAGTGCGCATTGGAGGCGATGTTGCAGTATCACAGCGCATGCCTTCGCTACTGCTACGACGTCGGCTTTTCGAGCATCGCAGCGAACTTCGTTTGCTCTTTGTTGGCGTTTCTGCTGCGGCTCTCCGCGAGGGGACGATCAAGATTGAGTATATCCCATGAACAAAATCCCCCTACCCCGGTTTTTCATCGTTTTTCAAACTATTGAGCAGGTCTGAAAAAAAAAAAAACGCGACCCGGTCACATGACCCGAGCGTGTGGACCTGAGCGACAGACTCTGTGCACTAGCTAGGGAAAAGGTGGACGATGAGAAGTGACCTTGTGCACACCAGCCACTTTATCCGAACCATGTGAGATAGCTAGCAACTTTTAGTTTATCAGACATGAGCCATCCGAAATTTGCATATACCAAAATAGTGCTCATGTCCGAAATCCGTGGATCTCGGATCTCGAGATCAAGTCGAGACCCGAGATCCGCGGACTCTGCGGATCCGAAAACTATTGAGCAGGTCGAAAAAAGTAAAAACCCGAGCTGCCCAATAGTTTTACTTACAAATGCAAAAACATGACCTCCCTAAACGTGGACCATACCGCGCAAGTTCATACTGCGCCCCCGAACAAACTTGGGGACTCTGCTGCCATCATGCAGCAGATAGCTTGGTCGAGCCGGTTGCTGAGCATACCACGCATCTTCGTACTGAACCCCCGACGGAGAACCGAAATCAACCCAAACCGAAAACCATAGCGATCATTTGTCGTTTTTGTGCTGCGAAAAATGCAGGAAAATCGTCGGGGTAGCTGCCCGAACATGCAGCGGAGTGCGATTTTTTTCAAATCAGGCCCATTGCGCCAAAGTGCGCCGCTTTTGTTGATTTTTGCAAATTGTGGGCCGGCTCGTGATTTTTCATTCCACTTCTAGGGCTGGCCCACCAGAATACTCAGAGCCGGGGCTTCAGAAGTTTGCTGAGCCTTTGGACCCAGATAGTGCAATATTACTAATGGCAGTACTTTCATACACATGCGCGCTGCGCGAAATTCGGATGGCTCGCGCTTGATAGTTTCCAACTTTCTAGCTATCTCACATGTTTCAAATTAATTAGCTCTTAGTGCGCAAAGGGTGCTGCTTCATGGTCCACCTCTTCCGCAGCTAGTGCACAGACACAGAGTCTGATGCTCGGGAACCGACGTCGGCATGTGTGAGCAGGTGCCGAAAAAGAAAAAATCAAACCTGCTCAATAGTTGAAAAAGCGACGAAGTTCCGGGGTAGGGGGAGAAATTTCGTCGAATAGAGTACAGCCCTGCTTTCATTCATGTGATTTTATAACAGGTGAGATGCAAGCCTTTACGCCTGTTGTTGCGGTGCACACGCAGAGCGGAAAGCGCAGCAAAGCCAAATGCATCCTGACCACGCGCATTTGCATTTCTGCACTTGCTTTATGCTCCGACCGATTTTGTACGCATTCTGCCTCTACTAGAGGCACGAGGAAAGATGCGCGAAGAAGACATTGAAAAAAGAGAAAGAGCTACTAGTTGATCATGCGCATTCTGACAGCGACCGCGCACCCCAAAAGCACTGAAATTCTTTTAATTACAGTATTACAGTGCGTGCATCGTCATCATTTTTATTTTTTGCTGCATTAATCAGGTGACGAAAAAACCTAGCCTAAGCCAACGACGTTACCACTAGGGTACCAGGGCAGGCTATTCCTGCCGCGCGTCGGAGGAGGGAGTTGCGCCGAGCCCCGCTCGAACTAATCACCATCATCATCATCAGGTGACTTCAGTGGAGATTTGCCACTGCAGAAGGAAGTACTCGTTGCGTATCGCGATGGTCTGCTGGCTTTGTACCGTGACGGAATATTAATTGCGCTTGGAGAGAGCTTGCCGCATATGAGCCTCAGTACATGTTCTTGTAGACATAGTCGCAGTCGGAGTCGACTCACACGTCTCTTTGTTCAGAACGAATCAAGCGAGACTACAGACTGCAAGTCGCTAGTAAGGGTTTTTAATTATGACAAGTGCTCTGTGCAGCTTGTCTAGCACTAGCACTTCAGCTGGGCCGCACGCGGTTCGATATTGTGCACCCAGTCTAGAAACGAATAAACCGACTGGGTGAGGTCGTGGAGCCCATACATTCTCATTCATCGATAGACGAGAGGAAGGTGGTCTCTTGATATGATGAAATGCGCTCAATGGATTACGATTGGGTGGGTGGGGCTCCCGAAATGCGCGGCGCGCACTAGCTCTGGAGGGCGGGTGGATTACTCATTTCAGCACGACTTTTCCGAACTGCGGAAGCTCTGCCAGTCCTGGGCCAGATAACTTAGTTTCTTGCCCTTGTCAAGTTCTCGCTCTTTGGCTCCTCCTTTAGATGATGGCGGGGAACAGATGGAACGACCACAAACCTGATACTTGTGATTAGTGCCTGCGCGCATTTTTCTCCGGAGAACTGCGCTGCAGGGTAGCATCGCTTGCGCGCTCCTCGCGTTCTTCTTTTTCCTCATGCGCACACGACTTGCCAAAGAATTTCAATTTCTGCGCCATGAGCCCAAAAGATGCCTGCAAAGAGCCGCAGACTTGTCCGACTTTTTCACACGTCTGGAGGCGATGTGTGTGCCTGCGTGTCCTCCGCGGAGGTCCGCTTTCCGTTGATGAGCTTGAGCTCAGCTCTCGGACTCGGGAGCATTTTCAATCTGGTACTGCGCGCGACAAGAACATCGAGACTGACTTGCATGGTCATGGAGAGGCGGATATGACTATGAGGAAAAGGGGTGAGTTGTGTCATAGCGTAATTTTAGCGACTCTGGTGCGGTAAGTTTTTTACGGAATCAAATCTGCGGGGGAGTCCGAGCTTGTTACCACCTATGCTATGCGGAGCCTATTCAAGCACTACAAACTTTACCAGTAGTATGAAATTGCGCATCAGTTTTGTTTCGTGATTCGTCCACAGCTCCTACTTTTAGAAGCTCTTGCGTGAGCCGCGCTTAATTCTTACGGTGGCCGCCCACCACTGCGACGCACAGTTTGAGGACTTGTCTGGATAATATTTTTTCATCTTCATGCTTATCTTCCACTCCTTCCATTGGTCGTCAGCGTTCGCGATGGAGACATGTGGAGGCGTCATGACACCGTCACTGGGTCTTCATGCATAAAAGTGTGTTTGCTTACGCAGTCGATCGCAAGGTATTTTACGTGCCATCAACAATATTTTGGACTTTTTCGATGCGTGCGCGTCTGAGTCTTCAGATCGAGAGGTCACAAAGCATTGATTTCAATTTAAAGTATTTCGCAGGTGACCACTATGCAAGGTATTTCAGCTTCAGTGCGTTGTACGATATGCGAGGGCAAGATGGAGGCCTTCGCCTTCCTATCTTTCGATACTCGCTGCAAAAAAAAGGGTCACTGTGGTGCAACAACTGCGTCGACGTGAAGGCTCCGTTGCGTAAAGAATGAGCTGGTAGTACGTAGGTGTGCTTATGTGGAGGTAGGTGAAAAGAGATATACTTAACACAAAGGATGCAGCTCTCAACAGTTGAAGTTGTTTCAAGGCGTCGCGCAGAAGAATGAGAGTTTCCTCCCAGGGCCAACAGCGTGCGCGCACTGAACAAGGCGCTACTTTTCATACGTGAGAGCGAGATGACTCTGGAATTTTTTCGTGCGGACCAGCTCCCTGCTAGTGGACCTTGGGAACAGCTGACGGGTCTTCCTAACCCCGCAGCAGTACATGCAGCCAACGGCTACCCTGCAGCAGCGTCAGTGGCGGGGCAGCAGGACGAAGTTCAAGTTGGGGAACAAGATGGCGGCGCTGGAACGGAAGCCGATCTGAACGCAGCAGGCGCCACGCCTTGTGGGGACAATACGGGAACTTCGCCTCTCGAGAACGCCCGACTGGAGCGGGCTATTCAGCGCGAACTCAGTGAGATACAGCGTCGCTCGGACAAGATGCTGGCGTTCATAAACGAAACGAAGGAGAATCAGCCGGCTGGTGCTGCGGCGAAGGGTACTTCAGATACCAGCGCACAATGACAATCGCGATGAATGAAGAGGAGCATCGGCATCAATTCTGATGAAGAAAGATCGGCAAATATTTGTGCCTGCAGAAACGTTGAAGAGTGTCCTGGGGTGAGTAACGTAGTTGACCGTTCTGAAGAGCGAAGCCAATAAGAGAGAGGGAGAGCGCAACTAAATTATACCCGCCATCTTGCTGTCTTTCGATAGCTTGGCGACGATGAAATGTTGTTCACAATTTGAATTTATTAGATTTGTAATCCTCCGCATAGATTGAATGACTATAGCACCTTGGGTACATAGATTGTGTAGATCATGGCCCCGTGCTTCAGATTCGGAATCAACGCTGTGAAATTTTGTTCTGAGGATAAAGCTGGAAGTGCTACGATCGCGATCTAATGGTTCTGCAGATCATGTGCCGAGCTTTAAATCTCCGGCAGACTAGGGTCTATCTCCAAGCCTCAGAGCTACTGTCTGGAGAGAGTCAGGATCTTCTCGAAAATTCTGATCAATTTATTTATTTCGCAGTCTGTGGATCATGATCGCAAACATTCGCTCTGACATTGTGTATGTGGAGGAAAATTCAAATAGAAACGCGATCTAAAAAACCGGAGGTCAGAAATGATCGTGAGGCCAGGTTCAGGCGATCTGTGTCGTGTCAGGCGCCGGGAAGCGAATTTTCGGATTAGATCATCATATGAGCAGTGCTCGGAAAAATCCACCGAGCGCTAGCCCGATGTGCCTACTTGATCTTTGGAAAGCGACATTTTCTTTTGAAGCTGAATTTAAACATTTCTGTTGCATATCACTTTTCTTTCAGGGAAACGAAAAGTAAAAGCAGACTTGCATTAGTCATCAACAACATCCTCTTCCAAAATGGGTCGCGTGCGCACGAGAACTGTTAAGCGGTCTGCCCGCGTGATCGTCGAGAAGTATTTCCTTTTGATTTATTGTTGATGATGATTAAGATTAGCTGACGAGGGTTTATTCCCGCCCCTGTGTGGTTGTGGCTTAGCTCATCCACAATCGACGAATTATAGAACGACCGGCAAACCGACATACGCCAGCACCAAAAGTTTAGATAAGCTGCGAAATGAACTTGATCGTCGATAGAGTGATATTTTATTGTGGTCGAAGACTCGGACGCAGCTGCTCAACCCGATTACTTAAATTCGAAACAGGTACTACGCCAAGCTGACTCTGGATTTCCAGATGAACAAGAAGATTGCTGAGGAGGTCGCCATTATTCCGTCCAAGCGCATGCGCAACAAGATTGCGGGTTTCGCCACGCACTTGATGAAGCGTATTACTTTCATCTTTTTTTTTAGTGTGCGCCAGTTGTAGACTGTCGGACGCGCAGTCGTGCACCTATTGCCCAGACCTCATCTCAATGCTCGAGGTCGTTGCTCCCCTCGGACCTTATGCGGGCGAAGTGCACTACGCGGAGTTTTATATCTGTCGTGTAGGAATGATTTTGATTTCAATATTCTCGAGTCCTTCCACTATATGTCGTGTCGACGTGACGTACATTCGCATTCTGTAGAAGGACATTACGGCATCGAACAGGAGTAGAGTCTAAAATCGCTCGACGTCGCTCAACAATTTACATGACACACATACCCACACAAACAGGCATCCAGAAGGGTCCAGTTCGTGGCATCTCTCTGAAGTTGCAGGAGGAGGAGCGGGAGCGTCGCATGGACTTCGTTCCGGAGAAGTCTGAGGTTGACGTGGACCGCATCGTTGTGGATCCGGATACCAAGGACATGCTGAAATCCCTGAATATGGAGCATCTGACGAACATCCAGACCACCCAGAACGCCTACGTGTCTGGCGCCGTCCGCCGTATGTGAGACCTTATTTGCGGTGGAGTCACGAGTTGATGCTTAGCATCGTGCGCAGTAGTGGATGAACATAAACACACTGAAGGAGAAACTGTCGCAATATTAAATCCTCGATGTTGTTGATGGCAAGTGAACTGCATCTCATGCTTGACTGAGAACAATTTCGCAAGTCGTTTCTGATGTGCTGGGCGCGCGGGTCTGCGCCTCGGCAGGTAGATGCTGCGCAAGACAGACTTCTGGTAGCGATGCACTTCCGTGTTTAGCTTTGGTCATTTTCGGGCGTGTGGAGGAAAAGCCTAGAGCGGAGTGATGCAAGTTGAGCGACGCTGCTTTCCTTTATGCCGAGCCGCAGATATTGATGTTTATAATTACTTGGTCAATTTGTGACCGTGAGTGAAAGCGATACCATTACACCATTGCCGTAATCCAAAGACTATTCGTCGTTGCTTGGTCGCGACCGCGGCAACCTTCGATCTGCGTGTATTGAGGTGTGCGCCAGTCCTCGATGGTCCAGTCTTGGACTATTTGTGAGTTGTCGGACAGATGATATCACGACTTTTCCGCGGTCGATAAATAACGCTCTACACGAGGCTGCGGACCAAAGTGGGGACACCTAAGTACCATACTAAGGAATCTTTTTCGGACAATCAGCTTCGTCTCTCTCCAACAGTTTAGCGCGTAAGAACAGTTTTGGCTGCGCGTCTCACTTAAACCTATGGTCGCTCCGTTCCGCTGGTTGTGTCTACAGCATCACAATTAGCTTTTTACGCAGACCAAAATTGAAACCCATCTCTCCGCCGACGTGATCTGTCGTGGTCGCGCCGGATCGAATGAAGGGCACACTGTAGAAGCTAACTTCGGCCTGAAAGTGTGAGTATGCGGTTGGGTCTAGAACCTTGTGCTATGTTCTTAAGTAATTGTAACACGCTGTGACGCGGCGTGTAGTGCAGCAAGCGTGATGTTGGTACGATACAGGTTCGGGACTCTATTTTTTTCGTGCGCTCCATGAAAAGCTGCCTTTTTTTCCGGACAACAATCGTCCGCCTTTTTCGACCTTCCGATAGAATCATCTAGGAATGGGAGACACTGAGCTTGATAAGCCCCGCTTTCTTGCCAGGCTCGTCACCAAGGGTGTTTCCAACAGCTCGAACTTGGCGCAACGCTCTGCGCGCAGGAAGTTTTTTTATTCACTCAAGGATGAGTTAGTCAGCACTGGGGGGCACGCTTGTTAAGCACGCATGCCTCACGTTTTTGCATGGTATGAGTGCTGAACCGCGCTGCTATAATATTCAGGTCTCCATCCGGGGACCTTTGCCCGTCCTCATGTCCTGGGAGTGCAACTATCTTCGTGTGGACTTGTAGGACTTGAAAAGCACCCGGCTGTGTGTGTGTGTGTGATGCGGCGATATGACCATAATTTTCTTGCAGGCGCTGCTTCGATGTTGTCGTTTTATTTGCATCCACCATGTATTCCTAATATATATTCACATTCACGTTTTTTATTTTTGCACCATTTGCATTTCCATGTGGAACCGTCCCCGTACCATCTAAATACGCATGAACACTATATCATTTTTTAGGTTTCGTAGTGCCACAACGATGCTGCTCGATGGACTAGAATTGCTGCGTCGTACCGCCGTGGGGTGTTACATTCATCATTATCGCAGCACCGCCTTGGCTTGCGGCGCAACTCGAAGCCGACTCTATTTCACATAGGCTGTCCGTTGTTGCGATAGTTTGCACCGGCCGGGGGTCCAGCGGGTGAGAGCAATCATCCGAGAAGTGTTTATTACAAGATAAAGACAACCTTAATATTGGTGGAAGTTTTCTTCACTGCAACCGGCGAGTATTCTCAACAGCAACGTACTACACCCCACTTCTCAGCATGGTTGGTCCGGGAGTTACCTTGTCAAGTTCGGCAACCTTTCGTCAAGTCGCTGCGCGGGGAAGTGTGCGGTTGCAAGAAGCTGTCCTGGGACGGTTCGCTACAGCAGTGCCGCTTCTTGGAAAGAAGGTTGCGGCTGCGCCGGCGTGGCAGCGGCCGGCGGCGAGTTTCTTCGAGATCTGGCCAAAATTGCGGACCTGCATTCCGAAGTACCAGGAATTTGTGAAGAGTTGTGACGCGAAGGACCTGAAGGATGCTCATGTCTTCATGAATGAGGGCGCCTCGAAAGAGCTCGTGGAGTACTACCTGTGTTGCGCCCTGATGCTGCAAAGAGAGGCGGTGGAGAAGGCGGCGTCCGACTCTCAGGCTCTTCTAGCGTTGGCGGAGAAGGTCGCCCGTGAGCATGTAGAGCCGGTTATCCAAGACGCCCAGCGTCTTGCTCTTGAATACCGAGAGGACGTGCACCGGAACCTCGAGGAGCTCACCGTTTGGCGTGAAGTTGATGAGTCGCTTTACTGGCACCACTCCTTGAAGACGCTGCTTCCTCAGCAGTATGATGATTATTGCAAAGCAACGACGCAGGGACTGGCTGCCACTTTGGCAGAGCGACAGGGACAGCTCCTGCGCGCGCATCACAAGCAGGACCAGCAAGTCACCACCGAAACCCGAAGCAGCAGCGGGACTGTAGCGCCGGGTGAGGAGGTGGAGGGCGACAGAGCACCTGCTTGCGGCCCTGCGGGAGGCGGCGCTTTTCGCACAGTGGATGAGAAAGCGTCGCACGGCATGAAGATAAAAGCTTGCTCGTCCTCCGCCGAGATAAGAGGAACGGACGAGGAGGAGGCGGGAGCACTTGCACTTCCCACCGCGGAGCAGGTCGCATCTGAGCTCGAAGCCTCTTCGGAAGCACGTGCCTTGGCGTTAGCCCTGTACACTGGCTGGATTGACTTGGCTGGGATGCCGGTGCGTGGAGCGATACGAAATTGCCTAGTGTATCCTGGCCTGTTGATCAGATGTTGCGCGCCCATGTAGTGCGCAGCACCAGGCGCGTTTGTCATGCTTGCACTGTGACGAGCTTTGTTTCCGTCACCTTTTGCTTTTTCAGATGGAGAGTCAGTAATAGCTTCGCATGAAATTTAAATTATTGAAGCTTGACGTCGCTCCGGGAGCCTCCACAGGAAAGTCTACTTCATACATATATATTGATATGCATCTAATTTATAGATTTTGCATCGCAGCACGCATGACAAACTTCAAACGGCTCGCATTGCAGTACTAGCATCTGCATCGATTCAAGATGTGAAAGCCCAGGATAACTTGCCATGATGCTAGCAGCAAACTGCGTGGCTTGTACCGTTTAGTGGCAGTAGCTCTTGCACTTGCTAGTAGTTTTCTAGATAAAATTAGAATTTGAAAAAGCGACGCTCTCGTCGGATGTATCGCAGCTTTCAAGAGTGCAACATCTGACGAGGCCATATATTGGATCACTCGCTTTTGCACGGAGTGCCACGGGCGTGGGACGGCGCAGGATTGGTCCCGCAGATGAAGCATGCGGGCGAATTTTCCAGGAACCGAAAGCGCGTGAGAGAGCACGACTTCTCATCTGATTCCGGCCGCGAACCCGAGACCTAGCAATTCCAAGTGCCGACCGTGGCCCGAGGGCCTTGCGCTCCGTGGACTTTTTTCAGTAGGCGCCCACTCATCGCAGCTTTGTATGTTGTCATCGTGCTGTTCGGGCTGCTGCGGAAAGCGCGTAGGGAGAGATGACTGTGGTGCCGGCACTTTTCATTTTCTTCTCATCCGTTCCTGGACAGCAACAGCACGGATCGATCCGTGACTCTCCAGACTTGTGTGCTACTCGTGGCCCAGCGTGCGGTGCGTGTCGAAGCAAATAGAGATAGACGCTATGATCTGCGTGTCTGTTCGCACAGTAGCCCAACCATTGATCCTTTTTTCGCAAGCAGAGCGATCAACATCAAGACATGGACAGAAAAGTAAGCAGTAACCACCCTGCGGGGGTCGCCGCGGCCGAGCCGGAAGGCGTAACGCAAGTGCCTGTCCTTGTTGCTTCATATCCAAGCGCCTGCAGTGCTGCGTCGAAACATGAGCGGAAAAAATGGAGGCGCGTCGATGGGACAAGAACGAGAAGTAGGTCTCCTTTAACTTCTGTTCTCTACTTCAGTAATTGAAATGGGTTGGGTATAATCAAATTGTTGCGATGAAATTTGTTATCTGGCTCGGGTATGGAAGTGAATCAAGAAAAAGAGGAGCCGCGCGAGGCAGGTACTTCCAAGCTCGGAGCTGCGCTGTAGCGCGGCAGAAACAGTGTTGACCTGTAATACAACTGCTAGGGCTTGATGTTGATAATGATAATGATAATAATTACTCCTGCTATCGCTTAGTGGGGAGGTTAGGCTTCATCTAGTAGCAGTAGCTTCTAGCCCTGTTGCCGCCGATCCAGAGCCATAGAAAGATAGCGACCTGCCACCCACCCACCTGGGTGCCTGGATATGATATTGGCATCAACTAAAATAAATGGTGCGGCGAGCACTGATTGATTCCGAGTGGATGGGTTCCCTCCGTATGACCACCACTCACGGAAAGACTGCGCTTCATCATCGTCGTGCTGCGCTTTTCATTGGCCAATGCTGTTCCAGAGCAAGCTGCTGGCGCTGGTTCTTTTTCCTTGACCCTACTGCTATTCTTTTTCTTTTTCTTATTTATCGCTGTCCTCTGACGGGGCGTTTTTTTTCTTCACCCCGGAACATTAGTTCGGATTGTTTCTTCACAGTGACAGCTGGACGAATGTTCTTCTTCGGATATTTCTTTCGACTAGTAAAGTAATTGCGCTGGTTCTGTGTCTGCTACTCTCCGGAGAGATGAAATTGGTTGAGCTGCTCAAAAGTGCTTGGACCTAGATTTTCGTCGATGATCGCCGTCGACGCATAATGCGTTGGTGTCGTCATTTTCGTCGTAAAATTTTCCATTGCCAACTTTTGAGTCCGGGGCATGCGAGTGCACCTGAGCCAAGTCCTTTGGTTAGGTTTTCATCTTCTAGCTTCCTAGATGGAGCGGATTGAGATCATCCGAAACACTCGCGATGTGTATTAGAACGGGGTCACAAAATGTCCGATTAAGTCCTCGGGGGACCTGCGACCCACCCAGCCGGGTGGGCCTTAGGTCCCCTGTCCCAATAATTAAGTTATCTATGACTCCGCCACAGCTCGCGTCCGCCCATATTGTTTTCTCGCCGTTTGTAGTGGGTGTAAATCTGTATTAGAGTCTTGCACTATTGTACTTGTGCCTCCGTTTGTCGCTATTTATCCCAGAAAAGAGCTTATTTGGTGGGTGTAAATCTGTGATGCAGAAAATGCAAAACTGTTTCACAGGAAACTGCAGAAACACTTTTGCATTTTCCGCATCACAGGTCCCTTTTGCGTAAAAACAGCTTTGCATTTTCTGCATTATAGACTTAACCCACAACAAAGCTTTTTTCTTGGATAAATGCAGTGCACAAATCTTTTTTCTTGGATAAGTGCAGTGCACAAATACAATAATACATAAGCTACTGCGTCACAGATTGACACCCACAAAAAAGAACGGCGAGAAAACTGGAACGGGCGGACGCGAGCTGTGGCGGATTCGCAACTTAATTCTATATTGGGACAGGGGACCTAAGGCCCACCCGGCTGGGTGGGTCGCAGGTCCCCCGAGGACTTAGTCGGACATTTTGTGACCCCGTTCTTATTTTTGATTCCTCTGATTTGATCGATGCACCAGTCAGGACGAGGACGAAAACGAAATAAAGTACATCTACATGATGTTGATCCATGAGATAAATTTAGATGAAGTGAAAAACAAGTAGAAGAAAAATTGTAGGCGTCGAAGATGTTTGTTCCGCTACTAGTGTTACTGCTTTATTAGTAACTAATCGTTTGCTTGTATTTGGTTTCTCTTTTATGTCCGCAGCAAGCGAGAAAAGACGGAGATCAACAACATGGCTAAAAAGTCGAATCTGTTTTCTTTGCTACACTTTGGCAGCAAGAACAGTGGTCACCGAGACGCGCAGAGACGTGAGCATCTTCAAAACGTATCACCTCCTAGTGATGTTGAGCAACAACATGTCGAAGTTGATGCGCACGACGTCGATACCGATGAACAGTCTTCGAGTACTCCCGAGCCCGCACAACTACGGGTTGCCGTTTTGAACAGGACGCCCAGCACCCCTCCGGGGTCTCCGCCACAGCTCTTGGAGGCGGGTGAGGAGCAGGACGTGATGCTAGTACCGGAAAAATGCGATATTGATGTAGTACGGCCAGGTAGTAGTTGTAGGAAAACCACGGCTACTGACAAGAAGGGAGGTGTAAATTCAAAATCTGATCAAGTCGGTTCTTCCAGTCCGCTGGGAACCGATCACGTCGCCCGGTGTGGTACAATGAAGCAAGGACAAGCACTAGGCCCAGGAGAGGGACGAGGGTTGGAATTGCAGGCAGCGAACTTCGCGAACCACGAAGGTGGCGCGTGCAACACAAAACACGAAAATGACCATGGTGCTGGGACGCTTGCAGGTGGGAATGACCCGGGCATCACGTCCTCGAGGAGCCAGCCGCGGGAGAAAAACTCGTCCGGTGCAAAGATGACATCTGCGCCCCGAAGGCCTAAGTCCTTCGCCCAGGTCTTTCAGGAGCATGCCCTCACCACGAATTGGAATAATTCAACGACCTCCAGCAGCTCGAGCGCCTGTTATTTTGACTCCGCGTTGCATATGGGAGCGTCAATTGAATTGCTTCGAAAATCATGAAAAAAATTGTTTTAGGTAGTGACTCATCTAGCTAGTAACGACTTGCTTATACACCTCATTGATTGCTAATGTTGTCGTGACGCAATATCCAAACAAAAGCCGCATTATTGCATTAGCTAGAAAGGGAGCCTGCCGCCCTGTCGCCTCACGGATCTGCCCAGATCCGTGAAGCGACCAGGCATCGGGCTCCCTTTCTAGCTAGCAGGAGAACTAAGCTCATTCATTAATACAGTACAGGTTAATAATGATGCATAGTTATTTTGGGCCCATTTTAAACTAACTAGCTAGCTACATGGAAGTTATATATGAAGAAAAAATGACCACTATTTCGGAAGCAATTCAATCAATTGACGCCTCCATATTGCATCAAGTGCAGCTACTCACGACGATGGATAGCAAAAACGAGGAGCAGAATCTTTTAGCATCCGGCAGTAGCAGCTGTGCCATGGAGCAGGGCGAAGGCGGTGCCGGTCCACGCAGACGCACAGATCGTGGTTGCGTGAGCGAGGAGCAGGCTTCGATAGAAGAAAAAACTGAAACAAGCACGAGTAAGGGCACCGCTGTGGACCAGCACGCGCGACGCTTCGCCGTCGTTCACCATCAAGTATCAGACGATGTTGAAGGCCGACGAGAGCGAACGAAGATACCGTTGGAAAACGGTCCCAGCACTGGACATCAACGAACACGACCACAGCAAGGAGAAACGCATGCGCCCCGGGACATCTCGATCTGCAGTCCATCAGACGACCCGACCGGTGCGGTTGTGGCCGCGCGACGCCGGCGACGCAGCGGCAGTTCCTGCAGCAAGCAGAGTCGTGATCAACCCGAGGGTCGTGGCGGCTGCGGTGGTCATGGAGGTCAGCGCGAGGAGACCACTCCAACTCCGCCAGTAAAAGATTATAAATTCCTCGCCGAGGAGAGTCGTACAGGAGCATCTAATTCCAAATCTTCATCGAACATCGCAGCCGATGGCGCGGAAAGATCGCAGCAAGTCAGCGAGACCTGTGTGAGGCTTGAGCTAGACCAGTGCCGTCAGAAATGTCGGTCCATGCAAGAAGCTCTGCTGACGGCTATCCAGGCGGATGAGAACAGGGACGCGCACTTTGCGGCCCTGAGCACGGAGTGGGACCGCAGAAAGCGCGACATCGGTAATATTCAATGAAGAAAGTGCACATCTTCGATGTACTTCTACTTGGTGAATGATGATGCCTGATATTTTTGCTTGTGCGATGTCGATGATTGAAAGCAAGAATGGCGTCGGTGGAACAAAGTCAAAGAACCTGCAGCCACTTACAATTTAAATCCTTACCGTAAGGATTTAAATTGTAAGTAGCTGCAGGTAGTACTGGAACTACAGCGAGCTCTGGCCCTCTTTCGCTCATCTGTCAGATCATGCATTGCATGTATGACTACGAGATTGATGTAGAATATCAGATATGCATGTATGACACAGATTCAATATCTGTGTGCCTCATACTCGAGCTTGTTCATTGTGTTACAAGACCAAGATGAAATAAGAATGCGTCACAATAAATACTCAGATGCCTGGCTGGCAGCGCAGGGTATTGAAGTGTTTGTGCCTGAGGCTGAGCCAATCTCTCCGGAGACCGCGCGACGACGAGAAGCAATCGCATCAAGTTCAAACTTTCGCGAAGACGTGGAGAAAATTGAAATGGGAAGCAGCAAGAGAGCGGCCCTTGGTAAGATGTCTCAAAGAGGGAAGCACGGAGGGTTACTCAACACGTTTGACGAGATAGTAGGTTTGGCCGCGCGGTCGATATCTCGGGGCAACGCGATCACGGACGAACTAGGCCCTTCCAGTTCCAGTTCGACGAGTGCAACAAGAGATCATGGACTTCCTGGCTGCGGTACCACCACCGTTGCCGCGAGTTACGCAGTGGGATCTTGCTCAAGAACGTCTAGTACCGCGCGATCAACCACATCGAAGCTGTTGGAGTTCAAATGCCCCGTTTTTCAGACGAAACCGATCCCAGTAGGCATTCCGGAGACTCCGAAATTCCCCACGCGACCAATGCCGGTACGCACGCCGGGGTTCACTCTTGTCCTACCGACTATGGGAGCGTCAGCTTGGAAACCGTCAAACTGGAAATGCTGATGTTCTTTTATTTAAGTATCGTTGATGCAAGTTTTTTTTTTCGTTACAAATCGGAGGCAACTGAGGCGGAAGCAGACTGTAACCTTGAGAAGGTTTTCTTATGAAGGGCGCCAGCGCTGCTGCGCCAGCAGGCATGGAAAGAAGCAGTCACTAAGGACATGAGCATGCGCATGCCTGTTTTCTTCGATTGAAAAGCGCAACAGATTGGCTCCTTTTCCTTCACTAACGCCAGTCGGGCGCGGATTTGTCATGCGCCACTTCGCAGACACTTGAGACTGACCCACAGCAGTTCCACCAGTCGCCATGATTTAGTTGGTTTGCTACAGATGAGGAGGGTTCTTAGCGGAAGTGCGAGGTCCGCAGGGCCCCGAGGGGTGAAGGCGCCTCTGGAAAGATGAAATCGGCGAGACATTCGTGATGTGGAGCCTTCAGCCATGCAGCCACGCATTATTTTTTATACATGCCATGCTCCATTTCCACTTTGTTTGGAAACTGGTGCTGGCGCAGCAACCATTTCCATTTTTTCGACTTCCGCCCCGACACTCCGATAGTACCCGGGGCGGTGTCCACCGTCGCAGCCATCGCCACGAGCGACGACCTGCTGTTGCGCTCTCAACCGGCGCACCAGGTCGGCGAGCCGACCACCGGATTCTCCTGTACGAGGAGTGTCTCCGCGGGTGAGGCAGCAGCAGCAACTTCACGCGAAGGAGCCCAAGCCCTCGCCAAGAAAAACCACTCATCAGAAGTAGCAACTCCCTCCGGCGCCGGCGTCTTTTCAAAGGGCTATTACGCACCGCACCTTCATCGCGAACAGAGACACTATTTGCATCAGGATCCTGATCATTATGAGGATCTGCATGTGTCCCCTGGTCGACGTGCTCACCTTTTTCAGCAGGAAGACGTCAGCCGTGCCACAGGGTCGCAATCGCGAAGCGGGCAGCCGGATAAAGTAGATTTAGAAGGTGGCGCTCCGATGAGCCGAATTACAGTCGAACAAGTACAGGAACAGGACCAGAAAGCTACAAACAGAAACAAGAAACTGAACGATGCTGCTCCTGTGCGAAAGCCGCCAGCATTGCCACGACAGCGCACGGCCGCGGCTCCGGGTTCCAAATTGCACAATGATGCAGCTTCCGCTGTATTTCTACTTGATGTTTGCTGTCGTATGTTTTGATAATCAGCAGGATGAAGCATTTCCAAGAACAACAAGATCGCTGAGCAGCTAGGGGACGACCTAATTGTGATTCTCATTCGTATTTTGATGTTTTAGCGTACTTCATCAGATTTACAACCTCGCCTGGGGCTAAACGTGCTGAGGCTGATCCGAATTATGGAGGAGTTGCCATCGTTTTCGTCCCCCTATCGCTTGCGGTTGTTTTCGTTTATTTTTACAATGCACCAATCAAACTAGTAGCATGCCGTAGTGTAGCCGTGCCCGGGACCGAAAACTAGTTTTGACCCCCAAACTAAAACCACCGTCCAGTTGTATATATAATAGCAACGTATGCCTCGCCTGTAGAAATGTGAAACAAAATTCAACTACTCCGCTAGATCGAAAGCCAAAAAATACAACCAGGACAGGAGTTCGACAGTGCGGCTTTAAACCGTGTTTGCGCCTGCAGCTACAGCTGTGAGCAGTTCTTGCGGTTGGAGTGGTTTTTGCGCCACTTTTCTACGTACACGTTGCGGCTTTCGTTCTTCGTGCCAAATTGTGGATAGGTCTCCACAAGGACAGGCAAGGAGAGTCGTTTGCTTTTCGACGCGATGCAGGCACTGAGCGCAGAGATCGTTTCGCTTAGGTCTATTTATTTGCTTCCCACCATCCAGCTGCTCAAGACTTTGAGAACCTGGGATGTTGTTGCTCCTTCCAGCGCCGAGCGCGCTTTTTTCAGCCAGCTTTGATGACCTTGCCTGCCATTTTTGTTGCTTAAGCAATAAGCGCAAAAGCTTTTTGCTGTTGCTTTTGCTTTTGCTTTTGCTTTAGTTTAGTTTTTGCTTTTTGCTTTTTGCTTTTTGCTTTTTGCTTTTTGCTTTTTGCTTTTTGCTTTTTGCTTTTTGCTTTTTGCTTTTTGCTTTTTGCTTTTTGCTTTTTGCTTTTTGCTTTTTGCTTTTTGCTTTTTGCTTTTTGCTTTTTGCTTTTTGCTTTTTGCTTTTAGCTTTTTGGCATTTAATTTCTGGAGTAATAGTTTGGCCATCACACCCCTACCCTTAGCAAGGGATAGACTATAGCAGTGCTCCCGGTCCCGTGCCAAAACTAAAGGCACGCTTCTACTTGGAATTGTAAGGCGGAGACTGACGCTATATCTATAATTATAATATCAATATGAAAATTTAAATTAAGCATAAGCACGAAAACAAAAAACAGGCACCAACGGGAGCAGCTGTCGCGCGATTGATGTCCTCTACATTGCCATCCCGTGGCCAGCTGGTACGTCTTTGCAAAGTTTGAGTCAGTTGTCAGTTGTCATGCTTCTCAGATGATGCCGCATAAAGATAAACATGTAAATATGTAACGTTCGTAAAGTTGAGCACAAGGCGAAGACTTTGACTTCTTCTAGGCGGCCGCGGTGTCAGTTTTTTATTTTTTCTTGCTATCAAGTTATAGTTTATGCTCCATTGTTCGCGCGCATCGTCATCATATGATCACTAGCTCTAGCAATAGCTACGGCAGTGAAACTATTCTTGCCTGCGTGCTCATTGTGTCTTTCCAAAATGCTGGGCGTGCCGTGCAGCATTCGGGTCGCACTGACTCGCAGCGTCTCCGTTGTGTCGAAGGTGTGCACGGCATTAAAAAACTGATGTCGTGATCACGTCGACAGTTGACGCGACAGAGCTGGTCAAATAGCTCGCCCGAGCTATTGTTTTCCATGGCTTTACTTTGCGCGCGCCGTTTTTTTCTTCCCAACTCAAAGCGCGAGGAACTGTCTGCGCTTATGAAGAGTGTTTGTATTTCGTGGCGGTGTGCTCTACTTGTAGTTTTTGTTATTTGAGTGCGTATCTATTCAGTCTCAAACTGTAACTGAGCCGCCTGCGTTAGCTGTATGAACTAAAAACATACGTCCGGCCACATTGCTGGCCTTGCCTCACGCGTACCATCAGAAGTGCGGCGCTGGCGGTTTGTTGGTGCTGCACCATCAGAAGCGCGGAACTTACGGACGGGCGCCACCCGTCTACAAATTCTACAACTCTTCGCGGAGATCAATAAGGCACGCCGTCCATTATGTCGTTGTGCTCGGTCTGCTAACCCAAGTGCGTAGATTCGTCCCGTGCTTGGTCTCTCAACATTTTTCGGCGTCCTCCCGAAGGCAGTCCGCCTAATAACTTAGAGCCTGCAGATAGGGTTCCCGCTTGTGAGGGCCGGGTCGGCTCGCGGCTCAGCCGAGTGAGCGACTCCTATTCCAGGCTCTAACCCTTTCGGATTGCTTGGGCTCCTGGTGCTGCAGTCACCACTTGGGAGCATAAAAAGCAAAAACATAAGCCCGGCCGCACTGGTGGCCTTGCCTCACGCGCACCATCAGAAGTGCGGGATAGGCAGTTTGCTGGTGCTGCACCATCAGAAGTGCGGAACTTGCGAGCGGGCGAGCCCTTTCCAAAACTATCCAAAAAAAAAACCATAGCTAGGGTTCCCGCTTGTGGGGGCCGGGCCGGCTCGCGGCTCTTTGTGTAAGAGATGTTTCGCTGAGCTCTAACCCCTTCGGATTGCTCAGGCTCCTGGTGCTGCAGTCACCACTTGGGAGCATAACAACTAAAAACATAAGTCCGGCCACACTGGTGGCTTTGCCTCAAGTGCACCATCAGAAGTGTAGCATTGGTAGTTTGCTGGTGCTGCACCATCAGAAGTGCGGAGCTTGCGAATGGGCGACCCCTTTCCCGAAACTTGCAACCACCGCTTGGGAGTATAAGAATGAAAACATAAGTCCAGCCGCACTGGCGGCTCTGCCTCACGTGCACCATCAGAAGTGCAGTATTGGTGGTCGTTGGTGCTGCACCATCAGAAGTGTAGAACGGGCGAACGGGCGAACCCTTTCCCGAAACTTTCCCGAAAAAACAAATTTCGTGCTTGGTCTCTAAACAAATTTCGGTGTCCCCCCGGTGGTAGTCCGCCTAATAACTTAATAACCATATTTAGGGTTCCCGCTTGTGGGAGCCGGGTCGGCTCGCGGCTCATTGTGTGAGAGAAGTTTTGCTGAGCTCTAACCCCTTCGGATTGCTCAGGCTCCTGGTGCTGCTATCACCATTTGGGAGTATAAGAAAGAAAAACATAAGTCCAGCCGCACTGGCGGCCCTGCCTCACGTGCACCATCAGAAGTGTAGTATTGGTGGTTGTTGGTGCTGCACCATCAGAAGTGCGGAACTGATGATCGGGCGACCCCTTAGAAGAAGAAGAAGAAAAACAGGCCGCGGCCAATCAGCGAGGAGCAGGCATTGGTTTTGCTGAGCAAATTGAGAAACAAAGTAGGTGGTAGTGGTAGTACTCCCGTATTTCAACTGTCACTTCTGTTGAGGTAGAGTCCGTCGCGCTGCACAACAAATATTTTGACGCACTTTGTAATTGCCGCATCTTCGTCATTCACTTTATTCCCATTTTCATTTACGGTAGCATTTGAGCCTGGAATACGCCAAAACTAAAGATGCGCCTGGTGGTACTCCAATAGCACCGGCGGTGCTATTGGTTTTATCCGCGACCGCCATCCCCCCCCTGCCACGCCGACAGAAAAACTACATTTCGGACCCAACTGCGCCTAATCACACTACCATCAGACTCCCCGAGACTATATACCTTCTTCGCGATGTTGATTGATCGTGTGTCCGCCGATCTGGCCTGCGCTCTCGGGTTTTGCATGTTGAGTTTGTGCGATCTGTTTGCTTTTTTTTTGCAAAATTCCGATAGGAACTTTGCTTTCTGCTTCGCACATTCACGCTGTGATGCGCCCCCACGGGCACTGATGTCTGATCGTAGTATTTCTTGGAGGCTCCGCTGCGGTTGGGATCCCACATGGAAAATGTAGTTTTGATCTGTCACGCATCGGTGCAGCCGGGTAGTTTCTGCAGACCTCGCACAGCGCCATTTTACCGCCGCCCGCATGTACACTGCACCACCATCGCGGCCAGGAATCCGCCCGGCTCTGCCCCCGATTCCCGATGGCGTCCTGCCCTTTACCTACTAGCTCCACCTATCTGCTGTTCTGCGTCATACCGTCGGCGCTCCCGCCCGAAGCCACACGACACGAACTACCACCCACGATCCGTAGCTGGTCAGCGGGATTTTGTGCCTCCGCTCGTGGCCGACAAGTTGCGCGACTTTCACGGAACCTGCTGCAGCTTGCACTACGGTACTGCCACCAAGGACTTGTTGCTGTCCTTCCACAACCCGACACCTGCTCGCCGGCCGTCCTTTGATAAACTTCTTCCCGCACTACCTACTGCTACTCCGATGTGACGAAAGGTATTTTCAAACTGGTACTCCGGCTGCAGGTAGTACTTGGTCCCCGCCCCACCTGCCGCACTACATCTGCATTCCGATGGGCGCCATGAAGATTTGATGTTGATGAGGAAGGCTCTTGGCACTTAGCAATAGAAAAAAACTTTATCCACCTAGATACAATAGGCCCGCTTTTTTGTCTGCGGGGATCAGTTCAGCACGCTTTCCATTATGTTGTAATGCCCGGTCTGCTAATCCGGGTGCGTAGATTCATTTCGTGCGTGATCCCTAAACAATTCAGTGGTGACCTCCCGGTGGTAGTCCGCCTAATAGCTTAATGCGATAAGTTAGGGCCCCCGCTTGTGGGGGTCGAGTCGGCTCGCGGCTCCGTGCAGGATGTTCGTAATCCAAGCTCTAACCCCTTCGGATTGCTTGGGCTCCTGGTGCTGCAATCACCTCGTGGGAGCATAACAATTATTAACATAAGTCCGGCCACACTGGTGGCTTCACCTCACGCGCACCATTAGAAGTGCGGGATTGGTAGTTTGCGGGTGCTGCACCATCAGAAGTGCGGAATTTGCGAACGGGCGAGCCCTTTCCCGAAACTTTCCCGAAAAAAAATTCGCTATTGACTCTCTCAGTGAGTGTGTGCGTCGCTGTGAGATTGGACGGGTCAGGCCACGACTCTGTCACCAAGCAATAGCGCCATCTCTTAGCGGCTCAAGACGGCTCCTATTGTGACTCAAACTTGTTTCTTCTGTGCATAGGAAGAGCCTAATCTTCCTTTTATGCCTTCCGCGTCTACTGCGGAGCAAAGCCCTTCGCCTTTTCATTGTTTGTCCCCGATCTATCAGACTGACGACAACAGAGGTTTCGCACCATGCTGGCAGTCACTTCTTTTGTAAGTAAGAAGCTCCACTCGATCCCGGGGACAGAAATAAATTACCGAGGCATGTAGTTCTAGTTTTTTCTCTTACCAGCCAAGAAATAGACTTGCAGCAACTCGACGAAGTCTACCGCTATTGATAGGCGGATGGAGTTGAAGTTGAAGACGTAGCACAGAAGCTCTTGCATCTGTGCAGTGTCCCCTTCATTTAGTTGTAGTGGTGTGCCTTGAGTACCGCTGCAGCGTTTGGCAGAGCAAAGCAAGCATCTTGATTTTGCGTCTCTGTGATGGTTGTGGTCCTGCTGCCTCCATGGTGGGAAACAAATGCATTCACATGGAGATATTTGGAACCATTCGCAGTGGCATTTTGGATTCGTCTGGAGGACTTCATGTCGGCGGAGCTAGTTGTTTGGTATTCAAATATTGATCATCATCATTCACTGACATTCATCTAGTACCAGCTGTACGACCTTACCTTCTACCTCCCGAAATTAACAAAGTTTTTAAAGCGTCGTCACCAGCAGTATCTCTTTATCAAGGGATGCATGATCATGACGGACACGGACGCGAGGAGGAGTTAAATTGATCGTATTGTGTAATATAAATATAAGCCCGAGACAGGTACTCCTACCTATTGCTAGGACTCACTGCAATCGTATTCTCATCGTGGTTTCCACACTGCGTCATGTACTTTAGTGATGTGCGACGACGTGTTGCAGTTGCCGTCGACACCGCGCTCGGATTATTATTGTTCCACCAGTTTCAGTCTCAGTGTGCCGCGGATTTAGATGCTTCTTGATCTTGATAACGGAGGACCGCCACCGGCCACAGTGCTAGAAAGGTCTTTTGGAAAACCACACAATAGGCACCTGCAGCCGCAGGCGTGACAAGTGGAGTCACTCGACCTGCCAGCTGTGACGTGAACGTCCGCCCATCAATCTTTCCTGGGGAAGTAGAAATCTGTTGTCGTAGTCACAGGTGAATTCGCTTCTACGTGCAATTAAAGCGACGGCCAAAACTTTTTCGGCTCTTGCTGACGAACGAAGTAGTGACCATCTTTTTTATTTGTGTCTTCCTTTGGTCTACGAGAAACATGACAGCAATGGGCTCCGATCAAGAACAAACACACTGCACCGATCGGATTTTGATCCTATGCACTATTCCGTAAATTTTGCGGTATGTACATGTAATAGAAGAGACCTGTCCTGCAGTAGTCGTTCTGTGCCAGCGTAATTGGCTGAGCTGCAGCTGCACGACCGCAGTGAGCTAGAAGCGCAGGGCCGTGTGCCTGCCAGACGAACTGAATGCCGAAGCCACGATCACAGATTTTAGCTTTATAAGTTTGCATACTCGTCCATCAAACTTTGCTCGGAACGAGATCGCGCTTCATCGAAGGTCTAGCACTACCGCCGCTCCCGCACGGGAACTAGAGCTGCTTCCTGTGGTTCCGCCCAGGCGTGCTGGTACTACTTCCCCCACAACCTGTTTGCAGCCGCCCGCCGGCCTTCACATTGCCTTGGTACAACAAGAACCGCAGGTGGTACGGGCGCGGGGACCTGATGTTCTCGGTGAGATAGCGGGCGTACCAGCTGCAGCTGACGCAGTGGCGGGCTCTCCTCCTGGCGGATCTACGACAAACGGACGTGGCGCAATAGCCGGTGCTCCTGGTTCGACAAATGCAAATGGGCCGGTCTGGCGTCGCACTGGTGTTGCTGTCAGCGCGGCGGCAGTTACGCGCGAACTCAGTATCGGAAGCAGCCCTGGCCGCTTTCCCACCCCAGTTGACCAGGACCATCCAGATCGGTGCATAAGTGGAATAAATGTTGCACCACCCTCGTGGTCCAGTCGCCAACCTCCTGCCGACCACAGTCTCGCTTTGGTGCCGCACCGCGATCAACATGGAGATGCTAGTCATCTACTATTCCCGCCCGGCGTTCTTGCTCCCGCACCAAGTTGGAGAATGAAAACGAATTCAACTTCTACTTCAAAAGACGCACGCGCAACGCCAGTGACTGACGGCACAGGAGGGGCCACTTCGTCAGCTTCTGAGCATCTTGGTCATGATGGAAGTGCGCCTGTCTTGGCAAAGGGGATCATGACAAAGCAAGCTGTTGTTCTTGCGCGAAACAATAATGACTTCGCTCGTCCTTCTGGTGAAGTTGTAGATCTTCCTGGCCCCGCTGCGTTTCTTATCCGCTCGCGTTCAGGTAGCCGCACCAGTTGCAAGGAAGACGACGCGGAACTGTTCAAGTCACGATTTTCTCCAGCGGCCAAAAGGAATTCGCAACTGGAAACGCTAAACCTCTCGGCGCAGGATTTGCGTGACCTGGAACTGAGTCTGCGTGTAAGTGCGAGTACCGCAGCCGAGTCCGCTGCTGTAGCCTTCGGAGAGGGTGGCCGGTGCAGCAAGCCGATATCAACAGCACCGATGAGCAGCCAGACTAACCGGCCCTGCATCGATTTCAGTCCGAAGCTGGACACCATTGCGACGCCGATATCCCTCGCAAGTCATGGGCGGACCACTACCTCGACAGTGCAAAGGCGGGGCTTCGGGGGGGTGCTCGCTGCTGCATGCGATGCGCAGCCCCGTGCGGGTCTTCTTGCGCGCAGAGACGCGAATGGTACCGATAGAAGTAGCGCCATTAGAAATGGAATAAATGCAGCTGATCAAGAACGGGTGTTCAATATGCCTGCTCGACCTCGAGGGAGCGGCGTCATTGCTGCGTCGTCGCCATTCGCGAACAGCAGAAGCACTCCAGAGGCGAGCTCAAGATCAAGGCCACTACTTTGCCAGAATTCCGTGAGTGTAAAGGGGCTCAAAGCAGATGAAGGTGGAAGCACCGGTGTATTTTTTGAGGATGCGACAGCAGTAACAGATGTAGGTAAAGATGAGCAAGAGCAAAATCATCAATCAGGACGCACACCAGTGGACACGGGCGGAATGAAAATGGATGATCTGGTATCCAGCGAAAGAAAATGAAGAAGTAGTCCCGTGTGCGAGACTATGCAGTGGAGTATGACAATGATAATGCATGCGAGCGCAAGAAGATCAATGCAAAAAATAAGAATAACAACAATACCGATGCATGAGAAGAACAAGAAGTCTACTTCCACTTCGCTTAGAGAAACAAACGACAGGGCTCTTTGCATAAACGCAGTATTTCAACAGATGGCGCGTATGCCCTCATACATATTATGTATGTGTCCTGCCTTGTCCGATATTATGTCATAATATCGGACAAGGCAGGACAATGAAAGAGTTCGTTTGCTGTGACAGCGCGGAAGTGCGCGCAAATCTATGTCTATCACCCTTGTAGCACTATTTCTTTGTTGTATGCTCTTGCTCGTCTCCAGACGAGGAACGCATTCGCACATTCTTTCGTGCGATACGTAGACGCCCTAGTGCAACGCATTCGGACGAACAAGATTACCAAGAGTAACGGCAAGGCCCAGCAAAAAGAAGGGAACACGCAGACAGGTGTCGATAGCACGCGGTTTGTCCCGAAGTTTCGTCCAGTTGCAGGGCAGGATCAGATGAAAGCGTGTGCGTGAATGTCTCGGGGGGCACAGGTTCGGGACGTTCGTAGCGAAATAAGAACTCATTTTTCAGGGACCTCAATTCTGCGATCGGAAACGTTTGCGGGCTGACAGCCTCTGAGAACTCGTGGAGAACCGCCCGACTGCACGCGGTGTTGCCCTAATAGTTTTGGTTTTGCTTCCATTTCGTTTTTCGGTCGGTGGATGCTTCAAAATGTCAACAGTTTAATGATGCCTGTGCCTGCTCGTGGTGAAAGATCGTTCTTCTGCTGCAGCGTTGCGCTTGCAGCCGGAACGAAGTTGTTGATCGAGCATCTTCGTGCATGGGGACGGCAGTGTTTAACGGTTGCGCGAATACGAGGACAACTGTACTACAACTTACATCGATCATCACTTGTGTACCAGAGCAAAAAACCCATTGTTACTGCAGGTTTGACTAGTGCCACATATTTCAAGTCTCCTTTTGGCTGCTCAGTTTGGCAGACAAAGACACTTTTGGTACGCATGGAATTGCTAACTAGCAGTGCGAAAAACTGAATATCGCATGCCTCCAGCGGATCCTCTTACCTCAACGACAACGGTCGATAGACAGTCGCGGGCTAGGTACCTTGAACTTTGTGGCGCGAGATGCGGGCTTTCTCCCTCTGCAGTGGCGATAGCTTTTTACGCGGCAACCGTAAGCCTGTGAAAAGTATTTCGCTCACGAGCTGCAGCATGAAAATGCCGCCGGTACAGAAGGATTAGCAATGCAGAGCTCTATCATGGCTTGGCAGCGGTCTGCTGTGAGGCAGCTTTCAGTATGTCTATGTGCAGGTCTATGTCAGATGCGATGCAGTTCAATTGTTGATCTCGTTGACGTTTAGGTGCACACGCACAGTTAATTAAAAGCACATGCGCATCGTGGAGCGCTAGTGCGGCTGCATAAGATGCGCCCTCTACTTTTTTTCAAGTTTTTGTTGTAATGTTCATCACCCACCTGAAGCTGAAGCTGCGGCTGCCTTCCTACTTCGTTACTCGTAAACGCAATCACTTTGCATGTGGCGATGCTTGCTGAAGACCGGAAAAACCAAGTAGCGCGCTCTTTAAGCGATGTCACGTACCATCCATTGTTCCGACTGCGACTGTAGTCGATGAGCGTAGACGAGGAAGACAATGAGGATGAGGGAAATCAGTTGCGCATCAAGAACCAACATGATGTCGTAACACTAGCTAAGAAGGTGAAGGGCAAAAGCGTAGTACTTGAGTTTGCACGTATCCTCCACTCGATGCAGTTCCCCGACCCACTTTTTTATTCTTGATTTTTCAAATTCGAGGTGAAGATGAAGCAGCAGGAGGGGGATACTTGTTGAATGATTCGCACTTGTTTCCACATCTTCCCATTCCCAAAATTAGGAAATAGTCACCTGCTCTTTGCACCATTTTTTTAAATTGTCCATAGTCGTACTCGTAGCCACAGGCACAGTTGTCGCTCAGATAGAAGTTGTTTGAGGTTTCTAGGTCTTGCTCCCCCCGTTTTTCCTCCAGCGTGTGGCAGCTTCAGAAAACACTGGAAGTCGTTTTCGGCCCATGAACATGATCTGGAGCGACCAGCTGCTTCTTTGTCATTGTTTTAGTTACAGTTATTTTAGGTTATTTTCCACCAAGTAGTAGCAATAGCGTCATCATACAAGAAGAAGAATTGATCAAAGCCATGGTTGCGCTCGGGAAGTATTTTCCAATCAAGATTCCCAAGGTAGTGTCGATCCAAAATGGGAAGCTATCTTGCTTTCAACTCGTTGTGCAGGTGGTGGTGGTGTCGTTGTTATTGTACCAGTTTATCGGGGAGCGGATGTATTTGGTAGTGAAAATTCCGCAGGGCTTTCCGAATGCTTGGGTGCAAGTTGCAGATGCCACCCTCCCGGCCGTGCAGCGGGACTATCAGGGTCAAATCTGCCAGGGGTCTGCGGAGTTTCTGTACAAGTACTCGACTGCGTTCACGCACGGCTCCTACCAGTGCTTGGAGACTGCCGCTACGGAAGCGGGGTACAAGATCGGCAAGCGGGAAATCTACTTCCCTACGTATTATCGCGAAACCCGAGGTCGCCAGAGCTCCGGGACCGGTTGCGATAGCCTGTGCCCAGGCGCGTTGGCCTGCAACGATACGTCGTACACCCAGCCACCGCGGTACGATTTCGGCTACGAGTATCCAGGAAAAAAGACCCATCCCCATCCAATTTGTCGTGCAAAACATGCACAGAGTCAAAGAAGTCCAGGGTTTATCATGATGTGGGAAATGGATGGGGATGGGTGTTTGTTCCACCTGGATAGCGAGTGCATCGCCGAGAAGCGCGCGACTATTCCCGTCTGGAATTCCACGACGGACATTTTCAGCACGCAATCCGTGCGCACTTGTACGTGCTCGACGCGCGCTATCATGGAAGCGTCTTCCTATATTGAGATCGACAAAGTCGTGAAAGTAATCAGCTTGCAATTAGCTGCAGCTTGCAATCAGAATCATGCATAAAGTTTTAATATTAGTTTTAGTAAAATCGATACAGGTACAGCGCAAAAGCGGAGAACTGAGCAAAGTTCTCAACTTAACTGCCGAGCCCTATCGGCGCCACCAAGAGCGCGAATGGGTTGCGAGACGTGGAGACTGACCCAAAACGACGAGAAGGCCCTGGACACTTGGCGGAGCAAAAAGCTTCGCCACTGTCTACCTAGGGGCGACCAAGTTCGACCACATCGCAACAGCCACCAGCCGCGCACGACTGAGCGCGCGACCGCTGTCGCAGGCAGCAGATATATAAATATGGGAGCGCCGGCTTTCTTCGATATTTCGGCTACGCACCTCGCCCGATTCCCACCGATCCGACGCGAGTGGCCCACGTCATGTTGTCCGCCACAGTGCAAAAGCGAAAACACGGACAGGGAGCGGCAGAAACTTGGCGAACAGAAATCCGCACCGACATGACAAAAATGCGCGCAGCGGTTTCAGATTCATTGGCTCGGTCGAAATCTTTGGCGACAGATCACAAAAGGGCTGCAAGCGGGCTCTGCTAGTAGTCACGGCATGCACTTCGCCTTCTTCCGCTGCGTCTTTCGAAGAGCAGACTACTCCGATTCAGCAAATAAGAAGACTGCAGGGACGAAAAGGATAAGGAACAGGAGTAGGGCGCGAGACAATTATCTAAGACTTAGAGTCGAACAGATTACAATCATCAGTAAGTCGATGCATTTACTACATACCAGCTGTTGACGCGCTTGCGTATGCGTTGGGTGGCGCGCTCGCGAAAAATCTTTGGAAGCTTGGTTTTCCAATATTCGTATTCCATGCTGGTTTGAAAAAACAAGGTCAAGGCTGTTGTTGTGATTCTCCTCTGCAGCTCTATCTCTGCCCCTAAACAGTCTTGTAATCGGCCTCGCTTGTTGCTTGCCTGCTGTGCATTTTTGCAGGTATTTTGTGGCTTTCATATGTGATTTTATCTTTATGCTCCATGAGTAGAAAAATCTCATTCGCAACTTTGTCGATTTGGAGCCTGGCACTTTCATACGCGCACACTATCTGGTCGCTGGGGTTTCTTCCCGGGCGATGGGTTTCGAGCACATTTTCAAAGTTTCGGACCAGGAAACCGAGGTATCCGGCGCGTCAGGGGGATCCAAAGCGGTCGCGGACGCAGACGAGAATAAGCTGCCCGTGCTCACGATTATCATGACCAAGAAGGACGATGGTAAGTACGAAGAGTTTGACTGCTTCGAGGAGAAAAAACGCCGGGACGCTAGCGTGTCGGGTGACATGAGCGGCAGATGCCGCTTCTTTGAGAACGACGCAGTCTGGATGACCTTGGAAGACTGGGTGACGGCGGCGTCCGGCGGGAAAATCAATCTTGCCGACCCGGATGCACGGAACAGCCACATTGCTGCAAACCTGGCACTATCCCCCGCAAAAGTTTCGTATTCGTACTAAAAATCGACGCAATCATACAAGTACATACAAACCTTCTACTTCCCACCAAGCTAAATGAGTGAGCGTGCCAAGTTGGTTCTCTTTGTCATGCTAAGCTATAATTAATTTGTGTTGCAACATTTGCAGTAACTTTTTCTAGTTCTAGTGCGATACTTTTGCAATTGATAGGTACCCGGGTACAGTTCGGGGGACCGGCGCATGGCCGCCTTCCGCCTCACCGGGGTGGAAGTGTTGGTCAGCCTCGAGTACGTTGGCCCGGAGTTTCACGGAAACATTCCGGAGTCCGTGGACCTTGACGGGTTCGAAGACTACATGGTTGCCCTCGTGAAACTGTCTGTGAACGATGCCATGTGGACGGGGCTGCCGCAGACCGCCTACGGCTCGCCTGCTCCCTCCGCGGTGGCCGCGACCGATTTCCACACGGGCTCGTTTCGCGAGCGCTACCACTACGGGATCCGGTTCTTGTTCATGACCAGCACCAGCTCCGCGTATGGGGCCTTTTCGATGATGGATTTACTCACTGGCCTAGCTGTATTCAAGGTGTACTTCGGGGCTGCGGGTGCCGTGGTGGCTTTGTTTGCCCTGTACGCCCTCGGCCAGCTGTCGGTGCAGTACAAGCGAGCCGTCGAGCAGCCTTTGGACGTGAAGAAAGAAGCCGCCACCATCGTGCCAGCCAAGCTCCTGATCGCGGTCGCGGCGTACCGGGCACTGGAGCGTGCTGGTAGTGCAGAGCAACAAGCGGGAGGCGGCGCCGTGCAGAAGAGCCCCCGACACAGCCTAACGGCAGGCGGAGCAGGCAGCCCTGGCGACGAAGGCACCCTGGCGGCCTACGGCGCGGCCGCCGGCGCCAGCACGTCTCCGCGTCCCAGCCCGCGGACAGGAAGTCGATCGAACAGGACCAACAACAAGTTCGATGAGCGCGTTCTCCGTCAGTGTCTGGTCGACGTGTTCGGCTCGGGGGAGCATGTTCTCCGCGGATCCGGCATTGATGCCCTGGTGGAAACGGTCCTGCTTGCGCTCGGCGACTACAACAAGAATATGGACCTGGAAAGCTTCGTGGAGGCTTTCCTCGCGCACGACGCACTTGATCTGAATCAGTTCCAAAACATGTTCGACGCACATCGCAAGGTGGGCCGGTTGGAGCAGTACTTCTCCACGCCGTTGGATCTCACGGTATGGCGACGCAATATACTACTACTTCAGGCCCAAACGATTTTTAGTTTGTTTTTTTTTTTTGCCTCACCTGTAAAAAGGAAAAGCTACTTACTTCGCGCATCTAGTTCTAGTTTATGTTTGTTATAACAACAGCATGACTTCTTCCAACCAGCCAGATTCTTTGCGTGGCGGATTAGCTACAAGGAAACAACTTATGTCGCGCAGTGGGAGGGTGAACGAGTGGACGGGGGGGAAAGAAAAACGCCAGAGGGGCAAGGGAAAAGATTTTTGATGCAGGGCGGGGCCAGGCATCTGCGCCGCTTCTTGCTGAAAGAACGAAGGCGGAGCGCCATGGCGCCCGTGGTTCCCGTCGTTGTGCGAGCGCGAGGGCCCGCCCGCCCGCACTGGGCGCGCGTTTGCTTGGCGGCAAGCCTTAGGCCCAAGTAACAACGCAAAGCGTGGCAGCAGGCGGCCGCCAGTGGACGGGGGAACAGGCCGCGCCATGCGAGGCGTTGGCGCGTGACGCCCCGCCCGCGCGTTTGCGGTGTGGCCCGTTCGTGCCGCCTGCCTGTGTGCCCCGCCCCTGTGCGCCTTGGTGCCCCCCGCCCTTCTCCCGCGCGCAGCCTTGCAGAACGGGGGCGCGCTGGGGCCCCTGCCGCGCGCGTGGATGGAGGACGGGCGCCGGGGCGGGGCATTCATACACTGCCCTCCAGGCGCAGGGGCCCACCACCCTCCCCCAGCACCCCCGGACAACAACGGCGCCCCCCGTGTTAGCCCGCATGCAATCTGTTGCGCCCCCGCCTGCTTCCCTCGCGCGCACCCTCCAAGACAGAGACGGCGGATGGTGGCGCCCTCTGCCGGCCTCTTCGTGAACAGAGGGAGGACGCCGGGGAAGGGTGGTGGGCAGCTGCTCGCCTGCAAGCCTGGCGCTGGGGCGCGACTTTCCCTTCGCGAACAGAGCAGGGAGGGCGCCGGGGGAGGGTGGTGGGCAGCTGCTCGCCTGGTGATTGGCCGCCGGTGGCGTTCCCCACCCAACGGCGGCGCACGCTTTTTCAGTGCGTTTCCAGCTGGAAATCCAGCTGGAAACATTTGGAAAAGGCATCTGCAGCGCATTTCCACCTGGAAATGCAGCTGCAGACGCCCTTTCAATGCATTTCCCACCTGGCCTGTTCAAAGTGTTTCCAGCTGGATTTCCAGCTGAAGAGGCCTGCTCCATACATTTCTATCTGGGAGTCCAGCTGGAAACACTTTGAGAAGGCATCTGCAGCGCGGGTTTTGCTGCAATTTCAGGCGAAGCAAGACACCTCAAGGCATATCCAGGTGGAAGCTCGGGCGGAGATGTCTAAGGGCATTTCCAGGGGGGACGTCGGGGCTTTTCGGTTTTTTTCCCCGAGTTGCTGTGTTTAGCACAGC